CCTCAGTATATAATTGTCAATGTAGCCGTCAAAAAAAATCCCCTTCACACCGAAAATTCCACGTGTTAAATTTCTCTCCCTCCATCTAATTCACATCCGTTCCGCATGGATTTCGTCAAGTTTTTCGGCATCTTAGCGCTAATGTTGATGGCCGTATTCAAGTTGGGAGCCGAAAAAAAATTGGAATTGCTGAACATCAACGATTAAATATTCAAATGGAACTGTCTCGGATTCCCAAACGAGCCCTTTTTTGCATCGCCATCGTCCTGGCGATTCTCATGGTGAAAATGATGACTGTCGATCAAAAGCTGGAGCTTTTATCGGAAGTTTCCGAATTGTGAATTTTATATAAATAAAACAAACTAACTGTTTATGATAATGTTGTTAACATGTAAATCTTTCTGGCGAGATTTATTACCGAGATGATTAGGTAACTAATCATTCTTTCGTTCGTTTAATTTTTGAATAAAATGTTAACATAAATTTGGAATGATGAATATATTAATTTACATATTGCATATAGAAAGTGTGTCGGTTCGGAAGAGAAAGAGAGATATTTCATTCAATTTTATACTTTTTTTTTTTTTTTTTTTTTTTTTTTTTTTTTTTTTTTTTTTTTTTTTTTTTTTTTTTTTTTTTTTTTTTTTTTTTTTTTTTTTTTTTTTTTTTTTTTTTTTTTGCACACGACTCGGGAAAAGACGAAGCTTATAACGCCTATTCAGGCGCCCCGAGGCGTTTTTAGTAGGTAATTGTTAATGTTGGTCTTAAACCTCTGAAGGTCGTAACCAACTGGGAACACTTCTGATGGTAGTGTGTTCCATAGTGTCGCGGTTCTGTACAGAAAAGATTTCTGATACATAGAGGTCCTAGCTGTTGAAATGTGTACGGCAAACTGGTGTGTGCTCTCCGCTAGCCTTGTAGAACGTCCAAAGTGAGCACCAGGTGGAATAATGGAAGCAATGGCTGCAGAACACCTTCCGTGGTAATATCTGTAAAAGAGACTTAAGTCGCTAACCCTTCTACGATGGTCTAGTGTATGAAGGTTAGAGGTTAATGAGGGGTCATCAACCAGGCGCACTGCTCTTTTTTGAATGGAGTCTAGTAGGTGCAAGGAGTGCTTAGGAGCAGAACTCCAAGCATGAGAGCAATATTCCAATGCTGGACGAACTTGAGCCTTATAGAGTAACAGAAGCTGCTTTGGTGTGAACATTTTTCTGGCACGAAATAAGTAACTAAGCTTCTGGGCGGCTGATTTAGCTATGGTGGAAACATGTTCATGCCAGGTTGCATTTGAATTAATGCTGACCCCTAAAAGATGTAATTTATTAGTTGTTTTAATTGTTTGGTTATTCAATGCTAGTTGGGGTATGACGGAGGACGTCTTTCTTGTAAACATGGTTGCCTGGGTCTTGGAGGCGTTGAATTCAACTAGATTATCGGATCCCCACTTCAAAATAGTTTGAAGGTCGTTGTTGATGGACTCAGCTTGCAAGAGCCTTTGGCGACTTGATTTAGATGCACTGACAGGTCTCTTGTTTGTAGTGGATGCTATGAGAGTGCTATCATCTGCGAAGCTGAGAATTTTGTTTTTGGTTGAATTTAAAAGATCATTTATGTGAATTAAGAATAGAGTTGGTGATAAAATCGATCCTTGAGGTACACCAGCGTTCAAAGAGTAAGGATCTGAAGTTGCACCGTCAACCACAACTTGAATTTGTCTCCTATGCAGAAAGCTCTCTATAAGTCCGCATAGTTTTAGGGGCAGACCGTAGGATGCCAGCTTAGATAGCAGTGCTTTGTGCCAAACCCGGTCGAAGGCCTTAGATATATCTAAAGCGACCGCTATTGATTCTCCGTGGTTCTCGATAACACTTGTCCAAATGTGAGTAACATAAGTGAGCAGGTCACCTGTTGAGCGACTGTGTCGGAAGCCGTACTGGTTGTCACTTATGAGACCATTCTGTTCTAGATATTTAACAACTTGCAAGTTAGTGGCAGATTCCATTACTTTGGATAATATGGGTAGAAGGGCTATCGGGCGGTAATTTTGCGGAAGGCACTTTTTCCCTTTTTTTGGTATTGGTTGAACTCTTGCAACCTTCCATACAGATGGAAATGTCCTCTGCTCATAGCACAGCTTAAAAAGCCGACAGAGCAAAGGTGCGAGTTCGGGTGCACAGTGCTTTAATACAATTGCAGGTATCCCGTCAGGTCCCATTGACTTTTTGCAGTTTAGTTGTTTCAGAATGCGGCGGATGATACGTGTTTGAAATTTCAGTTCGGGCATTGAAACCTGAAACTTAGGAATATTAGGAGGTACCTTTTGACCTGCATCTAGCGTTGAATTCTTTGCGAATAGTGCCGCGAAGAGGTCTGCCTTCTCTTTGGAGCTGGTCGCCAATGTGCCATCATCTTTAACAAGTGGTGGGAAGGTGGTATGGCAAAAATTGTTGTTGATAGCCTTAGCTAGTGACCAGAATGGACGCGAACCACTAGGACATTCTAAAAGCTTATTTGTTACCTTATTGTTAAATGCTTGTTTTGCTTGTTGGATAATCAGATTGCACTTATTTCTAAGTTGCATATATGTTTGTCGCGTTTCTTCCGACGGATTTGAGCACCACTCTCTGATACTGTATGAAATTCGAGATGGAATCTTTTGTTAAATTATTCGAATTCAAAGGGTAACATTTTTATAATAGAATAGACATGGACTAATAAGTTGAATTAGTATTTTTTTTTCCAGTAAAATAACGAAGAAGTTTCAAATAGTCCTAATTCTATTCTAAATGATTTTGGTTAGTTCAAAATGGTTTAAGATCGTCCTGAATTGTTTCAAATGATCCTAGTCAGTTCTAAAATAATTTAAAAGGTTTCTAACATTATAATTTATCCTGGACCGTTCAAAACAGTCTTAAATCTGTACTTAATGATTTTGGACAGTTGGAAATAGTTTTGAGATCTCTCTGAACTGATTCAACTGATCCTAGTGGATTCTAAAATAATTTTAAATGGTTTAAAACATTTCTAATTTATCTTTTTCGAAAATAGCCCTAAATCAGTCCTAAATGATTTTGGATAATTCTAAATGGTTCTAAGATCGCTCCGAACTGTTTCGAATGATCCTAATCAGTTCTGAAAGAATTCTAAATGGTTTTGAACACTAATTTATCCTGGATTTTTCAAGATAGTCCTAAGTCAGTTCTATACGATTTTGGACAGTTCTAAATGGTTCTGAGGTATTTCTGAACTGTTTCAAATGATCCTAGTCGATTTTAAAATAATTCTAACTAAGGTTCCTCTAAAGTTTTGAACTTTTCTTATTTATCCTGGACCGTTCGAAACGGTCCTAAATCTGTTCTTATGATTTTGTACATTTCTAAATAGTTCTCAATCAGTTCTGAAATTCAATGACCCTAGTCAGTTCTACAATAATTCTAAATGGTTTTGAACTTTTCTGATTTATCTTGAACCCGTCCAAATAGTTCTAAATGATTTTGGATAGTTCTAAATGGTTCTAAGATCGCTCTGACCTGTTTCAAACGATCTTAGTCAGTTCTAAAATAATTCTAACTAATTTTGAACGGTTCTAACTACTATTGTATATTTCTAAATGATTCTAACGCCATCCTGAACAATTTAGAACATTGGTACCGTGTATAACACCATCTCTCTCCCTCTCCAGCTATTTGTCAATGGTATTTCTCACACTTGTGTCATTCCTATGTCCACATCGACGCGGACTGACCCTGTATAATTCTTTCGAAACAGCGCTAGTGATGATATAATAATATCTAAAAACGAAATTAGTCACGCTTTATTTTCAACCGACTTCCTTTTATGGTTATTTTATTGTCGTTTTCTAATCGCCTTCTATTAGCGTTCGCATCGATTCCACATCTATTCTCTATATCTATTCTCGATGTTCCAAATCATATTAATTGTTATTTTCTTGATGCGCATCGAGACCCAATAATAAATGATGCGATTGGAAAAGATTCCGGGTTAAAAATAACGGGAATCGTGACTAATGGTTCCAATTCGGGTACGCAGGCATTCGAAATGAAAAGTAATAACTTTGTTATCATTTAGTCACATTGTTTACAAAATATTTTCGTTCGTAATCACGCGATGTAAGTGGGTTTTTTTTGTATTCTTTTCTTTTCAAATGCTATAATAGGCTAGAAGGTGAAAGTATTATTTTGCTACGTTTGATTTATATTACGCCTACATTTCAATTAATGTTGGTATTATTGCTTAATTTACAAAAAAAAATTGTATAACATCGAATTTTGATTTTTATAGCTCATCAAATGTAGCTTGGCAATTGAAAATTGCCTTAGATATGCAGAAAAGGGGAGAATGATGGATAAAGTTAGATAAAGACGAACCACGATATCACCCTTGCACACTATAAAGTAAATTAACCTTTATAATAATTAAGGAATTATTGTTTAATTTTGAATATTTTGTGATAAATATTGCTGGAATAATAATTAAATTTTTTACTTTAAGTGCACTTCTTTTCTTATCAATTCTTCTTTTTTTATTCTCGATTTATTTTTTGATATCCACTGTCAATTTCGTAAGCTTTGTAAATTATTTAAGATTTAAATGCCATAGAATATTTAGGGTATTTTAATGGGGTATATTGGTCTTGGACATTCCTAAATTCGTATACAAAAATGACGAGGTGCTTGTTGTACAGGATGAAAGCCACTTTGTGGGTGCAAGGATCCCACCAGGCAAGTGCATTTATATGCATTTTATTATTTCTTTTTCTAGTCCGAACATCCAAGATTAATATAGCGTTGCGTGATGCGGTGATTTCGTGATATTTTCACCGATTCCTGACACAAATATTTGCACATTAAACTATTTTTAGGCGCTTTATGTAGGTAATTAAAACGCGTCCTTTTGTTACCTACCAAGGTCGAAGAATATTTACAAATTAGAGTGATCGTATTGAGTAATAAAGTCCCATTTTTTGTTTGTTACAGACTGAATTAACAGAGAAGTTGAGACTTAGAAGAGGCCGTGGAGATTTCAGTGAAGATGACGAAGGTCTGCCACACAGCCCTTGTAATTCCCCCACGGCGTCCGATGGACTCCTAGTAGAAAAGACTGCAATCAAAGTAAGTTAAATTAATTGTTTAATGGTGTATAATTGATGTTAATGAGACGGGAAGGGACGAAAGGGTTTGATTGATGGACTTGTTGGGGGGATTTAAAGTTTGAATGTTGGCTAATTTAGTTGTAAAATGGTATGAGAAATCGGGTAATTTGCCAGTAAAATGATTTAAAATCACATGAGAAATCGACAACGATTACTTGCTTATTACTTGAAAATTCAAAATTATTAAATATAGTTCCAAATTAATATAAAATCACATGAGAAATCGATTGGATTACTTGGAATATCTTAAGGAAACCTATAGTAAAGCCACAAGAAAAATCCACTAATTTGCTTGGAAAATCTGACAAATTGTAATAAAATCACAAAAAGGAGTGAATTAGGTTCATGAAAGTTTTTACAAAATGTATTACAAAAACAAATTAGATCATGTAAAAAAAAGACAAATTTGCAAAAATCTTGTAAAACAAAATTACTTCAAAAACTGAGTAAATTGTTAATTATAAAATCGTTCAAACATCTACTAAAATTGCTGGAAAAAAAACTTATAAAAAATACAGTAAATCACTTGTAAAAGATTGTAAAATTTACTAAATTCATCTCGAAAATCGTTTAAATTTATCAACAAACTCGTGTCAATTTTCCTTAAGAATCAACTTTTTACGTCTTGTAAAATCATCAAAAATATTATGATCTGCTAATATGAAAAAATCGATCGTTTGAAAAATTGACAAACTACGATAACCAAAAAAAAGTCTTATAAACTTATAAAATCTTGCAAAATTTAGTCAAAATCGTCTAATGTAGGCTAAGTATTCCTAAAAATCGTCAAAATATAGCTCGTACATGCAAAAATCTTGTAATCTTGTAAAATCGTCTAACAAAACGCCCTTGAAATTTTGCCAAAAAAAATCTAATAAAATCATCAAATTTGCATGTAAAATCGACTAATTCAAAGAAATGTTCCTAAAAATCTCAAATAAGTATCAAATGTAGGAAATAATTTCCTAAACCAGTGTTTTTAATAAAGATTGAAAAATTTCATATGAAGCAGATTTTCCTAGAGAAAAATGACATCTAGCTGATGCTAGTCAAAAAATTCATCCTGAACTATTCAAAAACCGGTTACTTCAACAAACCAATAACAAGTAGGATACATTTTACAAGAACAGTTATCGATGATGTCATTTAAAACCCATCAGAATCTCGCCGTTTATTTCTAAACAAGATACCGCTATAAGCACACACAGTAAACATCCTCTCGCGAATTCGGTAGATCGCAGAGACAGTTTCATTTTTCAAACGCAGGAAGACGAACCTATTCGAATTTAAATTGGGATTGAATTCGATTGTTATCGCCAAGCATAATGCACAACAAAACAGTATAGGAAAAAACAGCAGGTGCGCAGGTGAAAAATAACCGGGTCAATTGAATACAGGAAGCCGTTAATGCGCGTTGCATAATGTTTTTGTATACATATTTATACTCTACATGTAAATACATACACGTATAGTGTGCAATGATACAATGTAAAAATTCACGATTTACAATCGTTTGTTGGTATCTAAATATTGCGTTTGTGGAGGAAGTAATTTACTAAACTTTTGCTACGAATTGCTAAATATCTTGTTTGTCTTTTTTTCTTATATCATTCTTTTTTTTGTATTGTATTTTAACATGTTTACATGTTGTTTTCAGTTTTTTTAAGATTCCTAAGATTTGAGTAGTTATACTTAAAAAATTTACACCGCGTATTTAAAATCTAAGCGATTATACAAGATAAAGATACCGGAATGAATTTGATTATGTTCACTGTATAATGTTTCTCTATTTTTTACTGATTGCCTATTTTTAATTAACCTAACTAATTTTCTTCCTGCTTTTGATTATCAATTTTCTCCCTACTTTTTACTACCCTACTAATGTTTTCTTTACGTTTACTAATTTTCTCGTTACCTTTCTGATTAAGTTTCTCTTCACATTTCTCAATAATTTTCTCTCTACCTTTACGTACTAATTTTCTCCCTACTTTTTTTGATTAATTTTTCTCTCTTTAAAGAATAATTTTCTCTCTTCTGTAATGACTAAATTTTTTCTCTACTTTTACTAAATTTCTTGCGAATTATCTTCTTTTACAAATTCCTCACTAATTTTCTCCCTTCCTTTACTTACTGATTTACTTTGTACCCTTTAGGATTATTTTTCTCCCTACATTTATTAATTTTAATTGATTTGACTAATTTTCTCCATGCCCATTATTAATTTTCTTCCTACTTTTATTCTTTTCTTAATATAAGAATAATAATATTTCTTAATATTTCTCTTTGGATATTCTTTTCACTTTTTATGATTAATTCCCTCTCAACTTTTGATGATTAATTTTCTCCCTACCTTCAATAAATCTCTCTGCTACTTACTAATTTTCCCCATTACTGACTAATTTTCTCACTGCCTTTAATAACAAATTTTCTCCCTATTTTTACTTGCCTACTAATTTTATCTCTATTTTACTCTCTACTTTGCTAACTGGCTAATTTTCTCTCTATTTTTACCCCCTAATTTTACCAACTCTTATTCAACCTACTTTGCTTAGGTACACATTTTCGCCCTACTTTTTTGAACTACCTTCACTTTTCAATGTTTCCCATTCTTCTACTCTACAACCAAATTTTCCAAAAATGTCCCCAGCACGAATCCTCTTCGAAACCCAACCGAATATTCCAATTAACATCGCTCCACAAACATTTCCATCTACTTTACAAACAATTCCACACAATTTCCATCCCCTTTCCTTTCCCCATCGGTCTCGACCGAAAAAATCCAGTTCAAGAACGCTCCGCCAATTCGAAACGTAAACCGCAAGGAAACGAAAACCGTTCGCATTTAACGAATCCATAGCGTTACCTTACATAATACTCCGGTACGGTTAGACAATGCAACCGATACGGCCGTGTGTTACACATTATTCGAGGCGGTGTAGAAAGTTTTCCTCCGGTTTCTCGCCCGTGCCAGTCGGTCGAGAACATCGGCCGAACGCGACTCGAAGAGATTATTATATTGTACGATTCGGGCGCTTTTCCCCGTGAGATGTTCCGGTTATGGTCGAAATGTTCGGTTGTCGCAATGAAAGTTTGTTGGTTAACAACGCTCGTTGGATAAGCAAGATTAAGATATTTTTGCCGTACGATGGGGTAGAGGTAAAATGAGTTTGTTGTTAGGAAATAAGGGGTTTCTGTGGAATGGGAAATTTTCGAAAATTGCGTAGTTTTTCGATGTGTTTTCTAGTTTTTGATGGGTTGTATAGGGTTTGCTAATTTTAGTGCAATTCGATGAAAAATGGCTGTTATCTCGAAAACTAATTGGCATATAAGCACTCCGTTTGTTTCATTTTGAAGAAACAACTTTTCTCTATAACTTTTATGGAATCGAAATTTTTCCAAAACCGCTTAAATTTTGAGATATTTTAAGTTTTTTACGTATCGTATTTAAGTTACTAATTTTAGTGCAATTCGACAGAAGACCGTAATTATCTCGAAAACCAATTAAGATATAGTAACACCCTGATGTTTATTTCATTGTGAAGAAACAGCTTTTCTCTACAACTTTTATAGTAAATTTTCGAAAACCGCTTAATTTTCAAGATATTTTGAATTTTTAAATGGTTGATATTGTCTGGAAAACAATTACAAATTTCTTTCGTTTATTAGAAAAAACACACTATTTAAATTAATAACGATAACAGAAAAATTGTTAATAAAATAATTATTGTTCTATAATATTGCACGAGCTAACTTTAAAGTCTATCTGCTACATAGTATGTATAATAAAAATATGAACAAGTAACCTTTGATATTAGATTATAAAACTAAAAAACACTTTTTATATAATTTCTTGTTTTGCGTTCAGGCTGAATTAACACATGTTATTTAACTTGTAATTAAATGAGGTTTACGTTAAGAGTCGATGACGTCACGATTAGTTACTGTTAACAATAGTATATTATACTATAGCATAGTTTAGGTATAATTTTTTAAATAGTTAATTTGCAATTGTCACAAATAAGATTAATAAAAAATAATAATTGATAAGAAGGGATGTTTTAAGAATTTCTCTTTTTTTTTGCAGGATCTCCCTACAAAATCCCATAGTTCCTGTAGCGATGGATCATTACTTAGTATGGGAAGTTGCGATGACGAAGTAAGTGGGAAAATTTCGGCTTTTCTAATTCTTCGTTTAAAAAAAATCCTAGATTTTCTACTTACTTTTTTTAATATTGTCTATTTAATATTGACTTTTTATTATTTCTTTTCCTAATTTCTTATGGCTCTGCTTCCCAATTTTTATGATTCTCTATACTTTTACTGATTTCCTACCTAGCTTTTTCCGATTTTATCTCTACTTTTAACCGTTTATTCAAATTATTAATTATTTGTTAAACAATTATTAATTTCTCTCTAGATTTAATTATTGATCTTTCTTTTCGTTATATTCTGCCTACTTTTTATTACCTTTTCCTATTTTTTGGTGTCTTCCTTCCTTCCTAATGTTTATAGTTCCCTCTATTTTTTATGATTCTTCCAACTTTTAACGATACTTTTCCACTTAGTACAATTACTTATAAAGGCCTATTAGTACTTTTACTTGTAAATATTTTTTTTATTCTAATTTTTAAATAATTGTTATTCTCAATCTCTAAATCCTCACACGTGTAGAAAGTAAATCGGTTTATTTCATTTTGCGCTCGATTTCACCGTAATTGCACATCGATCATCTAATTATTCATGCGTTTTTGAAACGCTCAACAATCGCACGGCATTTCGCATAAATTTGTTATTTTTCTGTTGCAGGAATCGTACGAGCAGCATTCGAGGAATTCCTCGAAAATATCCTTGCAGGACAAAAAAACGAATCAAGGTAAAGAAACATTTTTTAATTTTTTTGACCTCTTGCTAATCAGGAACATACAATTTAGTCAAAATATGAGATTGAATTAAATTTATGTGGCTTTTTACGTTAAAGTTTTTCTTCTTCACTCTTTTGATCTGCTGCTTTGATCTTTTCATATTTCCATCTTCTCTTTTTGTTTTTTATTTTGAAGATATGTTTTTTCTGTAGAAGTAAAGCCAATTCAGCGTTTACATTGAAGCTTTTCGTATTCTTCTTTTCAATTTTGGTTTCTTTCCAAAATACAGCCAATTTTTGTGATTATATTAATGTTTTTCATCTCCTTTTTTTGATTTCTTCTCTTGTAACATTAGAACCAGTTTCTGTGGTTGCATTGAAGTTTTTCTGCACTATTTTAGGCTCTTCTATGGAAATACAGCCAATTTATTATGCGCTTTCATCGGAGCTTTTCGTAGTTTCCTTCTTCTCTTTCGACCTATTTCTTTTCATATTCTCACCTTTTCCTTTATTCTCTTGCATTGGCAAATACAGCCAATCTCTGCGAAAGCTTTAAAGTTTTCTTCTCTCTTTTGGCCTCATCCCCAAGAAAATACAGCCAAAATTTGTGCTTACTTACAAATTAAATTATTTTAACAATTTTCTTCTTCCTTTTGGCCTCTAGTATCTTTTGGAGTCTTATCTTTTTAACTGTTTCTTCTTCAAATACCGTGAGGAAAAATTACCTACTCTATAAAAAGCTTCAACTTCTAGGGCCTTTTTTCCAGTAAGGACAAAAAAATTATACACTGTGCTACATTCCAGATCACAACATAGGTTATATAGGCTAAAGGTGCGATAAAGACAACTTTCATTAGACACTTATAAAGGAAAAAGAAAGAGTGACTGATTTGTCATTGCAACTTTTCACTCTGACAACTGTTTTTTTATTAATCTTTCTTTGTTCAACTCATGGACAGGATCATGTTGCGGTCTGAATTGAAGCAATCTGTATATTTTTATCTCCGTTTTATTAGGCATAATACTTATTTACTAATTTAATGGGTTTTTTTTGTAGATTCAGACGCGGAATTGTCATTGAGATCGAACGGTACACCGTTGAATCACAGCGCAGCGCATCATCGTGTATCTTTAAAGCCCAAAAGGACTCATGGGGCGCCGAAAAGAAAGCGACCGCAAACGGTAGTAAGTTATAAAAGATAAAATAAATTGCAATAAGTAAATAAATGTTTTTATATGTTTTTGTAATGCACTTTTCTTTCTTTCTCCTTCCTTTCTAACGGTTCTTGCTACTGTTTCACTTACCTTTTTCATATTTATTTCATAAGTTTTCTTAATGTTTTTGATGACTCTACTCCCTACTTTTTTTTCTTCGTGCTTATTTTAATGATTCTCTCTAATTTTTGTCTATTTTTAGGTCTTTTTCATTCTACTGTTATGGTTATCTCCCTACTTTTTATAATTCTCCGTTCTTTTACCATTTTTCTTCCAACGTTTAATGTTTTTTTCTACTTTTTCTTTTTTTAACGGTTCTTTCTACTTTACATTGTTATTTCATCGTTCCTACTTTACTTCTGTTTCTTCATTCTACTTTACAATGTTTACGTTGTTATTTCATCCTACTCTAATGCTTCTAATGACACCTTTTATTATTTTTCTTCCTATTTTTTCTTCTCTTTTAATGTTGTCTTTTTTTTCCCTACTTTTTATGATTGTCACTGTTTTCAATATTTTTCTTCCCACTTTTTTTGTTATATTTTTCCTAATTTTAATGTTTTTCTTTATACTTTTTATGATCCTCACCGATCCTGCTTCTTCTCTAGTTTTGATGATTTTTTCCCACTTTTAATGGTTTTCTGTCTACTTTTTTCTCCCTGTTTTAATTACCTTTCTCACTACTTTTAATCATTTCCACCGTTTTTTTCTACTTTTACAGCCTTATTCATAGTCGCCTCCTTAAAATTGATTTTAAAACACCACTAGTTAGTGGCCACTAACATCGCACTAACAAGCCACTAACGTTTCCTATTCATAGTTGCATATTTCTTTCACACTAGTTAAAATAATGCTAGCAGAAAAATGAATGTGGCAACAACAGAAATAACTTAAAATGTTATTTTATATTGGAGATTTTGGTTGTGTTATTGACGTTATTGTATCAGAAGCACTTGATGAGATCAATTGAATGGGTGATGGGAAAAAGAATAAAATTCCAGTGAACCTTACTTTGGGGAAAACAAAAAAACTTTACGGCGAAACCCGTTATTTAACAAAAATCATGATTATTAGCCAATTATACACTTTGACCAAGTACGTTTGATACCAAAGTTTGAACGGTTTATACCTCTTTGGTAACTAGCTATTGGTATTTGAAAGTACAAAATACTTTCAAAACGCAAAAAGTAGTTAAAAAAAAACTAAAAACTTTTTTTTTCGACATCATTGCCAGTTTTTTTGAAGTATTGGGACTACCGGCTTTTGAAATAAAGTATATCGGTATTAGTTAACCAATAGATATTTATAGAAAGGTGCATGTAAGAAGCTAAAGAAGTAAATGTATTAATACGAAATCTAATTGAAATTCAAATATTAGTACCGATGAGGTACTTAGCAAAAAGGTAGTAAAAAACACAGTAAAAAGGCAGGACAGACGCAGTGAATACTCGATTTTAAATTATGTTTAAAAGTAACTTAAACACCCCTTGTAAAGCCACTAAGAAATTCAGTGGCTACTAACGAGAATAACATCTTAGTAGCCACTAAATGGAACTATGAATAAGATTTTTTTTGTGGGATGTTAGTAGTGTGTTAGTAGCCACTAAATACGACTATGAATAAGGCTGTTAATGTTTTTATTTGTTATATTCATGAAACTTCACTACTTTTAATGGTTTTCTGTCTACTCATGTTCTCACTACTTTCAATGGTTTGTTCCCTCTATTTTTAATGGTTAATTATGTTTTCTCTACTTTTAATAACATTTCTCACTACTTTTAATGGTTTGTTCTCACTACTTTTAATGTTTTCCTGTCTACTTTTAATGGTTTTCTGTATATTTTTTATGATTCTCCCTGTTTTAATTACGTTCTCTCTACTTTCATTGACCTTTCTCCCTACTTTTATTGGTTTGTTGTTTGTTCCCACTACTTTTAATGGTGTTCAGTTTACTTTTAATCATGTTTTTCCATACTTTTTCTCACTACTTCTGATAATTCTCCATAATTCGCACAAATTTTCACCCCACATCAAACGATTTTCACTCTAAATTTAATTAAAAAAAAAAACTTTCCAGCTTTCCCAAGCACTACCGGTCACGATCGAAGTCAACGAGGAACCACCGGTCCGCTGCGCGTCGCCGGAACTCACCAAAAAAGGTACCTGTACAACCCCACCCGTCCCCGCTCTCACCCCCCCTCTTGTTCGCTTCAGCGCTCTAACCGCGCCTCTAACGAACCGCTCAAAAAAAAACCGCTCGAAATTTCGCTTTGCAGAATCCCTAAGCGAGCTGTACAGCGCCCGCACGCTAACAGAAACCCAACTAAAATGCTCCTCTCTGCCGCCCGGGCTGTCAGCTCCAGCGGCCAGCAGGTTGAACAGGAGCAAATCGAACGCCGGCGCCAAGTCGCAGGATCTCTTCGCCAAGTCGCACGAGCACCCGGACGAGAAGGACGAGAAGACGTCGCTGTTGGGCAGGTTCTTCCCCAGGAAGAGCAGCAGGAGGAAAAAGAAGGGCGACAAAGAGGCGAGGAGCGAGGAAGAGGCGATTACTTCTAGCGAAAGAGGTATTATAAATTCCCCGGATGTTTCTAACTGTCGCTTCCAAAATCGATGTTTTTTTTTAATAGAGTGGGAAACGTCGATAACCAAGCAGGAAACGACTGTAACAGACTCTATGAGGTCCGTTGAAACTACCGTGGTGACTACTAGGAAAGTGGAATCCAGCAAGCCGGTTCCTGCGGTAAGGATGGGGGTGGCTTCGAGGCAGCGCGTGGTGCCCATGGACATACCGGAGCCGCAGGACGAGGGGAAAAAGGAGCAGGTCCTGCGGAAATCGTCGCCCGAAAGGGACGGCGCGTCTCCGTTGCATTTGGAACTGGAGAGCAAATTCAAGCAAAGACAGGTAATTTTTTTTGGGGGTGAAAGGAAATGGAATTGAATTGCGGGAGAGTTAAATTAGTATATTGTTGATTTGTGGTTTAGATACTTTTAATTGAGTGTTTGTTGTTTTTATTGTTTTCTCCCTACTTTTTAATTTCTTTCTACTTTTAACGACTCTTACTTTGACTTTTGTAATGATTTTTGCTCAATTTTTGATTATTTTCTCCCTACTTTTCTAATTATTGATTTTTTCTCTATTTTTAATGTTGCTCCCTATTTTATTTTTTACAACTATTTAATGATTTTTACCTCTGCTTTTTTAATAATCAATTTTCTCCCTACTTTTATATTTCTCTGTGATTTTGTCTGTACTGTATAAGGAATTTTTCCCTATTTTTTAAAATGTTCTTCCTACTTTTTTATTGTTTTATTTACACTCCATTTTTTATTTATTTTTTTTAATTACTTTTTCCTACTTTTATTGTTTTATGATTGCCTCTGCTTAATTATCTTTTCCTTAATATTTTATGATTCTTCCTTTAATTGCGTAATTTTTAAATGATTGACTTTTTGGATACTTTTATTGATGTGTTGTTTAATAATTATTAAACCTATTTTTGATGACTTTCTCATCACTTTTAAGGATTATTTTTCTCCATATTATCTGTTTAATGGATCTATTTTTGATGTGATTTTTGATATTTCTAACGTATTTCTTCTTTATTTAAAGGTTTTCGTTATTATTTATCGATTTTATGATTTAATTTAATGATTTTCCCTACTTGTCAATGTTTTCTCTATACAGGGTGTATCTAAATAACACCGAAAAAATTTAAGAGGTGATTCTGTGATGAAAATTAAGTTGGGTACTTGGTATAAAATTTTTGAGCTTGCAATACATTTATTTATTTCTCATAAATGCAGTTTTTGAAAAAAAAGTTTTGTTGTAAAAAAAAGTTCAAATAAAATAGGCTTTTTTGCCATATTTTTTAAAGAACAAATTTCATTTAAAAAAAAGCTGTAAGAAATAATGCCTTAGGGGTTGACTACTTCAACCCTTTTTAAACATACTTCAGGGTTGAAAAAATTTCAAAATGTGTAGATTAATTAACAAATATACCGAATAATTAACATTAAAATAATATTTTCTATCGTACACATTTTAAATGAACATTAATAAAAACGACTAATTACATATTCCTTTCTATGAAAAAGTCCTAAAGTCCTTTTACCAATGTACGATTCCTCACGACTCACCCTGTATATGGAAATTACAGAAGAGCCATTTTTTTCGAAGGGATATAGCTTTTCCAGGGAGGGCTTTTTCAAAACATGTTATACCAAGTGCCCACCTTAATTTTCATCACAGAATCACCTCTTAAATGTTTTCGATTATATTTAGACACACCCTGTGTATTTAGTGATTTTCTGCCTACTTTTATTAATTTTTTTCCTGTTTGATGAATATTCTACCTACTTTCAATGATTTTTTCCCTATTTTTATTGATTCTTCCTTCTTTTAACATTTTTTTTTTCACAACTTCGAAGATTTTGTCTGTAATTTTAATATTTATTTTTTACCCACGGTTTCACGTTTTTTTCCTTCTACTCTAAAAATTTTCTACATTCTTCCTTAATAATCAATTTCCTCTCTATGTTTAACGCTGTCTTCAATTTCTAAAATTTTCTCAATATATCTCAACAATCTCGCATTTACATCAACCCTAATCGAACGCCCTAAACTCCCCTAAACCTCTTCTACTCTTTATTACTCCGATCCCACCCATCTGCTCCACACCTACTCCACCCTACCCCCCATCAAACGTTACCCCAATCCCTAACATCAAGCGAACGCCCCTTAACCATCTCATAACCTCTTTCTAACCGTCACGAAACGGCCCGTCACAATCGTGCAAACCAAACTAATAATAATCTGGCATTATTCCTTTCTATTCCAGATCTCCCTATCCACTAGTCCAGCGGACGAGCCGCCGCCGCCGAGACAACAACCCCCGCCCGAACCCGACCCGCCGACTGTGATATCGCCCAAACACGACCGCCCGCCGGCGCCCAAATCGCCGACCAAACACGCCGAACCCAAGCCCAATTTGAAACTGAAGATGCCGGGTCTATCTTCCCTACAACAGCGCGTGTTGTCCCTCAACGATCACTCGCCCGAAGACAGCTTCAGATCGTTGACGGAGCCACAGACGGTGAAACCTCTCAGACCGATCGCCAAGTCGCACAGCTTCAAAACCGTGAAAATCAGCTCGGAGACGGCGAAGAACAAAACGGAGGATTTCCTCAAGCGCGAGAAGGACGACAGTAAAGTTAGTTTCACCAAAGCGGTGTCTTTGGATAGCGTTAAACACTTGGACGAGCCCGTAAAAAGCGAGGAACAAGCAGGCATAACTATCTCGGGTCCCAGTCATACGGCGGTAGTGAACGTTACCAGCAATCTGGATAATTTCAGTAACGTATCCAAATCGCAAACGTGCGAAACCATCGACGGATCCACGACTATATCCATCAAGGAACAACAGGTATCCATTACAAAGATACAAGTAAAAAAGACCACTCAAGCACCCAAGCCGGAATTCCTCAACAAGCAATTGCACAAAGTGGAAATCAAACCTACCAGCAACGTCATACTGTCGATGAAATCGCCCAAAGATGACGCCCAAACCAGGCCGAAGACTCTCTTCAATTTCGACGTAGACCCCGAAATCTCCTCCAAACCACCGCCGGCCAAGAAACCGGAGGACTCCCCGTCGCCCAAAACACCTCCCGTTACGCTGAGCGCCAGCTCTCCGAGGTTCAAGAAGAAATCCTCCATCGTCTCCATCAACCCCGAATCTCCTGTCAAGGAAAAACCGGCCGTACGAAGGAAATCCTCCAGCCTATCGTCCCTCAACGACTCGGACAAATCCTCGCAGGACAGCCTCGAGAGACTCGACGACAAGCGCAAGGACAACAAAGAGAGCCCGGTGGTGCTGCGAAGGAAGTCGACCATCACCAAAACCAGCGAGGACGAGCCGGAGCTAATGAAGGTCTTCGCCAGGCGATCCCTCAAGCTAAAAGACGGCGATATCGAAGCCCTGCAGGAGAGCATCAACGACTCGAAAACGAGGGACAGCGACAAGGAGAATCGCAGCGATTCGCCCGTCGACGAGCGCAGGAAAATCGAGGAAAAACCCAGAGCGGAGAAACCCAAACCTGCGGAGAGGAAGATCGAGCAACCGGAGCAGAATTGCTCGCCCATCGTGCTGCGGCGGTCGCTAAATCACAACGTTTTCGTCGGTCAAAGGGCAGTTAGTATAAATCCCGCTAAAGCGGATTTTATCATCAAGAAGCAGACGAATTTTAGCGAGCACAGGAAAACCGAACAGTGGATGTCGCACATTCGAAACGATGATGTCGAGTTGAAGGAGAAGATCGCGCAGGATGAGATGCTTGCCGGTGATTTTATTATGGAACAGAAGAATGTTAGTCAGATGAAGGCGGAATGGGAGAAGAGGGCTAATTTGGCGAAGAAAACGACACCTTAAAAGGTTTTTATCTTGTTTATTTCGTTTGAAGATCGTCTATTTTGCTGCATTCTTTAAATTTTGTTCAATACATTAATAATAATGTAACTTATTTGCTACATTCTTGAGAGACTGTGAATGAATGATGAATTTACAAGGTATTCGAGACTTTAATAATAATGTATTTTATTTACTACATTCTTTAAAGTGTGTGAATGGATGATAAATTTAAAAGTCCTCCAAGACTTTAATAAAAATGTAATTTATTTGCTACATTTTTGAGAGAATGTGAATTATTGGTGAATTTACAATATATTCAAGACTTTAATAATGTAATATATTTGCTATATTCATCAAAGTTTGTGAGTGGATTTATAATGTGTCCAAGACTTTAAAAAACTTCTTTCTACTTCTGTGAAGAATGATGACAATTGTACAATTTGTTCGTGAATTTAATGAGAATGTAATCTTTATAATTCATTGATATATTTTCTAAATTTCAATTACTTTCTACACATAGTTCCTATATCATATCTCTATTACATTATTCAAATTTAATGAACAATTCAACATTAAATGGATGGTAAATTTGAATTTCTCCTAGACTTTAAAAAATGTAATTTATTCATTTTTGAGAGCCAGAGAATGAATGATATATTTACAATTTATCGTAGTATTTAATACTAATGTAATTTAATTTCTACATTCTTCAAACTCTGTGAATTGATGATAAATGTAAAATTTGATTAAGAATTTAAAAATATTAATGTTTTACATACTCTGTTATGAATGATAAGTGTACAATTTATCCGTGAATTCAATGAGAATGTAATATTTCCATTTCATTGATATAGTTTTTACATTTTCATTAATTTCCACTCATATTGCCATAATATCTCTACTACATTATTCAAATTTAATTAACAATTCTTTAATTGGACAAGACTTTAATAAAAATTAATGTTGAAATGCTGAGAATGAATTATATGTTTACAATTAATCCTAGTTTTTAATACTAATGTAATTTATTTTCTGCATTTTTCAAACCTTGTGGATGATAAATTTGCAATGTGTTCAAAACCTTATTGAATTTGGAATTTATTTGCTAGAACCTTGAGAGGCTGTGAATGAATGGTAAATTTAGAAGAAAGAAATGTTTTCAAGACTATAAAAATTTAATTTATTTGCTACCCATTCTCGAGAGGCAGTGAATGAACTTACATTACATTGGAGACTTGTTACTAATGTAATCTCGTTGTTTCAGATGGAGAAAAATCGAAGATTCCATCTGGCGTTTCCTCAAAATTTTTTGTAACATTTTTTATTTGTAAATATATTTGTTTATACATTATTATAATATTTTACATCACTTTTTTTATTATGTTCGATGGTCCGTTGGTGCCATGCGATGAAACCAGCGTTTATTAAAGATACGAAATTGTTTTTTTTTTAACAAAAAAAAAGAAACCTTAGATAGTTAAGTGCCTTTTTATCGAAATTTTTATCTTTACACCGGAACCAATTGCGAAGGGAAATTCCAACGAAACGAAATATTTCAGATGTAAACTCATCGTTAGCTTTTCTTTCGCAATCAGCTCCGTTTCGAACTAAGTGATTGACCAAATGTGAGAATTAGAGCCTTGAATGGTGTATTTTATCGTCGGAACCAAGCATGTAAATTTGAAATTTAAATCGTTTAAAATGATATTTAAGTTTGTTCTTGTATATTACATAATAGATAAATGATATTTATACCTCATACACTTTTCATTTCACCGCAATAATCCTGAAAAAAAAAACAAGCTGATTCTAGCACACTTGAACTACGCAGGCGAATCTTTGAAGCTTCTGTTACCGCCACTGGAGACATAAGCAGGCATCTATTGAGAAAAACTGAAGCCTTCGTCGAGGGACTCTGTTTCATGGATGCATAAGCAGCAGGAATAGCACATTGGGCCCGCCAGAGGCCTTAGTGCTTGAACCATGGTTTGAGCTGTCTCAGTCAAGGTTCGCCTGCGCCCTTAAACTCTATTTAAAAACTAGCAGGAGCATTTTGAGAAGCCTGACTTATGCTAGGTGCCCATTTGAGAGAAAAACTCTCGAGAGAGGCCATCGAGAGTAGTTCCAGCCAGTGGACAATGTTGTGAGAGCAACTATTTGAGAGTTAATGATTACTCTGCGAGTTAGCATGTCGCGAACTAAAAAAATTCAAATGAATTTAGTATTCTGAGAGTGCTCTCCGAGAGTAAAGGTGCATAAATAAATAGTGAGAAACCAGCCACATATCTATCGTTTTTTTAATTACCCCTTTACTACTCTTGAAGGATATTTAAATATGCATATTTGTTAAAAATTAGAACGTTATAAACTTAAAAATAAAAAGGAAGTTTTTTTATATTGGGCCAGAATGGCTTAACTTTTTTTCGTGAAAATTTGTACAGAATATCTTTGATTTACCTAATTTTGAATCGAAACTAGATTTATCGGCTTATTTTTCATAAATTTTAGACTGTTTTTTCTTTAAACCCCACATTTTTGGAAACAAACCTCAATTTTTGGCATTTATACTCATTTTTCAATCACCAAAATTTTGAACATTTTTAGTCAGTTATTAATAATAAAAATAGTTTCGTTAATTTATAAAAACAGTTAAATATGGTATTTATTATGAATAGTAAATAGATTTTTGATAAACTTAATCTGTTAAAAAGGTGCTATGTAAAAAACGCGCTTAAAAATGTTCCAAACTGTAGTTCACAAAACTCTCGACAAAAACCTAGTGGACACGGTTCTGATAGTTTTAATTATACATATAAAATTCGCAACTAGCATTTTGGACACTCTCAGAGAGTAAAAATTCGCGAGTTTGCTCTCAAATAGACAAAGATCTGATTAACTCTCGAGAGTTGCTCTCAGGAAAACTCTCAAATGGACAGTTAGCATTACACCCAAAAAAATTACTAGAAAATTTGTAAGGTTGCAAATTTAAATGCCATCTTTCATTTAAATAGAATTGAATGTAAACTAACAATAATTATATTAAAAGAAGAAAAGAATTAACAAATCACCTAAATACGACATATTAAATACCACATTTCTAAAACATAATCTCAAAAAGGTGATTAACAAGAATAATAAAGTTTTACAGCGTGAACTTGACTCGTAATTAACCAATAAACAAATGCGAGTGTTGCCAACTTAAATTCAAATCGCTCTTCCTAGTTTTTAAATAAAAAACTGTAGAGTTGTAGTTGTTGTAGTAGCACACTTGAACTTTGTAGTAGGAAACGGGAATCTTCATAACTTCAATCGATTTGTCAACGTGACAATACATATACAATTTTAATGAAAGCGAAATATGGAACCTACGAAGCACCCGTCCAATCCCAAACGAAAATCCACCATGGATAAGAAGAAAAAACCCAAATTCATCCTTCCCTACAGGGGTTATTATGGGGACATCATCACCGATTTGAATTACCTTCACCCGTTGAAATACAACTACAATATAACGGGTTGCGTGAAGAAAACGAAGCTGATATGGGCCATGCAAACGGAGAAGCACGCCCCTATCGTGAGGTACCTCACGCCTACTTCGAAAATAGCCAATCTATTCCCGGCCGAACGATGGATGACCTTCGAAGAAGACAAATCGATCGTAATATCTACTACAAACTATTCCTTTGTAATTTGTGTACATTCGGGATTATTGTAGAGCTTTCCAGTCGATACTTTCAAACCCAAAGTGCAATTGCAACATTCCGTTGAGCCAAAAACTCTACCGAGAAGCGTGGCTGTGGAGAAACGTAGAAGGGAGTACCAAGTAAGTAACTATAGAGCTGTTTAGTGGATTTATTCTTTGGTAATAATGAATTTGAATTTATTATCCAAATTAATCGTAAAAATATGATTAGCGATGAGGGATTTATCTAAATAAGGTAAGAACAAACATTTGATAAATAATAGATTGTTCTCATTGATGATTATTTTTAAAAAACATAATACCAACTATAACATAATACAAACTTTACCATATATTCTTACGTTTATATTATATGTTAAAAATGTAATATAATATATGTAGATTTCATCATCAAACAAATATTCATTTAAAATATTTAATGAACACTTGTTTGAATTTTATCGTATATTTTCAAATACCTTAATTGTCAGTTGTTCCAAGTAGTTTCTTTCAACAATTAATTGTTGTTTCTCCACGTAAGCACAAATAGAAAACATTTCTGGTCGTTAAATATTATTAATTTTACAATTTAACTTGTTAAAACACAATTACAATTAGATAACCTTAAAATTCAATAACCATTAACCGGCCACAATACGAAATTTCGAAATTTGACAGATATATACAAAACTTCTTTTCTTTATTTGAGGCCTTAGCTCCTACAGTTATTCGGCAGAAAGTTGATATTTAATTGTTGCTATCCTTCTCTTTTTAGTTGTTAGAACTTGGCTTATACTGAAATTAGTAAAATTATCGGTTTTTAAATAATTAATTTACTAATAGAACGATGATGAAAGAACATTGACGGATTTAAAATTCATTGATGAATGAAATGAAATATAAATTAATTAATGCTACCCTTCTCCTTTTGGAACTTATATACCTTGCTCCTAAATTTTCGTAACTCTTCAGGAAGTTCGAAAAGTTCTAATGCACGGTTACCGTGGATATATTTATTCTTTAGTAGAAAAGGACGAAAGTAGTTTAATTAACTAACTTAAATAATGTTTTATCCACAATAAACCTCTTGGTCAAAAAAAATATACACAACTTACACAACGTATTCAATTTGACAGTTGACGCTCTTGGCCTCTTTCATCGATTTCCCTCTTATCGAATCATACAGCCACTACAGCGCCGTTTAACGTTTCCTCTGAGAAACCACGAAAAACCACGAAACCTCTTCTTATATTTTCTCCACTTGACAAACTACAAAAACCTAGATGGAACGCATTTCAGAGCCAAGACCTGCAAACTGTACTGGCCAACAACGACATCCAAGTCAGGGACCTGATGCCCATAGACATGCTGCGGCAGCTGATCGAAGACAAGACCTGGATCAGCTTCCTACACCTGGACCATTACGACGTCGAAGAAATGGACAACAGGTTTATATAGAATATTACAACTGACATTAGTAGGAGCAAAAACGGAGCTTGTTTGTTCAGAACGCCGGAGAATTGGCTGGAGCACGGCATCGTGGACAACGTGAGGCACCCTCTACCGGGCGTAGCTTTCGTAAACATGAGCGAAACCAACGAAGAAGACGCCCATTCGGCCAAGATACTGCAAGCCCCCAGGGGCGATAAGGCTTACGATTGGGTCAACGTTGCTGTTACCGATTACAATGCTGAAACTAAATTATGGACGGTTTTCACTCTGGACGGTAGACAGATGACCTTCTATCTGCCGAGATTATTCGTAATGTTCTACGCTGAAGATCCCAGAGTGTTTGTTAACAGAATCAAGAGCATGTTGATGTTGAGAGCAGAACAGGAAAACAGGATCAGGTAGGGGAAATCCCCATTTTCCTGTCGAGGGAAGGAAGGAGCTCGATGAATGCGTTGGTTTGTTCGTAGATACGAATTCTTCCTGGATTGCATATCATTGGAAGGTATCGTGGAAATGGAGCAAGACACGTTGAACAAGATTCTCAACAGTACCACAAACGCGATAGGAATCAATCCTAAAGTCTTCAAAGGAAACTTCTATCAACAGGTAAAAATTTGTTTGATGATCTCAATTGGTAGAATAAAGTACTGGTATAGAAAGTTATGGATCAAATAGAACTGTAGGAATCAATTCTAAAGTTTTTAAAGGAGCTTTCTATCAGCAGGTTTCGTTTTGTGTAATCTCAATTGGTAGGGTGAGGTATAATAGAGTCCGGGTAGGTTATGAATCTTGGGGTAGAACTGTAGGAACCAATTTCAATGTCTTCAAGATAGTGCTAGAACCATCTCATTTGAATCTCAGTTGGTAGACGAAATCCTGCTGAACCACAAGCGCTGCTTGGGATCCTTGGATTTCGCCAAGCACTTCCAAAAGAACACCGATTTGGGTAAATATTTATGGATACCCAAAATGGAAACAGACCTCGTTATCAGTAAGTATATTTCAACGCCACATACCTCCAGTACATCTAATGTACACCTGTTTAGAGACCATCGATACCGGTATGACCAATTTCAAGGAAATCCGCAACTACTTCAGATGGTACAACATCTACGTGGTAAACGAAACCTACAGAGCAATGGAATTCATCAGCGGCGAATGCATCAAAATCAGCCAAATGGCCGTGTTCACGGCGAATTATGGCTCAAAGTACGTGTCATTGGAGGAATTCGATTCCATACAATCGCTCACGCGGAACGTGGTAAGTACCGGAAGAGCTCCGAAATCCTCTTGGTGTTCACTCACAGCATGTTGCAGCTGTTGAAATATTTAAGAGGCATGTGGACAGAGTCGGCTGTATTTCAAATTAGAATGTGCCTGGGTGATATCGGCAAGGGTTGGTTCGATATCAACGAGAAGAACGCGGAAACCTACGAAATATCCAAGCTCAAACGCTTCATGGATCTGATCAAATTGAGAATGCAAGTAAGCATTGACGAACAGTGTGTCTAAAATAAGTTCCAGATCTAGTAGATCTCTAGTAGATTTAGTAACTAGGTCAATTTTTTCTTCTTTCTTCCAAGCCTTCCTATTTTTTACCAGCCAGTCAATACCACCATTTTTCTTCAACTCCTCAACTGCTTCAACTTAGCGTACTTTGAATTCAACATGTACCAAAACGTTTTCAAGCACGCCCTCCGTTTGCTGGTGGAGAATTCCCTCAACATCTTCATCAATTTGGTGGAGAATCCCTGCCTGCCCTGCCTCCACATCCCCGAAGATTTCGTCTGGGAAGGAGACCTCACCGTCAGTCCTTATATCTGCAAACACCTGCCCATATTTAGCCTGCAGATGCGCCTCGGCGAGAACGGGGCTTCATTTTCCACGCCTCCGGAAACTTTCCAGGTTCCTCACACCTACACGCTCTCCGCAAATTCCCGCTACTCCATCGCTTTCAATTACAGCCGGTGCTGTTGAAACTCTTCGACGAAGGTTTCAAGCAACTGCACTGGATCAAACAGGTGCACCCTCTTCTGCTGCTTAACCTGCGCTTTCCCAACGACTTGTACCTGTCTTCGGTGGGGCTGATGTCGAAGGAGATGTGCGACATTCGCGAGAGGTTCTGCCTGGCGTATCAGAAGGTGCTGATACCTTTGCTAGCCTACGCCAAGCGCTACGATGAATTCGTACCTCTCTACACCATGGACATAAATCATTTTATTGAGTAAATATGCTGGTGATAGTGCTGGTGCACGAGTTTTGACGTTGATTTTAATGCAGGGTTTACGCAGAAGACGAGCACTCTGCTCAAGATGTTAGACTGGATATCATGGAGGAAATGAGCAAGAGGGTTGTTTTAGAGAACAGCATCCCCACGTCGATATCCATTGGACCTTTCTACATATCCACCGAACAAATTAGAACGACGCTGGTGAACAAACGGCAAGAGATTGTAAACAGAATGTTCGACTATTTCACGTCTAAGATGAGAATTGCTATTGAAGATGTATGTAGATGAGATGTATAGGTGTATGTAGAGGTGTTATTGCGTGTACGATTCCTTGCAGATCATCACCGAATTCGAAATGCTCATGAGGAAAGTCCAATCGAAAATTGACTCCATAGAAGCGATTTTCGATAAAAGAGACTACCTGGAGACCGTTCCAATGGCGATAAGAAGTTACGAGGAAATCACCAAACGACTAATCTTGGTAAAGCAACCTTCCACTTACCACTCTCTTTGAGCTTGATATCGTTATGGTACAACAGGACTACGAAATACTGGACTTTTTCAAAGTGAACCTCAGCAACGAGGACTTCAAGGCCAAATGGAACGCCGTCGGTTGGCCGAAGAAAATCGAAACAGAAATCGACAAAGTGTTCGAATTCATGAAGGAAGAGGAGGACAAGTTGCTGAAACAGCAGCTGATCGACGAGGTGTCGCTGCTCGAGCAGATCGATTCCTTCAACAGCACCGTGGTGCTGCTGTCGGGCCTCTCGGAGTTCGACAAAGTGCACCAGATCGCCCAAGAGTGCGCCGACCTGTGGGACACCATGAAGGAGTCGCAGAGGAAGGGCCAGACTTTGAACCAGAGACAGAAGTTGTTCGGCATCAAAATGGTGTCGTACGATTCCTTAAACAAGCTGCTGAAGGAGTTCGAGCCGTACAAAAACGTCTGGGTGACTTCTTCAGGTGGACTACGACTCTTTTTCGAGCAGCCGGTGTAATTATTTGGTATTGTAGATTGGATAACGTTGCACCACGAATGGATGTATGGGCCTTTGATCGACATCGATCAGAAAATCATTGAACCCACGGTTACTGATATGTACAAGATGATCGTCAAGTGCACGAAGATATTCGCTAATAATCCGGAAATCCAGGAAATAGCGGTGGAAATCAAAAATCGAATAGACGATTTTAAGCCCTTGATGCCTGTTCTGATAGCCTTGAGGAATCCGGGATTGAAAGACAGGCATTGGGTGCAATTCAATAAGGAATTCGGTGAGATAATATAGTTGATTAAATGTCAATTTCTAATATTTCGTTGTAGAAATCGAGCTGACGATGGGTCCAATGGCGACGTTTCAAAGCTTCATCGATTTGGGGATATTGGAGTTTGGTGAAAGGGTCATTACTATATCAGATAACGCCATCAAAGAGTACCAAATCGAGCAGACGCTGGAGAAGATGATGGCCGAATGGGACGCTATTTACTTAGATTTATCTCCCTACAAAAATTCTGGTTAATATTTTGTTGCAGATGTTACTTCTTGTGATTCACGTGGTAATGTTTCGGTTGTTTAAGGTACCTACATGGTGAAGTTCTCGGACGAAATGCAGCAGATGCTGGACGATCACATTGTGAACATACAGCAGCTGTCCTTCAGTCCCTTCAAAGCGCCTTTCGAAGATCGAATCGACGATTGGGAGCTGAAATTGAAGATCACTTCTTATGTTATAGAAGAATGGATGGATGTCCAGAAGTAGCAATAAACAAAGACTTCACATTCTAGAGAGAACTACTTTTTTTTTATTTCACAGACAATGGATGTATCTAGAACCCATTTTCTGCAGCGAAGACATCTCCAAGCAATTGCCAGTAGAAACAAAGAAATTCGGATCGATGGAAAGAACGTGGAGAAGAGTGATGAGGAACGCTCATGAATGTCCCTTGGTAAACCATTTTTTATCGCTCATTCCTACACCATTTCTCCATCATTTAATTGTACTGTTTAAACCCCTGCAGGTCATCCAATACTGCGGCGACAGGAAGCTGTGGGAGAGCCTGAAAGACGCCAATCACCTCCTGCAAATCGTGCAGAAAGGACTTGCCGAATATCTGGAAGTCAAACGCATGATACTCCCTAGGTTCTACTTCCTCAGCGACGACGAGCTGATAGAAATCCTGGCGCAAGCCAGAACTCCTCTGGCCGTGCAACCTCACCTGAAGAAAGTCTTCGAGAACGTCGCAAGAGTACGAACTCGCCACCTTCTAGAGAGATAAATGTACATTCTTTGTACTGTTTAGTTGACGATGGAGGAAGATTTCCATATCACCCAGATGTTTTCCGCTGAAGACGAATGCGTGAATCTTACTCCTACGTTCTACCCCGTAGGGAACGTGGAAGATTGGCTGGTCAATCTGGAGAATTCCATGCGTAACAGCGTTAGAGTGGAGCTAGGCAAAGCTCTATTGGATCTGTTCCAAAAGGATAGGAAGGAATGGGTGAGTACCAAAGGACCGAAAAGCCACCTTCGAAGAAGGTTAATTGTAATTGCTTTTTAAGGTGCTCTGCTGGCCAGGTCAAGTGGTCATTGCTGTGTGTCAAACGGCTTGGACTACTGGCGTGGAAAAGGGTATAATGGACAATTCCCTAGCTGATTTCTTCAATGACGAATTGATGGTCAACTTGGACGCCTTGAGGAACCTGGTGAAAGGAAAACTCACATTTTTACAGAGGGAAATCCTGTCTGCTTTGATCGTCATCGAAGTACACGCTAGGGATGTGACGCAGAAACTGGTGGACGTGGAGAATTTAAACATCAACGATTTCGATTGGATCAGCCAGCTGAGGTTGGTGTATTTGCAATACTTGCATCTTCACCATTATTTATCATTCTTCATTGTTTGTAAATGACTTACAGATACTATTGGGTCAATGAAGATACCAAAGTTCGAGCTGTTAACGCAGAATTCCAGTACGGATACGAATATTTGGGCAACAGCGGTCGCTTGGTGATAACCCCTCTGACTGATAGGTGTTATTTAACGTTAACCGGGGCTCTGCATTTAAAATTTGGAGGCGCTCCTGCAGGACCTGCTGGTACTGTGCTTGCTAACTTCAAGTTTCAAGTGATGTAAATGCTGATTACTGCTACTTGCAGGTACCGGTAAGACGGAAACCTGCAAGGATCTGTCCAAAGCGATGGCGACGCAGTGCGTGGTCTTCAATTGCTCGGATCAGCTGGATTTCATGGCAATGGGGAAGTTTTTCAAGGGCGTCGCCAGTGCCGGAGCTTGGGCTTGTTTCGATGAGTTTAATAGAATTGACATTGAAGTGCTGTCTGTGGTAAGTTGTTGGTTGTAGCTATGAAGATGACGTCCAAACTACGTTTAAAAATCGATTTTAAATCGCTGTTTCTACCAGTTAGCATAAGTTTGATCTGCTAAAGATGATGCCCAAACTGTAGGTACTTGTTCTGGAGATTAACTAGATGAGTTTGGGTTATCCAAACTAGGTCTTCCAGGAAATCTTGGATTTCATTCCTGAATTTTAATTTCTACAGTTTGGGCAAACTTGGCTGGTGTACCTCGATAATATCTTTGTTTGATCTGCAAAAGATGATGCTCAAACGAGGTCCTCGCTATAGTTTTCTTAGCTAAATTAGTTTGGGCAATACAGTATTCTTCTGTATTCTATTCTTCTGAAGGTGACGTCCAAACGAGGTACTCGAGAAAATGTTTGGATTTTCTTTTTGAACATTAACCACAAGGATTTTACTAGGTGATGTTCAAAGTCTCCAAAATATTCTTTGAATTCCCTTTTGAATCTTCCTTTTGAATTAACACGTTTTTACTAGAAGCATTAGCTGGCGTAAGTTAATCATTTATATATTTTCTATAGACGATATCCAAAACAGATCTTCTGAATTTCCTTTTTTTAAATCTTAACCTTCATATTTTGGCTGTCTAAACAATCTGGTGTAACTCGATAAGTCTTACATCCTCTGAACATGATACCCAAACTTTAAAGTTTCTTATCTACAACCGATAGATTTTTGAGCACCTGATGCAATCCAACAAATTCTCTTTCCTAACTTGTACATCCTCTGAAGATGACGCCTAAACTTCTAAAGACCACCACCGATCACCTAGCGTTTTCCGAGTACTGGGACTATCTGGTCAACTATCCTGGTGGACTATCTGGTGCAACCAAACAAATCCTTCTTTCCATATTCCTACATCCTCTGAAGGTGACACTCAAACTTCTAAACATTCTCACCGATCACCTACCATTTTATGAGGACATGGTACCTGGTGATTCACCTAATTCCCCTGGTGCGACACAACAAATCCTTTTTCCTAATTTCTACATCCTGTGAAGGTTACATCCCAAAATCACCACGGATATCACGTAGTGTTTTCCGAGTACCTGGAGATTCATCAGCAGCAACCTACGAAATCCTCATTCTCCACAGGTAGCCCAACAACTGACCACCATCCAAAAAGCCCAGCTGTCCCGCGTCGACATGTTCTACTTCGACGGCGTGGAGATCGCCCTGCGCGGCGCCTGCGCCGTCTTCATCACCATGAACCCCGGCTACGCCGGCCGCACGGAGCTACCCGACAACCTCAAGGCCCTCTTCCGGCCCGTCTCCATGATGGTGCCCAACTACACGCTCATCGCCGAGATATCGCTCTTCTCGTTCGGCTTCGGCAACGCCAAGCCCATGGCCAACAAGATCACCAGCACGTTCAAGCTGAGCTCCGAGCAGCTGAGCAGCCAGGATCACTACGATTTCGGCATGCGGGCCGTCAAAACTGTCATCACGGTGGCGGGGAATTTGAAAAGGGAGAAGCCCGAGATGGACGAGAGGCAGATTTTGCTGAGGGCTCTGTTGGATGTGAACGTGCCCAAGTTCCTGAAGGACGATTTGAAGCTGTTTAACGGTTAGTACGGCTCTATTTGAGGTGCGTTTGAGTGCCTTTTATGTTGCGTTTTGCAGGTATCGTGAGCGATTTGTTTCCGCAAATGAAGGAGGAGCCGATCGATTATGGTAGATTGGAGCAGGGCATTAGAGCTACTTGTCCCAAATTGGGATTGGAGGATGTTAACGGTAATTGATCCTGCTGTGATAAAGCTGCGAAATTTTCAAAATATTTTCCAGAATACGTGAGGAAAGTGATCCAATTGTACGAGACTACAGTGGTCAGGCACGGATTGATGTTGGTAGGGCCAACTGGATCAGGAAAAACCAAGGTAAGATAATTTACTAAGAGTTAATTTCGTAAATAGTTATAAGTAGGGTCCTTTAACATTACTCCTAATGTTAAATGGTTTGTTAATAGATGTTAATAGTTACTTTAGAAAACGGTATTGATTTCAAGATCTGAAAAGCGGTACAATTGAACTAATATGAGCTTGTCTTTGCTTGCAAAGCGCTTCAAAATCGCTCTGGAATCGCTTCGAAATAAAACTGCTCCAAATCCGCTCTAAAACCGTTGTAAAAACTGGTTAAAGTCGCTTCATAATTGCATCAAAACCGCTCCAAAAGTGCTCCAAAACCGAACTAAAACCGCTCCAAAACCACCTCAAAAACCACTCGAAATCCGCGTTTAGGATCATTTGTTGGGGAAAGTTGAAAATTATGAATAATAAAAAGATTCGCTCTTGATATTTAGATGTAGAGTACTGGTATGATATTAAGGAAAAATAACATTATCTGATTCACATTTTGATAACTTTATTGCACCTCATTTTCCACATTTGAATTGATACAATTCCCGAACCAGCTCAATGTTCAATCTTCTCCAATTTTCCTCGGGAAACACCGGGTTTTTGTGTTCAAATATTGCTGGTGGAGTTGGCCTGGCCGACGCAGGTCAGCCTGTGAAAGGCGCTGGCGAAGAACATGCGCAGGCTGAGCCTGAAAGCCTTGCCGCACATCGTGTACAGCAGGAAATTGATGCTGAAATTCGTGCAGTAGAGCAACATGGCGAATTGCTGGATGCAATCGAAGTATATCCGGACCACTTGCAGTTGCATGATCGAATCGAAGTAGTAACAGAGGCGGATTAGGTAACTGAAAAATGCGAGGAATTAGTGTCGTCGTAAATCTCTGTTGTAAAGTTTATTTATTATAAGCTCTATTACAAAAAGCAATGTCATTTTTGTACTTGCTATTTGACAGCAATATGGCTAATCCGACCTTTTTTAATTAGTATATGAGCTATGAATTTACATTTTTTGCAAATACGAGATACAAGTAACCCCTTTGATTTGCTAAATGAAAAATTTATAAAACTTAAATAAGGCTACAGCTTTAAATTTAATTCAACAATTGTCAGAAGTTCTAGAAGAACCATTCCGAAGAGATACAACACCTTTTAATCTACAAGTTGCGCTAGTTCAGAAATGTATGATAAAAATAATTACTCATATTTTTTTTAGGTTTTTTAAATATTTTTTAATTTTTTTAACTATTACTATTATTATTACTTCCATTTGTTCCTTGCTTGCCTTCTTTGTTCGTCCTTTCATCATTTTATAAAAACCGCCTCCGCGGCTGTAAATTAAAAAATTTTAGGGAGGATTATTCTTTTTTCGATTATATTCAGATAATTACAGTGTTGTCAGCCTTATCTTTCACTAATGACAGCAATGTTTTTAGCAATATGGTTAAGCGTTAAAAATATAACCAACATTGCTAAACTAATCGAAACAGAATAAGAATTTTTTTTGCAATATTGTTACAACTTAAACATATAACAACATGGTTATCATAGCAAGATTCATAACAAGATCCAAACAGAATCGACCTGATTATTTAAATCGGATAAGTAGTTTCCTATATGCAAGTAGTTTTAACTCGTCGTGGGACACCCTGTATAAAGTACATAGAGATTTTACACAGTACAACAGATATTACTGTTATTGTGCTTAACGAGTTAAATCTATTAATTAAGTAAAGCTCCCTATTACACCTCTAATTAAAGCTAAATAATCTAAAGCTCAAATTTAGAGCCTTATTATATTATAAAACTTAGATATTATATTGTGCCTCATTTATAAACCTCTTTAAAAGCTTTAATTCTAACTTTTGGATTTTGACCTTTGCTCTCTTTCCATTCGATACATTTTAAAATCCAATTAGGCATCTCTTCCTAAGATCTAGAAGAATTTATTAGTAAAATTTTTAAATTTTACTAATAATTTTTACTATAGTCCTTGTTGACACATCATGGAAGTTTCCAACTGCGTAGTAAAATTGCAATTAAAGTGCAATTAAAGTTTTGCAAGCGCCTCTATTACATATTCTAGCGACTGGTGAGAAGTTTGAGTTACATTAGAGCTTTTTAAAGGCTTTCCGCGTTTAATAAAATTCTTTGTTTCGAATGTTGCGCAATTTTCGTTTGCGTTTTTCTCAAACGTAATAATCGGGAAAATTGTATTCGAGTTCTCCTGTGAGCCTGGAAAACGGGCAAAATCTGGAGTATTGAGGAAATTGGTGAAATAGTGGAAATAGTTAAAAATAGATAAAATTAGGGAGAATAGATGAAAATAGGGCGAATATGGGATAATGGAGAAACGTGGGGAAAATTGGGAATGTAGAAAATCTGGAGTAGGTATTGAGGAAAAATATGTGAAATAGTGGAAATAGTAAAAATAGTTAAAAATAGATAAAATAGGGGAGAATAGATGAAAATAGGGCGAATCTGAGATAATGGAGAAACGTGGGGAAAATTGTGAATGTAGAGAATCTGGAGTAGGTATTGAGGAAAAATATGTGAAATAGTGGAAATAGTGAAAATAGTTAAAAATAGATAAAATTAGGGGAGAATAGATGAAAATAGGGCGAATCTGGAATAATGGAGAACGTGGGGAAAATTGTGAATGTAGAGAATCTGGAGTAGGTATTGAGGAAAAATATGTGAAATAGTGGAAATAGTGAAAATAGTTAAAAATAGATAAAATAGGGGAGAATAGATGAAAATAGGGCGAATATGGGAAAATAGAGAAACGTGGGGAAAATTGTGAATGTAGAGAATATGGGGTAAATAGTAAATGAAGACAAATGAAAAATGGTAAATGAAGACAATTGAACAAATAGAGGAAATATGGAAATTGAAAAATTAGAGACAATAAAGAACATAGCGAAATTAGAGAGAAAAAAAGTGAAAAATATAGGGATAAAATAGGGGAAAAATTGGGAAAAAATAGGGCAAAATATAAAGAAAATATAGGGAAAATCGGAAAACTACCCACCTGGGAAAATTCAGCACAATGAAGACCGACGAAATGACGAAGAGCATTTTGTTGATACCGTGTTGCGTGTAGTATGGGGTGGTGTTGGTGGATTTTTTTACAACTACAAACCAAAAATATTATAAATAGTTAAAGTTGTTGGGAAATTTTTCTTTACTTACAAATGTGAGAAAATTTATTCAACTTCTTAATGACCCTGATTTGCTTTTTGTTTTCCTCGAGTTGTTGGTGATCTTTGGATTTTTTTGTTGAAGAAGTACTCTGGAAAAATATAATATCGTGTCAATTTCCAGTGAAATATAAAGGATATCAAAATTAGTAGTATATATCAAATATACAAATTATGCAACAAATATACAAAATTTTATGTAGAACAGATACATATTTTTTAGAGCAGCAGCCAATTTAAAGAATTCCAATTTCTCGAGTTGAATTTATTGTTTATTCTTAATTTGCTATTTTTTATTTTGAAATTGATACATTTTATTCTCAATTTGACACCATTTTTTTAATATTTACAACAGAAAAAATTTACAAATCAAGAACCATCATATCTTACAATTTATTTTGCCATCATCAACTGAATCTAAATGAAAAATAATTCACTAAAAAATACAACAAAATATTAAATCAACGGTAAATTCGATTCATTATTTTCCAATTATTTGACGTGATTAATCGAATTTATCGAATGATAATATTAACGAGCATTTGAGCAGATAATTGCAATTGCATGAAAGAAAATTTGCCTTTGTGACATTTTAGAAAATAAATATGCGTTTATTATCGTTTCGATAATTGCAGGACGAGCATTAATGAAATCTTGTCAGATTAATGAATTAATTGTTTAATTAATTATAAATAGGATTTAATTATGATACGTGAAAAAACAGAATACCATAATAAAGAAATTCTATTTGAAAAATTTCGTATAATAAAACAAAACTTGTGCGAATAACCATGCAATTTTATGTGATACAATTTGAATTTAATTATTTGTATATACAAAGTCGGAAAATTGGGAAAATGTAATTTCCCTATTAAGGAAATTATCCGAATAAATACCCAAGAGGAATTAGTTGAAGTACAAACAAATTGGATTTAATTTTAAAGGTATGTACAATGTAAATTTCTGAAAATCCAGAGAATCCTCACTTTTAATAGCCCTTTTTGAGGGAATTTTTCGAGTACCTACATACAGAACAGGGATTCATTGACTAATTTTACTAAAGTTTAGGAAAATTTTGGATTTTCCATTGTTCATAATAATTAAATTTTATTGGAAAGTTTCAAACCAAAGTGGAACTCGGTCGAATATGTAATTTTCCTGTAAAGTACCTACAAAAAAATTGAATTTAATTTTGATAAGTTAAAAATTAGAGAATCGAGAAAATCTTTAATTGTAATTAATCTACAAGGTGTTTAAAAAAAATTCCCTTTGCGAAATTGGAATTTTAATTTGAAAATTTGTATTCTGGTTTTACTTTCGAAGATAAACAACTTTCTTTAATAAAAATTTTGCGTAAAATAAAAAATAATGGTACTTCTTACTTGAGGTATTTTCATGTTTTCTTAATTTGGCAACACCCTGTAGATCCAATCTAAGATTTTTCTGTGTTATTCTCTTTTTTAAAAGAAGCAAAATTGTTTCAAAACAATGATTTTTTGTCGTAAAACGAATAATAAAAATTTTTCTCCTATAGGCAACCCCATCCGTGGACACACTGTATTCATACAAAATTTCATTACAATCTTACTAGTAGTTTTGACACAATTGTAAAAAATGCATAAAAAAGTTTTTTTTTCAACGCCTTGTATCTTGAAAAAGGAAGCCGTTACGAAATTTTTTTACTTAGCAACCCCTACTTATTTTATAATATTCTACGTCACCTAGAAAGAAGGAACCTTTTTTTGAACACCCTGTATAAAGAAAATTTCCGAGTACATAGAGAAGAGGAAAAAAATACATTAATTCCAGAAGAATTTTAGAAAAAAAAATAGAATTTTCCATTTCCATTCTCCATAATAATTCAACTTTATTGGAAAAAATTTTAACCAAATTGATACTTGATCGGTCATGCAATTTTCATGTGATGTTCAAACAAATTGGATTTACTTTTCATATGAAAAATTCATAAAATCTAGAAAATCTTCGATTGTAATCGCCTTATTAAGGAAATTTTTCGATTACAAACAGAATAGGAAGTTTATGAAAAAATCCGATTTTCCCTTGTTTATAATTAATGAAATTCTATTCCAAAAATTTAAAAACTAAAACAGAACTTGGCCGAATTGCGATTTTCACGTGAAATACGGACCGCGAAAATCCCATTTGGATATTTTACACGTAATTTCATTTCCATCCGTGTGGCCGAGTGGAAAGCAATAATGTTATGTAAATTAAAAACGACGAGGCAAATATATTCTGCATGTAAATAAAAAAATGCCGAGAATCCTAGAAAATTGTTACGTTGCGAAAATTGTTTTGCGAGTTTAAATTTTTATCTTTCTCAATTGAAATTAATTAACCTCAAACAAACATTGTACTTTAAAATGCATCTTGCGTTTTGAAATATACGGTGGGTTTTATGACTATAATAAGAATAATTTATGAATAATACGAGGTGTTTCATAAGGAATGGTCAATTTATTTAATCATAGGTTCAGGACGTTTAATTATTCATATTTTACTAAATATACAGGGTATTGAAGTTAAAATTTATTTTTCGTTTTGTTTCAATAATTAAGTGCATAATACATATAGTATATCTTTCAGATTGAATTTGGCGAACAAAACCAACACTGCAATCATTAAACTAAATTTAACAATTTTATACTGTACTATTATTTTCATTTTAGTTTTCAAGTCTACTATGTTGAAATATGTTAAAGTAAATTAAATAGATACTGTAGGTGGAATATTTTAAATGCAAATATTTCGATTTGAGATGAATTTATGCTATTAAAACAAGTAAAACTTTTTTTGTTTTAAAATACAGTTTGTATAGTAAAGACTTGAAAAAAATTCAAAAAAGTCTAGGATTAAAAAAATTGATACCATACTTTCCTTCATCCAGTAAAGTGTAGGTGGTGCCGTCTTTATCTAATTTTAAAATTGTTAACTTGTGATTTTCTAACTTAAAAAAATAACCATATCAAATTCCAAGTCAACATATTAAATAATAAAGAATTTGTTGCAAAAAAACGAAAAATTAATTGTAACTTCGACACCCTGTGTCTTAGTAGTCGATAACTTTTGGGCCATAGTTATTTTAGTAAAATATGATTATTTAGATGTCCTGAACCTATGATTAAAGGCTCGGGCACACAGAGAGCGATCTGTATGATCATAGAACGCGATCCTTGTGTTAGCGTTACAGAATGTCTGAGTTCTTCCGGTGAAAAGTACTATTGAATATGAACTCAGACGAAGAGCAACTCCTTCTGTTATACCTTTGCAAAACAGAAATAAAAAAGACGATGCTGGTTGCATTAAAACATGTCATATTTAGTTCTTCATCGGCAATTTGATTTCATGCTTCAGTCTTCTTTATAAACATTCTTACTACTGTGACAAAAGTACCCGGAAATTTGGAAAAAAAAACTAATGCAAATTCCCTAATCTTTTTTATTTTTTCCTAAATCTCCTTCAAAATGTGCTCCGTTTGAAGCGATACTCATAGTCAGACGCCTTTTCTAATCATTGAAGCATTTTATAGGCCCTTTTTGGTACGGCTTTTAGCTCCTTCTGCGAATTTTCTTTGATGAAATTTATGGAGTTCAAACGCGAACCCCGAGGTGGCAATTTGAGTTTGGGAAACAAAAAAAAAGTCAATTTCCTTCATTTTCTCGCCATTATCATTGATTGAAAAGGTCGAAGACCGTCCAGAACAAGGCAAGTCTTTAGCAATCTCCCGACTGTCTTTAAAAGTTTTGTACCATTCGTAAATATCGGGGTTATGATAAAACAAAGTCACCTTGAGCATTTCGATTCGGCCAAAGAAAACCTAAAATATGAGACAAAATCTTTGTTCATTATTTTAATCAATTAAAAAATTCAGCAGATGAACTGATTCAATCAGTTGTTACAACCAAACTGATTGAGAAATCTCTCTAATTTTTTGCATGCTAATTAACAACAGTGTTACCTACATACAGAAACTTGAAATAGTTAAAAAATATTAAGTGCAGATAATTTAAATCAGAATTTACGGGTACTTCTTTGTCAGAAATATTTCACTAATTTAGCAGATTTCTTAAATGATTATACTTACCAAATTTTACATGCAATTTAGTGAATTAATTTACTTCGTTTGTCGATATTTCAGATAAGTTAACGAAATAATTTAAAGATTTTGAAGGAATGAAAGTAAATTAGTCGTTTTTTTAGAATAGTACGATATTTAGCCGATTATTTAGATGTTCTCTACGTGTAAATTGGCATATTTTTAAGAATTTTTTAATACATTAATCGATTTTTGAGAACATTTACAAGTAAACTTGACTATTTTAAATATTTTTTAGAACGTTTAACTAAATTGGTGGATTTTTAAAAATGTGGTTGCGGAATTTATTCTTAAATGTTTTATTTTACAGTGTTACGTTGTTGCGTTGTTAGATGTTCATGTTCTTAAGAGATAAAAAAGAGTTGTAAAAACAAATTTTATAAATAGGTATCTAGAATAGTTGTTGATTTTCCTTCATTCGTTTACTTTTAATTAGTGTCATGCCTGTTTGTTCTTTCAAATAGATGTTTTTCTTGCTGAGTGTTGTTAAACACAGTATACCTATGCCAGTTATACAAGTCAAAGAGCAAGGTAACTCCATATGCTAGGGTCAAAAGTAAGTCGATTGGATTTATTTACCAACAACCAAAATGCCATACAAAACAAGTTATTGCATGTTTAAAGTGGTAACTGAAAATCGGTTTTTTTCGTCTCTAAAATTCTCATTTAAACGTCTATAAATAATTCTGGATAATTCTAAATTATTTTGAACAGTTCTCAATTCATCTAAGATTGTCCGGAACTGTTCCAATAGTCCTAGTTATTTTTAAATGTTTCTAATTGGTTCTGGATAATTCAAAATTATATTGTACAGTTCTGAAATTGTCCAGAACTGTTCCAAAATAGTTCTAGTTAGTTTTAATTGTTTCTAAATAATTCTAGATAACTCTAAATTATTTTGTACAGTTCTAAACTGTTCTAAGATTTTCCTGAACTATTCCACATGTTTAAGTAGGTTCTAAAATGTTTCTAAATAATTCTGGACAATTCTAAACGATTCAAAAACTTGAACACTCGCACGTACATTTCTTCAGTTATTATACCATCTCTCTCATTCTCTTCCTCTATTACATTGGTCATATACAGTCTCTTTCACACACTTGTGTTATTGAACCAACGAACCAACCCTGTATATTTTCCATTTTTTACAATAAAAACGAGTCTTTTATGATTTTTAAAAAACTTGTAATAGGACCATTTAAACTGATTCGAATAGTTCTAAAATGTTTTTAAATAATTTTGGACAATTCTAAACGATTTTTTACGATTTCTAAACTCTCTAAATATCGTCCTGAACTTTTCCAAATAGTCCAAAACAGTTCTAAAATATTTCTAAATAATTCTAGTATGTTCTAAACAATTATAGAACCGTTGCAAATACTAGCAAGTACTTCGTCAGTAATAGTTATACTTCTTTCGTATTATACTTCAGTTATATTACAATTTTTCCCTATTACAATTCTCCCACTCATATTACTCTTACATCCACACATCGTACTATATTTTTACATAACGAAACCGTGCAATTACCTGCGAAGTACCAAATATACATATTTTAGATAATAGACATATTTTAGATAACTCTAAATTATTTTTACAGTTCTAAACTGTTCTAAAATTTTCCTGAACTATTCCACATATTTAAGTAGGTTCTAAAATGTTTCTAAATAATTCTGGACAATTCTAAACGATTCAAAAACTTGAACACTCGCATGTACATTTTTTCAGTTATTATACCATCTCTCTCATTCTCTTCCTCTGTTACATTGGTCATATACAGTCTCTTTCACACACTTGTGTTACTTGAACCAACGAACCAACCCTGTATATTTTCCATTTTTTACAATAAAAACAAGTCTTTTATGATTTTTAAAAAAACTTGTAATAGGACCATTTAAACTGATTCGAATAGTTCTAAAATGTTTTTAAATAATTTTGGACAATTCTAAACGATTTTTTACGATTTCTAAACTCTCTAAATATCGTCCTGAACTTTTCCAAATAGTCCAAAACAGTTCTAAAATATTTCTAAATAATTCTAGTATGTTCTAAACAATTATAAAACCGTTGCAAATACTATCAAGTACTTCTTTAGTAATAGTTATACTTCTTTCGTATTATACTTCAGTTATATTACAATTTTTCTCTATTACAATTCTCACACTCACATTACTCTTACATCCACACATCGTACTATATTTTTACATAACGAAACCGTGCAATTACCTGCGAAGTACCAAATATACATATTTTAGATAACTCTAAATTATTTTGTACAGTTCTAAACTGTTCTAAGATTTTCCTGAACTATTCCACATATCTAAGTAGGTTCTAAAATGTTTCTAAATAATTCTGGACAATTCTAAACGATTCAAAAAATTGAACACTCGCACGTACATTTCTTCAGTTATTATACCATCTCTCTCATTCTCTTCCTCTATTACATTGGTCATATACAGTCTCTTTCACACACTTGTGTTACTTGAACCAACGAACCAACCCTGTATATCTTCCATTATTTACAATAAAAACGAGTCTTTTATGATTTTTAAAAACTTGTAATAGGACCATTTAAACTGATTCGAATAGTTCTAAAATGTTTTTAAATAATTTTGGACAATTCTAAACGATTTTTTACGATTTCTAAACTCTAAATATCGTCCTGAACTTTTCTCCCACTCATATTACTCTTACATCCACACATCGTACTATATTTTTACATAACGAAACCGTGCAATTACCTGCGAAGTACCAAATATACATATTTTAGATAATAGACATATTTTAGATAACTCTAAATTATTTTTACAGTTCTAAACTGCTCTAAGATTTTTCTGAACTATTCCACATATTTAAGTAGGTTCTAAAATGTTTCTAAATAATTCTGGACAATTCTAAACGATTCAAAAACTTGAACACTCGCACGTACATTTTTTCAGTTATTATACCATCTCTCTCATTCTCTTCCTCTATTACATTGGTCATATACAGTCTCTTTCACACACTTGTGTTACTTGAACCAACGAACCAACCCTGTATATCTTCCATTTTTTACAATAAAAACGAGTCTTTTAAGATTTTTAAAAAACTTGTAATAGTCCTGGTAAATGGTTCTGGAATTATTTGGTTTATCCTGGACCATTTAAACTGATTCGAATAGTTCTAAAATGTTTTTAAATAATTTTGGACAATTCTAAATGATTTTTTACGATTTCTAAACTCTCTAAATATCGTCCTGAACTTTTCCAAATAGTCCAAAACAGTTCTAAAATATTTCTAAATAATTCTAGTATGTTCTAAACAATTATAAAACCGTTGCAAATACTAGCAAGTACTTCTTCAGTAATAGTTATACTTCTTTCGTATTATACTTCAGTTATATTACAATTTTTCTCTATTACAATTCTCACACTCACATTACTCTTACATCCACATCGTACTATATTTTTACATAACGAAACCGTGCAATTACCTGCGAAGTACTATTGCGACAGGCGTGCACGTTCCTCGGCCGTCCATCGTCCGTCAACCTCACCTGCATGGTACTCCTGAACTTGAACAAACTGCACGCAATCATCGAATTCATCCCCACTATCATCACCACCGGTATCAGCAACGTACCCACCGTATCCGCGTAATTCACCACCTCCATCACCTCCTGGTACTCGGGCCGCATCTGGCACTCGTCCTCGATGACGTCCGTTATCCAGAAGGTGTGCGCGTAGAGCAGAAAAGCCAGCGCGGTGAGCGCGCCCACGATCATCTTGGCCCTCTTCACCGTGCAAATGTAGGGCCTCTTCAGCGGATACTGCACGGCGATGAAGCGCTCCACGGTGAAGGCCACTATCAACCAAACGCTCAGAAACGAGAACACGTAGGTCAAGTAGATGCAGGTCTGGCAGAAGCCGGGCCTGTCGTACAAATTGAAGAGGTCCCCCGAGCTGCAGTACACCAAAAAGGCGCAGAACAAGTAGCCGCTGTCGACCAGCGACAGGGCCGCCAGATAGTAGCTGGAGCTCCTGAGCCTGAGGTGCGTGGAGAGCAGCACCAAGCAGGAGACGGAGTTGCCCAGCATGCCGGCGACCATGATGAACGGGGTGTAGTACTCGTGGAAGAGCTCCATGTAGGCGTAGAAGTGCCGCGAGCTGTTGGCGCACGTGTAGCCGTACTCCAAAGCGTTGGAGTAGTTTGAGGTGTAGAGCAATCGTCGGTGGATGTGGAGCATCCCGGCGGGAACTGGTGGAATCGGCGGAATGAGCGATGGAACAGGTTGTTGCCGGTTTTCGGGGGAGGTTTCTGGATGGCGCAGGCGCTCGCTCGAACGGGACTTCTTTTTGTCGGGGGGAAAACGCGGAAAAGTGCGAGTTATTTTTACGCGGAATTGGATTTTAATCGGGCCGTTGGCGTGTAATTGGCCGAGTTTACCTGGAAAATTCTTAAAGAAATTTAAAGGGGTGTATAATAAGAAAATTATCCAAACGGAAAAATATTTAAAGCTTTCAATAGCACGTTAACGAATGGCATTATATCGTATGAAAGGACGTTTTTGTACCTACACGTGGATATATTTTTCCCCCTACATTTTGTTCCCTTCAATTGGAAAACAATCACGTTTTCCATTTTTCATAATGCATTGTACGAGTTAAATGGAAACCGGATTTTACCTAATCAATGGAAGTTTAATTTTAACCGTATGCGCTTTCCAGTGTTACGTGAACCTGAAGGAAGCCATGACGAGCCTGAAAGGGGAACTCCAGCCGAGCGGTTACCCTTTCCAGCCGGTCCAGACTTACGTTTTGAATCCCAAATCCATCACGATGGGTCAATTGTATGGAGAATTCGATTTGGCCACTCACGAATGGTAAAATTAAAAAAAAAAGTCCTAATATTCTCCTCAAATTCATTCCATAACTTCGCAATCTACGATTTCTTCAATTTTTGCAACTTTAATTGAATCTTTTGTTCGCGGAAAATTCGTAATGTTTCATACGCAACATTTAAAAAAATGTATAATTGAACAATGGAAATAGAAATGGAAACAATTTTTATTTCGAACAATCGTCCATTCATCGAAACGTGATCTATCACGTAACAGGAACACATACGTATACAGTATGTCCTGGATAAGGATGAAGAGCATGAAATCTGGAAAAGTGAAAATGAATAAGCGAAGTAGATTACTAAAATTACTTCAAGTTTAAGTTTTTAGTTTCAACTTTAAGATTGTTTCAAGTAATAGATTATTACTAGTAAAATTACTAGTAATCTATTACTTGAAACTTTGAAACAATTTAATCTCTTAATCCTCTTAATTTACTCTTACTCTATTCTATTATAGTCTATTCTCTACTTTCTACTCCTTAAGCAGGGCGCGCATGTAATCTCTATTCCTTACTTTCTGCTCTACTTTAACTGTGCAACTCTCTACTTTTTACTCTTTGCTCTCTACTGTATACTATTTACTCTCTATTCTACTCTCTACTCAACACTTTAAATGTTTACGACTCTCTACTTTTTACTATTTGCTCTCTTCTTTATACTCTTTCTGTACTCTATTATCTAATCTCTATTCCTTACTCTCTGCTCTATTTCAACTGTACGACTTTCTACTTTTTACTCTTTACTCTCTACTGTATACTCTCAATTCTACTCTCTACTCTACTTTAACTGTACGACACTCTACTTTTTACTCTTTACTTTCCACTTTAACTGTACGACGCACTACTTTTTACTCTTTGTTCTCTACTTTACTATCTACTCTCTACTTTCTACTCTTTGCTCTCTACTGTATACTCTTTACTCTCTAGTCTACTCTCTATTCCTTACATCCTACTCTACACTTTAAATTTTTACGACTCTCTACTTTTTACTCTTTGCTCTCTACTGTATACTCTCTATTCTACTCTCTGCTCTACCTTAAAAGTACGACTCTATACTTTTTACTCTTTGCTCTCTACTTTACTATCTACTCTCTACTTTACTCTTTACTCTATACTCTCTACTTTACTGTCTACTCTTTACTCTTAGCTCTACTCTCTACTTTACTGTCTACTCTCTACTTTTTACTCTTTGCTCTCTACAATACTCTTTATTCTCTACTTTACTGTCTACTCTCTACTTTTTACTCTTTGCTCTCTACAATACTCTTTACTCTCTACTTTCCTGTCTACTCTTTACTCTTAACTCTATTCTCTACTGTATACTCTCCACTTTTTAACCTTTGCTCTCTATTTATACTCTCTACTTTATTATCTTCTCTCTTTTGACTCTACACTATACTCTCTACTTTACTCTCTACTGAGTCTACTCTCTACTTTTTCTCTTTACTCTAGACTATACTCTGTATTCCTTACTGCCTACGCTCCACTCCCTACTCTTCTCTACTCTCTACTTTTTACTCTTTGCTCTCTACTTTATATTCTTTACTCTGTACACTACTTGTACATAGATCCACATGTTTTTCATCGTTATACAGACCACACTGTAGGTAATTACATGCGTGAGTTATTTTAAATTATTTAGATCATATAAAAACATTTTGTAAAAAACAAATATTATTTCAATTCGATCAGGACTGACGGCATCCTTCCTTGTCTGGTGCGCGTGGGAATCCGCGCGGAGAACAAGGACAAACGTTGGTACATATTCGACGGGCCGGTCGACGCAGTCTGGATAGAGAACATGAACACAGTGCTGGATGATAATAAGAAATTGTGCATGACTAGCGGGGAAATTATCAAATTGAGGGACACCATGACGATGATGTTCGAGGTGGCCGATTTGGCTGTGGCATCTCCGGCTACTGTATCCAGGTAAATTAGGGAGAAAGGTGTAAAAATGTGTCGGAGGAAAAAGTAGGATGGATATTGAGGACGGTAAACTAGCTAGAAGAGTTTAATGAATTTATTTTTAGTAATAAAGCAGGGTAAAAGTTATTTAGAAGTTTCAACTAGCGGGAGAGTTTAATGGATTAATTTATCAGAAAAAAAGTTGGGAGAAATACTTCGGGAAATTAAACTATGCGAAAAAGTTAAGGAACCGGTATCAAACGATGCCTTTATTTTTTTAATAAAAAAAGCAGGGAGAAACATAGTCTGGAAACAAAACTTGCCAGAATAGTTAGGACAAGTTTAAAGGTCAGAAAAATATAGGGAAAAGGATATTCAGAAAATTAAACTAGCGTGAAAATGTATGGAAAATTTGATGATTATATCGTTCGGATAATAGTTGAGAGAAACAAAACAAGCCAGAAAAATTATGGAAAGTTTGATGGATTTATTTTTCAGAAAAAAATAGGGGAAACATTTTCAGGAAATTAAAATGTCCAAATAATTATGGAAAGTTTAATGAATTTATTTTTCAAAAAAAAGGGAGAAACATGTTCTGAATACAAAACTAGTTGGAATAGTTAGGCAAAGTTTAAAAAAATGAAAAGAAAATTATTGAAAGAAATGATGAATGAATTTAATTTGTTTTCGAAAAAAAGTAGAAAGAACGTATGAAGAATACAAAAATAATCAGAATTTTTATGGAAAGTTTGATGACTTTATTTGTTAGATAATTTAATAAAAAAGTAGGGAGGACCGTATTCTGGAAACAATAGTAGCCAGAATAGTTAAGGAAAATCTAAATTTAAGATATTCAGCAAATTAAACTACCGAGAAAAATTATAGAAAGTTTCGTTTTTGTTCGGTAAAAATATACGGGAAACATAATCAGAAAACAGAATTTATCAGAAAAATTATAGAAAGTATAACGTATTGTTCAAATAAAAAGTAGGAAGACACATATTAAGAAAATTAAATTAACAAGAAAAAATATAAAAAGTTTCATGACTTTATTGTTTAGATAAAAGTAGAGAAAAACAGAATATAACCAGAAAAGTTTATGGAAAGTTTAATAACTGTATTGTTAAAATAAAAGTAGGGAGAAACAAAACTAGAAAAATTAAGAAAAGTTTGATAAATTTATTGTTTAGATAAAAATAAAGAGAAACAAAACGTATCCAGAAAAAAAATATAAAAGTTTGATAAACTCATTATAAAATACAGCCAGAAAAATGTATGGCAAGTTTAATGACATTGTTTACATATAAAAAGGTATAATCAAAACTAGCGAGAAAAATTCAGGAAAGTTTGAAGACTTTATTGTTTAGATAAAAGTAGGTAGAAACAAAACAAGCCAGAAAAGTTATGGAAAGTTTGATGACTTTATTGTTAACGTATAAAGAGGGAAACATATCCAGAAAAATTATAGAAGTTTGATAACTTCATTGTTTTTAAGTAGGAAAAAAGAAAGCTAGTCAGAAAAATTACGTAAATTTTGATGACTAACTAAAACTATCCAAAATAATTATACAAAACCCAATCGCTTTACTATTCCAGATGCGGTATGGTGTACCTGGAACCAGCAGTTTTAGGCCTGGATCCTTTCGTAAACTGCTGGCTAAGGAGATTACCAGAAGTATACCAAATCACATACATTTAAAATATTCATTTCTCAAACTTATTTTTTTATATTTTTCAGTTGGTATTACCGTACGCCAATGATCTGAAGGATCTCATCCATTACTACACCATACCCGGGCTTCATTACATGCGGGATTATTTGAAGGAAGTGATGACATCCGTGGATTCGGCTCTGTTGATATCGTTTTTGCAAATGATGGATTTCAAATTGGAGCCGGTGTCGGGCGCTAGGGTGCCCCCCCAACCTCAATTCCTCGCTTTAATGAGTAAGTAGCATTGTGTTCGAGGGTAATTTGTTCGGTAATTTGAAGGGTTTCCATTGGAAATCGCATTTTCGTGATGATAGAAGTGGTGGAGGTCGGTGATTCACTGATTGGCGGTTTTGTGGAGGGTTGGAATTCAAGCCTGGATTTTTTTTCGATTTCACTTTTGTCGAAGATATTTTTTTTTAAATCGCTCGAGCTCAACTTGAGGAAATAACTAAATTATTCCTCTTGACCTCTTGTTAGATACTTTTGTCCAAACATACTTTACCATTTTTCACTTCGTTTAAAAACGACCTAAAAGATTTTTTCAGAACCGCTCAAACTATTCTCTAAAAACAGCTCAATTGTTTGTTCAAAACCGATTGTTCTGGAACCATCGGTTTATGGGGAACGAAAAAATATCTTCTGATTACATTAGGTTACAAATTTTACACTTTTTTTACTGCATGACATAAAATCAATTTTTTCTAAATGATTCTGGAGCGTTCTAAATGGTTCTAGACCGTTCTAAATAATTCTGGAGCGTTGTGAATAGTTCTAGACGGTTCTAAATGATTCTGGAGCGTTGTAAATGGTTCTAGAGAGTTGTAGATGATTCTGAAGCATTTTAGATTGTTATAAACAGTTCTAAATAATTCTTAAGCGTTGTAAAAAGTTGTATTTAAACAATTCTAAATAATTCTGGAGCGTTGTAAATTGATCTAGATATCAGTTTTAAATAATTCTGGAGCTTTGTTAATGGTTCTGAACAGTTCTAAATTGTCTGGACAGTTCTAAGTGGTTCTAGATAATTCTAAATTGTTCTAGACAGTTCTAAATGTTTCTGGACAGTTCTAAATGATTCTGGAGCGTTTTAAATGGTTCTAGACAGTTTTCTAAGTGGTGTCCTAGGAGACCTATTGTTGGAGTTTAATGCGCAAAACTCACCCAAAATCATGCAAAAAAACAAATGTTGAACGCTCAGCATTTCTAATAATTTGAAATTTCTTTTCATGCATTACAGAGATATTAAATTCCATTAAAACAAATGATTTTATTATCGTAGTTTAATTCGGTTAGGTGACGTGCTAGACTTTTTATAACATTTTCCACTTTTCTCGAAAGCGTTTCGGATATTTTTTTCCAAAGTCGCTCAAAATGTTCCATAAAATTTGCTCTATCGCTTGTTTCTAACCACTTGAACTAAAAAAATCTGCTGGAATAGTTATGGGGAGACAAAAAAATATTTCTTATTTCTAAAAATACTTTAAGGAAACTGGAAAAAATTGCCCAAAATATTTCCTAAAAATTACTCAAAATGTTTTATAAAATCTACTGTTTCAAACCGCATGTTCTGGAAAGATTCGAGAAATAACAAAATTACTTCTGATAATTTGTCTAAAAAATTGTCTTTCATAATAAACCTAAAAATACTTTAATATTTTCCAAAAAACTAGACAGTTTCAGAAAACTAGAAAATATTGCCCAAAATTACTAACAATTACTTAAAATTTTCTCTAAAAACCAATCAATCATTTCTAACCACATCTTTTGGAAAGTTCTGTGAGAAAAGGTATAAGGGAAACGAACAAAAGTTATTTCTCTTGATAATTTGTCTGAAAATACTGTAGCAATTTCCACTGTTGTGCAGCTTTTTTTTCAAAATCACTCAAAATATTCCCTAAAAACTGCTCAGTAGTTTGTTCCAAACCGCATATAATAGAAAATTGTATTTTTTTGAAAATTACACAAAAATTTATTAATTATCTACAAAAAATTGATAACTACAAAAATTGATATATCACTTTAAAAATTAAACATTAACACTAAAAAACTCTCATTTCATCATTAATCGATATCAATTAAATAAATAAAAATATTAATTATTTGATACTTGCAAAGTTATGGAGAATTTCTTTCTGATCAAACACTTTGCTCCATACCTCTAAAGTATGTAGTTTTAGAGTTAAAAGCAAAAAATATAACTTGGCAATAATTACAATCAACCAAATAACATTACAAATCTAATCTAAAATTTCTCTCCGAATTGTTTATCAAATTTCTCTATTTATCAAAATTCACTATTTCTCTTTCCTCGCACCGTCTACCGAAACAATGAGGCCTCTTACTAATCAGTCATCCATGTAAAGTGAGTAAAGGGGGCTTCTCTTGCATCAATCGAAACCCATTTAAAATATAACCCTTCTGCATTCTTTCAAAATCATCAACAAAACTCGCTCTAATAATAATACTCCAATTACTTGCGAACTAATTACGCAACTCTACGTACACTTTAAATACAATATAGCGATAGTCGAAAAGTGAAACACATTTAATTCCGTTCATTAAACGCGTCAGAGATCTTATGCAAAAGAGGGATCTCGTCTAAAATTACTAGCGTTTCGAACGAAACTAATTGGCAGAAGTTTGAGAAAATTAAATTAACGTTCGACTGTTTATTATTTGTGCTCTAATTAGAAATTAATAGATACCTTGAGAATGGTTGTTTGTTTGAGCGAGCGGGAGTATTACATGTCATTGCGAGTGGAAATTGTTTCGAAACTATTATTAGTTTATTTTTTATTTTTGTTATATTAGCTTTGTAGGGTTAGAGAATAATGAGCGTTAGACGATTTTTTAGATTATTTTATATTAAATTTAGATTTAGATTTAGATTATTATTTTATTAAATTTCAGATATGGAATTTGTTCATCATGTAATTTGGCCTTTTTTCAGATTTTTTCACTTACTTTTACGAATTTGATTTTTCAGTTGATTTAAAAAAAATTAGACTATTTTATTATTTTTTTAATTTATTTTTAAACGACAATTTTATCGACAATTTTTCAATATTTTATTTTAAGGAAAATTGACTGATTTTTAAAATATTTTTCTAAATTATTCTTTCTTAAGTACTTTACAACTATGGTTGACGATTTTGTTAGAATATTTTGATAAATCAGTTCAATTTTAGATTTATTAAATTTATTGGAGTTATTTGATTTATTAGATTTTTTTAGATTTTATTAGATTTTATTAGATTTTATTAGATTTTATTAGATTTTATTAGATTTTATTAGATTTTATTAGATTTTATTAGATTTTATTAGATTTTATTAGATTTTATTAGATTTTATTAGAAAAATATTAGATTTTTACATGTAAAATTGACACATTTTTTCAAATGATTGTGCAAATAAATTTGGTGATTTTGTTAGAAAATTTTGCGAAATTATTTAATTTTGTAGGTGATAAACGAAATTTTACGTGTAAATTGACGAATATTTTATTAGTTGATTTCCAGATGATTGACTTTTTCTGTTTAGAATATTATACAAAATTTGACAATTTTTTAAATTTTACAAATAAATTAGAATATATCCAGGAATATTTGGAATTTAAAAAAATTAAATTAACGTTCTATAGCTTATTATTACTGTTCTAATTAGAAATTAATTAAAGGCAACAGCATTATTATTATAATATATGGTACATGTCAAAGCGAACGGAATTTGTTTCGAAACTATTAAATTACTAACTTTATTTTATTTACATTAGCTTTGTGATTAATTAAATTGATTGAATATTTTAGAGGGTCTCATCGCCCCATGGGTAGTTTTTTGCACGATATGGAGCATCGGTTGTACGTGCGACAATGACGGAAGAATTTTGTTCGATAAATGGATTAGAGAAAGAATGAAATCCAGAGGGGATAAGCCTTATTTTCCCAAAGATCTCCCTTGTTACGATTTTAGGTAATTTTCCATGAAAATTTCCAATTATACAATTAATATCCAGTTATACGGGGTATATCACCACGAGTTTAAACTATCTTTAGATTAGTTCAATTTTTTTTGCAATATGAGTTCAACAAAGAATGATTATTAAAATAACAGTGGTTGGAATAAGAAAGTTGCAATCCCACGATATCACTCATTGTTTTTTCTTTATATGGGACTAATGGAATTTGTCTTTGTTGAACCCATAGCCTATATTGCAAACAAGTTTGCATCTATCAGTATATTAAATTTCGTGTAGATTGCATGATGGGGGATTCACGGATCCAACGGAAAATAACGAGCCCAAGCATGCCAGTTGGCGCAACTGGATGGAGAACTTGGAGGAATACGTTATCACGCCCGAGATGAAGTATTCAGGTAAATCATAGTAGAGGGAAAATAGGGAAAAATCGGTTAATTTCGTCTAAAGTTTTACTACAAAAAATGTTAAATGTTGTAACAGGGTTTAATTTACTTATTGTACGTGGAAGTTTCTTTTGTTAAGGAATGTTAGAAAGTGTAAATTGATCGGAAAATGGTGAAAATTTCTTTTTGCCGAAATTCTTATTACAAAACAAGTTAAATTTATTAATAATATAGGAAAAACACTTCTTTTACTAGAAAACATACCAAATTTACTAAATAATTGATCAAAAATTCCTTCACCAAAAACTGTTACAACCGAAGATGTTAAATTTACTAATATTCGATCGAAAAAAGCAAAAAATCTCTTCATTTACAAAAAATCTTCTCATTTACAAAAATATTTTCTATAAAGTATGCTCGAAGTTTTATAAATTCATAAGAAAATATTAAAAAAATTCCTTCATTTTCCAAAACTTTTACAACCGAATATGTTAAATTCACTAATATTCGATTGAAAATAGCAAAAAATCTCTTCATTTACAAAAAATCTTCTCATTTACAAAAATATTTTCTATAAAGTATGCTCGAAGTTTTATAAATTCATAAGAAAATATTAAAAAAATTCCTTCATTTTCCAAAACTTTTACAACCGAATATGTCAAATTCACTAATATTCGATTGAAAATAGCAAAAAATCTCTTCATTTACCAAAATATTTTCTATAATACATGCTAAATGTTTTATTAATTCATAAGAAAATATCCTTTCATATACCTAAACTTTTTCTACCAAAAATGTTATATTTATTACATATTGTAGCGGCCCGTAATTAGTCGCGTTACCAAGTTCATCTATCCGCCACTAGATGCGCTAGTTACATCTCGAGTCGAAGACTGTAGCTAATATTCTCTTATACAGCTCAAGCGGTGGATGAAATGGAATTGGAATTGAATGTACTTTTCTTATATTCGAATTGTTAGCGTTGAATAAAGCGTTTTAATTATCTTTTCGAATTTAGTATATTCACCTTCCTACAACTGGCGCCCAACGTCAAGGCCCATGTTTTAATGTGGGAAAAATTAAATTAATCTCTTGCAGTTTACGACTTGCGACAAGAGTGCTCGCTCACTCTAGTCCGAGTTATATTTAAATCCGTCAAGGATACGTCAAGGACATTCGCTCTTCGAGCTTTGCTTCTAGACTATTTCTAGACGTTTACGCTTCGATACACGCTTGCGACAAAAGGTACACTATAGTCCAAGTCATACGTTTACATCGAGACATCGTCGTGATTGTTTTGAAAAACTTCGGCAAGGTATTCGCCATCTCACGAATCGGCTTTACCCGTCTTGTTTTTCCAACAATAATCAAAATTCAGCCACAAGAACGTCGCAGTATACGCCTCGCAAGTAAAGCCACGATGGCTATGACCGGAGATCAACTAAGACAGCTTCTGGAAGCGGTTGCAGGAATGCGCACCGAAGCAGAGCATCCCCGGGGCAGTCTAAGCAAATGCACGGCACGCTTCAATGGCGAAAGAAACCACGAAACCGTCGAGCATTTCCTCAACATGGTAACCATATACAAAGATATGGAAAACGTCTCCAGCGAAGACGCTCTACGAGGGTTACCCTTACTATTAACGGACACGGCCGCGACCTGGTTCCAAGGTATTAAGGAGGAAGCCACCACCTGGGAAGAAGCACTGCAGATGCTAAGATGCGCTTTCTCTCCCGCCACGCCGTCCTACCAAATATACAAAGACGTCTTCAGCGGTACTCAATGCGAATGGGAACCGACCGACGAGTTTATTTGCAAGAAACGTGCGCTTCTAGCCCAACTACCTACGGGTCGGCACGATGAAGCGACACAAATAGACTTTCTCTACGGGCTATTACACGTCCGACTTCGTCAAAGGATACCGCGAGAGCAAGTAATAACTTTTGCGACGCTCCTTACAAAAGCGAGACAAGTGGAAAAGCTGGAAAAAGAAACCCGTGTCGAAGATCAACGTTCCTCCGTACCGTCGACATCCGAGGAACCAGAACTGGAACGAAAGAAAACGGCACCGAAACGCAAGCCAATTCGCTGCAATTTTTGCGGATTCAGGGGGCATATAGCCCAAGAATGTCGGAAGCGATTAGCAAAAGTCGCCGAACAAAGTCAACCCAAGGAATCTGAAACCAGGGAGAACGGAGTAAATACGATCCGTTGCTACGGCTGCGGGAAGGTTGGCTACTTTCGCAGCAACTGCCCAACGTGCTCCAAGGCACCCGTCGACGCTACTACGCAGGCAATCCAATTCTACTCAATAGAAACTTGGCTCCACTCCAAACCAGGGGGAGTGCCTACGGTGCCAGCCCGAATTGGCGGCATAAAAGGCCAAGCTCATTTGGATACGGCAGCGAAGACCAGTATAGCGAGTACACTTCTTTACAAGTTACTCCGGAAGAATGGCGCGACATTTACACGAACCTCGGCCACAGTAACTTTAGCTGATGGAACCAGCAAAACCTCTGAGGTACTCACCACGTGCACCACCATAGACTTAGGTGGAAGAGTGCACAATATTCAGTTCGTCGTTTTGCCCGATGCAATCGACAACAGGACGTTACTCGGGATCGACTTCCTGTCAAGAGCAGGACTCACCCTCGATCTGGGACAGCAATGTTGGTATTACGCTGACCAACCAGATAAAAAGTTTGATTTCTTGCCACATCACGGACGAGAAGTAACTCCTCGTGCAGCTAATCTGCCTGTGGCCACGGCAGACATAGAGGAAGCAAAATCGCCATTTTTGGAATTCTACGCTTCACCACTACCGGATCTTGACGAGCTACAAGACGAACCAATGGAATTCGGTGCAGCCATACCTCGACATGATCGTGATGACGAGTACTCACCGGAAGCGATAGAAGAGATTTTTCGAGACAGTTTACCTCTGAATTATTCACCTCTGAAGAAACGACTCAGAGAACTAAATCTCTTCAGCATCGATGTATATAGTATCGACGTAGAGCTCGAACCAAGCGAAGCACCGGAATTGGATCAGCACCAACGTGAGAAAATTAATCAAGTCCTTAGAAGATTTAAGGACATTTTTGAGAAGGACGGACCTCCGACACATCACGCAGAACACCGAATTGACACCGGTAACCATTCTCCTATAGCCAGCGCTCCTTATCGCTTAAATGCATCCCGACAGTCTCTCCTACGAGAAAAGTTAGATGAAATGTTAGCTGCAGGAATAATTGAAGAGAGTGAGACCCCGTGGGTATCACCGGTGGTCCTCGTCCCCAAAAAGGATAACGATGTTCGAGTTTGTATTGACTATCGTCGACTAAATACTGTCACGGTACCCGACCGATACCCTTTACCGAGAATCGACGATCTCCTGCACTCCGCACGAAGTTGCCCGTACATGACGAGCCTAGATCTGCAATCCGGTTATTGGCAGATCAACATCCACGAAGCCGATCGGCACAAGACTGGATTTATTACACCATTCGGGGTGTATCATTTCAACCGTATGCCATTCGGACTCTGTAATGCTCCTGCAACGTTCCAACGCTTGATGGATCGCTTCGCAGCCACATTGAAGGGAGTCACTATACTCGTCTACCTCGATGACATAATCATAAGATCCATTAATTTCGAACAACACGTATTGGATCTGGAAGCCGTATTCGAACATCTCAGACATTTTCGTCTAAGGGTAAATCGACGAAAGTGCAATTTCAGCTGCGCTGAAATCAAGTATCTAGGGCACTTGATAACCAGAGAAGGGATAGCTGTAGATCCATCCAAACTGGATCCCATACTAGCTAGGCCGGCTCCCAAAAACGTGAAACAACTTCTTTCATTCGTTCAGACTTGCTCCTGGTATAGGCGATTTATACCTAATTTCGCCCAGACAGCCAGACCACTGACGAATCTGTCAAAAAAGAAGGCTGTGTGGAAATGGGGAGAGGCCGAGCAAAAGACATTCGAGCAACTCAAAAGGCAGTTAACAGAAACGCCAATCCTGAAACAAGCCGAAGAAACCCTACCATTCGTGATTAAAACCGATGCTAGTGCATATGCACTCGGGGCTGTTTTAGTCCAGGGGGAGGGAGAACAGGAACACCCGATCGAATACGCAAGTCGTCTGTTAACCGCCGCCGAACGGAACTATTCGACGACCGAACGCGAGGCATTGGCGATTGTTTGGGGCACAAACAAGTTCCGCGGTTACATAGAGGGATCGGAGACGATCATAGTAACTGATCATCAACCTTTGAGATGGCTACTAAGCCTAAAAACGCCTACCGGACGACTGGCTCGATGGGCTCTCCAACTTCAATCGTATAACTTAAAAATACAGTATTCACCAGGAAGAACTAACGTCGTAGCAGATTATCTATCGCGTCCACCTTGTGACGACCACGAGAATCCGACGTGCGTGTGTCACATAGAGATTGATCTACCCCGAAATAACGAAAAAGATATGCGCGACAAGCAGCTCCAGGATGATGACCTCATACCCATAATTAATTCACTAGAATCTCCATCGTCAGAAACTAGTCAGAAATGGCATGATAGAGGCTATTTCATGCACAAAGGTGTCCTCTATAGATATGCAGATGACCAGGAAGACGATAATGCTCGGATAGTCCTTCCCAGTGACGAAAAGAGTACCATTCTACACCAGTATCATGATGCACCAACTGCTGGACATTATGGAATTGATCGGACAATCAGCCGCATTGCCAAAAGATACTTCTGGACCGGAATGCGTCGCGACATAATCCGACATATCGGGAAATGTGCTCCTTGTCAACGATACAAAGTTTTAAATAGAAGACCAACAGGTTTAATGCAAACCACCCCAACTAACCAACGATTCGAAGTACTCGCAATTGACCTCTTCGGACCCTTGCCGCCCACAGCACAAGGGGAGCGCTGGATCTTTATAGTTGAAGACCTGGCCAGCCGTTGGGTAGAGATATTCGCATTGAAAGAGGCCACTGCTGAAAACTGCGCAACGACTCTTCTGAATGAAGTTTTCTTGAGATTTGGATTACCACGCCGCGTACTAAGCGACAACGGCACCCAGTTCATTTCATCAGTAATGCAGAAGCTTACCTACTGCCTTGGGATTAAGCAAACGTTCACACCCGTTTATCATCCGGAAGCAAATCCCGTGGAGAGGAAGAATCGCGATTTGAAAACGCAACTAGGGATTCTAGTTGGAAGACACCATCCCGATTGGGCAAAACAATTAGCCGCAATCAGGTTTGCCATGAACAGTGTTCATAGCGAAAGCACTGGATTCTCGGCCGCTTACCTGACCTTCGGGAGGGAGCTCAGAACGCCACAGGACGTAGCAGATGACCTGAGTACTATAGTACGATCAGAAAATTTTGTGCCTGAAATTACCCCGGCCCTGATGCAGTTAGCAGGAACATGGACACTAGCTAAGGAGACCATGGAAAAACGCCAGGACCGTAACCAAACTTACGTGAACCAAAAACGACTACCTGACCCCGGTTATCAACCAGGCGACAAGGTTTGGGTTCAGACCCATACACTTAGCAATGCAGCTAAGGGATATTCGACCAAATTGGCTCCCCGACGAGATGGACCATACACAGTTCTAGCCAAGCATGGACCAGCGAGCTACGAGATTGCCACCACGGAGAAGCCGAATGAGTTACTGGGAGTTTACCACACCTCGGCAATAACTCCCTACGACGGAACTGAGGAAGAGGAGCCGATCCGAACCATGCGAAAGAGAGGCCGACCAAGGAAGCAGACCACACCAGAAGTGACGACTGATGGGCCTTCCAGAACAGCTGATTCCTCGTCGAGACGACTTCGGAACCAGAGGGGGAGGCTGTAGCGGCCCGTAATTAGTCGCGTTACCAAGTTCATCTATCCGCCACTAGATGCGCTAGTTACATCTCGAGTCGAAGACTGTAGCTAATATTCTCTTATAGAGCTCAAGCGGTGGATGAAATGGAATTGGAATTGAATGTACTTTTCTTATATTCGAATTGTTAGCGTTGAATAAAGCGTTTTAATTATCTTTTCGAATTTAGTATATTCACCTTCCTACAACATGATAATAATTTCTTTTTGTCTATTCAATAATTTTTTGCTAAATTTACCAATAATTTTTTACTGCGAAAATGACAATTTTTTACTAATAATTGATCATAAAATAGCAACAATCCCTTCATTTAACATACTTTTTCTTACACAAAAACTTAAATTTACTAGGTATAATAATTTTTTTATTCATTACTTTTTTGTTAATATTAACAATTATTTTTAACTATAAAATATGCTAAATTTATAAATTATAAAATTGCTAAAAATCCCTTCATTTAACAAAACATTTCCAACACAAAATGTTAAATTTTTTGTTAGATTTACCAATAATTTTTCACTAAAAAATATTAATACAAAATACTAATACCTTATACCTAATTGATCATAAAAATCCTTTCACTTAACAACATTTTTTCTTACACAAAATGTTAAATTTACTTTAATAATTTCTTTCTTTTATTCTTTAATTTCCTTTTAATTTACCAATAATTTTTTACTACAAAATATGCTAAATTTTCTAATAATTAATCGTAAAATAGTGAAAAATCCCTTCATTTACCAAAACTTTTTCTACACAAAATATTAAACCTACTCATAATTCCTTTTTATTTTTTTTTTAATTCACTAAAAATTTCTTACCACAAAACAGTACCAAATTCACTAACAGCACAAATTTTTCTCACCAGACATCGAAGTTCCCACCGTAAACAACGTCCGAAACGCCGAGCTGATCGGCAACATCCTCGTCAACGAGCACAACGTCCTCTGCGTAGGACCCACCGGCACCGGAAAAACCCTAACAGTCATAGCCAAACTGGCGAAGAACATGCCCAAGAAGTTCATCTGCGACTTCATCAACTTCTCAGCCAGGACCAGCGCCAACCAGACCCAGGCGAGTTCAAAATGTCCATAAATATAACCGCAACTAATCCGGATACCCAACAGGATTTGATCGATTCCAAGCTGGATAGGAGAAGAAGAGGCGTGTACGGACCTCCGGTGTTGAAGAGACAGGTGTTCTTCATCGACGATTTCAACATGCCCGCCTTGGAGGTGTACGGGGCGCAGCCCCCCATCGAATTGATTCGCCAATGGATGGATTACGGAGGTAAGTACCCCTTTAAAAGCCCCATTAGCAATACAACACCCCCATCAAATTTAGGTTGGTACGATAGAAGAAACATCGGAGACTTTAGGACGATTATCGATATTAATTTCGCGGTGGGGATGGGCCCCCCGGGGGGCGGTAGAAACCCCGTTACACCCCGGTTGCTGAGGCACTTCCACTACATAACTTTCCTGGAAATGGAAGACGACAGTAAAGTACGTAAACTCCTCTACACTTACTCAATATAATCTACTATGAAACGTTTCCAGATAAAAATATTTGGTACGATCCTCAATTACTGGCTATCGAGAGCCCCACCGGCGTTCAAGGGCTTCCAAAATCCCATCTTATGGTCCACATTGACCGTATTCAAGACAATATTGGAAGAATTACTTCCAACACCGGCCAAAACTCACTACACGTTCAATCTTCGTGATCTGAGCAAAGTGTTCCAAGGAATGCTGATGCTCGATTCGGAAGCGCATCTTCGGGTAAGAGAATTCATCCAGATCCAATATGCATATTCACGTATCTTATCCAGCAAACAGCCGATGTGATACAGTTGTGGTACCACGAATGCTGTAGAGTGTTCCAGGACCGCTTGGTCAACGACGAAGACAGAACCTGGTTCGATACGCTGCTGAGGAAGCAAATCCAGAAGCAGTTCAGGCGTACCCCGGAAAAGGTCTTGGGAGAAGGTAATCTTCCATATTTTTACTTCAATCCTTTATATTTTTTTGTAATTTACGGTACAGATGCGCTCGTATTTGGCGACTTCATTGACCCCTCGATAGGACCTGGTGCTTACGTCCAAATCAAAGACTTCGTAAGACTCTCGGACGCGTTGATTTTCTACCTCAACGATTACAATTTGCAAAGCACCAAACCCATGAAGTTGGTGCTGTTCCAAGACGCCATCAATCACATATCCAGGATATCCAGAATACTAAGGCAGCCCATGGGTAACGCTCTGTTGCTCGGCATGGGAGGATCCGGTGAGTGGTAATTAATTGTGCTACAATTCTGGCTCTATTAGAAACATACCAACAGGAAGACAGAGTTTAACTAGACTGGCCTCGTTCATGGCGGAATTCAACTGCTTCCAAATCGAACTGACCAACGCCTACGCCCTGCAGGACTGGAAAGACGACGTCAAGAACATCATGATGTCCGCTGGATTGATGTCCAAAGAAACCGTCTTCCTCTTCTCGGACACTCAGGTAACTTCCATCTCCAACAATACCTCTTCGAAGACGTGGAATATTTCCAGATCAAATCCGAATCGTTCCTGGAGGATCTGAACAACGTGCTGAACTCTGGCGACGTGCCCAACATCTACGCGCCCGAGGAACTCGATAAAATCTACTTCGCGATGAGAGGACCGGTGCAGGAGCAGGGACTGTTGCCCACCAAACCCAATCTCTACTCGGTGTACAAACGAGAGGTCAAAGCGTTCTTGCACGTGGTAATCGCCATGAGGTAATTGAAATAAATCGATGGCGTTAAATTGAGATAAATCCGATAACGCGTTTGTTTGTTCTACAGTCCCATAGGTGAGATATTCCGCGCCAGATTGCGGCAATTTCCCGCCCTGGTGAATTGTTGCACTATCGACTGGTTCAGCGCCTGGCCGGACACCGCTCTACAGGTAACTCTATTTTCTATAAACGACGAATTTCCAAACGCACTAATCCCTCCGAATTCCAATTTAGTCGGTGGCTTTGAGATTCCTCCAGGACGTGGAGGACTTCAACGTGCCGGAAAACGTGCTCGCGGGCATCGTGGTGGTGTTCCAGTTCATGCACGCCAGCGTCATCGATGCCAGCGATCACTTCCTGGCCGAGTTGTCGCGCCACAACTACGTCACGCCCACGTCCTATTTGGAATTGCTCTCCAGCTACACGGAGCTGATGAACACCAAGCGCGGCAACCTCTTCGCCAGCATCAGCAGACTACAAATCGGTAAGAACCGTACGAATGTTTGCAAAGTAATACCGTACACGTGCTGTGGATAGGTTTGAGCAAGTTGCAGAACACCTCCGAGGAAGTGGCCGTTCTGCAGGAGCAGCTGAGAGTGATGAAACCCGCTCTGCTAATTGCCGCTAAAGATACAGAGATTATGATCAATAAGATAGCTGAGGATACGGTGAAACGTCGCTCGCATAGCTTTGCTTTGATTGTAAATACAAGCATTTCCTCAGGCTTTGGCTGAGGAGACGAAGCGAATCGTCCAAAAGGAGGAGCAGGAGGCCATCAAGAAAGCCAAAGAGAGCGAAGAGATAGCCGAAGACGCCCAGGCGGATTTGGAGCTGGCCATGCCGGCTCTATTAGCCGCCGAAAGGAGCTTGAAAGCTCTCAACAAGAACGACATCGTTGAGGTGAAGTCGATGAAAAAGCCTCCGGCTGGAGTGGTGACCGTCATAGAAGCCATTTGCATCGTCAAGGGAATCAAACCCGTCAAGGTAAGGCTTTTATATGATCTCCAGGTGTAGATACCACTCGGGTACTTCCAGATTCCAGGCCCTAAAGTCGGCCAGAAGCTCCTGGACTACTGGGAACCGGGTAGAGCGATGCTAAACGACCCGCAAGCTTTCCTCAACTCGCTCATGGAATTCGACAAGGATTCCATCAACGAGGAGATGGTCGGTAAGCTGAAGAAGTACGTGAAGGATCCGGGCTTTACGCCGGAAAAAATCGCCAAGGTACTCACTCGTATTTGGACCGAATTTTAATACTAAATGGTACTTAATTTCCAAAGATTTCCAAAGCTTGTCAATCGCTGTGCTTGTGGATTCACGCCATGTTCAAGTACTACCACGTGAACCAATCGGTGCTGCCCAAGAAGGCCGCTTTGAAGCAAGCCGAAGAAGATTTAGCGGCTACGGAAAAGGCTCTGGCGGCTGCCAAAGCTAAAATGAAGGAAGTACTAGACGGTACTACATATATCATATTACTCCGATGCTTCTAACTAATGAAGCTTGTAAATGTAGGTTTGAAATTCCTGGAAGAAAGTCTGGCCAAGAAGATAGCCGAAAAGGAGGAGAAAGAGCAGAGCATAATACTGTGCGAGGACCGCATGAACAGAGCCATGAGGCTCATCAACGGTCTGGCAGAGGAGAAAATCAGATGGATCCAAACCATCAAAGATCTCAAGGCTAACATTATCAATGTAACCGGGGATATTTTGATTTGTTCCGGTTCCGTGGCCTACTTGACACCTTTCACAGACGAATACAGGTAATTTGAAAGATTTGATAATACAGTAGCCGATTTGATGATGCAACTGATTTGGTGATGCAGCAGATTTCTTGATGTAGCAGAATTCTAGATCCAGCAGATTTTTTGATGCAGTAGAGTTTTTGATGTAACAGAATTCTGAACCCAGCAGATTTCTTGATGCACAAGATTTTTTGATGTAACAGAATTTTGGATCCAGCAGATTTCCTAAGGCAGTAGATTTTTTGATGTAGCAGATTTCATGATGCAGCAAATTTTTTCATGCACCAGATTTGATTATGCAGCTGACTACGTGATGTATTAGATTTCTTGATGCAACAGATTAGATGATACAGCAGATTTGAGTATGCAGCAAATTTCAGTATTCATGATTTCTGATGATCCGCCATCAGTATCCATGATTTAGGATTTTATGATGGAGCAAATTATATGCATTCTTCTTTCTTTCTTAATATATCAGATTTTTAATGTAGCAAATTAGATGATGCCGCAGATTTGAGTATACAACAGATTTTTTAGTGCAGCAGATTTGATAATGCAGCTGACTCCTTGATGTAGCAGATTAGATGATACCATTAATCAGATTAGTTGATGAACAGATTATAGAATGCCTCACATTTCTTTCCTAATACAGCAGATTTGATGATTCAGTTGACTTCTTGATCTAGCAAATTTCATGATTGAAGCAGATTTAGATGATGCATCAGATTATATGATGCAACAGATTAGATGATGCAGCATATATCTTTCCTAATGCAGCTGATTTACATACAGTACAGTTCTTGATGCATCAGATTTGATGATGTAGCTGACTTCTTGATGCAGCAGAGTTCATGATGCAACAGATTTGATGACGAAACAGGCGTTTGCTTACTACTTAATTACGTTGATTGATCCACAGGCGTAAATTGTTCAAGAATTGGGTACAAATAATGAGCCATCACAAAATACCATTCTCGGAACATTGCAATCCAGTGGCGATTTTGGGCGAGCCCGTGCAAATCAGGCTGTGGCAATTGGACGGATTGCCCAGAGACTACTTATCAACAGAAAACGCCGTGCTGGTGTCGTGTTCGAGAAGATGGCCGCTCTTCATCGATCCCCAAGGACAGGCCAACAAATGGGTCAAGAACATGGTAAACTCATCATCGCTCATTCTACATCATTTAAATGAACAAATCTTCTGTTTTAGGGTAAAAACATGGGTTTGACGATAGTGAAGTTGTCCGACAAGGACTTGATGAGGTCCATCGAGTCGTCGATTCGTTTTGGTAAGGCGGTGCTGATAGAGAACGTTCTGGAGGAATTGGACCCTTCGATGGATCCGGTGCTGCTGAGGCAGGTGTTCCTGCAAAGCGGTACGCGCGTCATCAAATTGGGCGAGGTGGTGGTGCCGTACGATGATAACTTCAGATTGTACATCACCACGAAGCTGCCCAATCCTCATTACACTCCCGAGGTGTCCATTAAAGTGCTGATTGTCAATTTCACCGTGGTGCCTTCGTAAGATCTTAGTTTACCTGTTTGTTCTGTATAGCTTGAGTGATGTGGGTTTTAGTGGTTTGCAGGATCAGCTGCTGGCTTTGGTGGTGGCGCAGGAGAGGCCGGATTTGGAGGAGCAAAGGGCGCAGATTGTGGTCAGCATTGCCACCATGAAGCACGAATTGAAGGAGATTCAGGATAGGATTTTGTACAAATTGAGCTCGTCTGAGATATCGCCCATAGAGGATTTGGACTTTATTATAACTTTGGAAGCATCTAAAGTGAAAAGTGAGGATATTAAGGTGAGGATGATCGATTTTGGAGTAAAATATGGAGATTTTTTACGATTTCTTATTGTCAGAATAAAGTGGAATCGGCGGAAATTACCCAAATCGACATCGATAACACCAGAGCTCTTTACATACCGGTGGCCAATAGAGCGCAGATATTATTTTTCTGCGTAGCAGATTTGTCCAAAATCGATCCAATGTACCAATACTCATTGGAATGGTTCGTGGCCATTTTCACCACCAGCATGGTGGAAACTGAAAAATCAGGTAACCAAGGAACATGAGCATTTCAACGTGCACATAACCCCATTTCCACTTTACAGAGGTCATTGAACAAAGAGTACAAATCATCAACAATTACTTCACCTTCAATCTCTACATCAACGTGTGCAGGAGCGTCTTCGAACGGCACAAGTTGCACTTCGCCTTCTTGCTGTGCATCAGAATCCTAATGGACAGCAAAGAGATCAACATGAAGGAATGGCAACACTTCCTAGCAGGAGGCGTCGTTACGAAAGTATTGCTTTCAAAATGAATTCACATATATTTCTTCTGGTTTCCTGCTAGGAACTACCTAACCCCGCGTCGAGCTGGTTGTCCAGCAGAGCTTGGACGGAAATCCTATCGTTAAATTCCCTCCCAAAGCTCAAAATCGTTGCCACCACGTTCAACAAGTACGCCGAAAAGTACAGGAAGATCTTCGAGAGCTTGGAACCCCACAGGGAACCGCTGCCCGACGAAATCGAAAACCAGCTGGACAAGTTCCAGAAGCTCATCGTGCTTAAAAGCCTGCGACCCGATAAGGTCACCAACGGCATGCAGGACTACCTAGCAGCTAAAATGGGACAGCAGTTCATCGAACCGCAGTCGTCGGATTTGTCCGCCATGTACAAGGATTCAGGTGAACACCAAGCATCTTCAAACTATAGGTTGTACATATAATTAAACTTACTAATCTCTTTAGCTGCGACTATTCCGTTGATATTCGTGTTGTCCACCGGTACTGATCCCGCTGCTGAGCTGTACAAATTCGCCGATCGCATGAGGATGACCAAGAGGATGTATTCGATATCGTTGGGCCAAGGCCAAGGTCCTAGGGCGGAGAAGATGATGCAGAGCGGCATCGAAGCTGGGTCGTGGGTGTTCTTTCAGGTTTAGTGCGATGAGATTGAGCGGTAAAATTGAACTTGTAGTTTGAACATGTGTTATAGAATTGCCACTTGGCGCCCAGCTGGATGCCGCGATTGGAGCGTTTGATCGAGACCATTTCGCCGGAGGATTGCCACAGGGATTTCAGGGTGTGGGTGACTTCCACGCCTTCGCCGCATTTTCCTGTGGCAATTTTGCAGAATGGTATCAAAATGACCATCGAGCCTCCGTCGGGATTGAAGGCCAATATGCTGCGTTCCTACAGGAACCAAGTGTCCGAGTACATTGATTTCATTCAATCCGAGCACCCCAAGTGTCCGGCTTTCAGGTGCGACTACCAAAGGAATTCTTTGGAAAATCTCTAACAGTACATCCTCAGGTACTTGGTGTTCTCGTTGTGCCTCTTCCACAGCATTGTGATAGAACGAAGGAAGTTTGGTCCGCTTGGTTTTAATATCCCCTATGAATTCACCGATGGCGATTTGAAAATTTGCATCAGCCAGCTGTATATGTTTCTGGTCGAATACGATGATGTACCGTTCAAAGTACTCACTTATACGGCCGGCGAAATTAACTACGGAGGAAGAGTAACGGACGATTGGGACAGGAGATGCCTGATGAACATATTGGCCGATTACTACAACTTCAACGTGATGGATCCCTCTTATAAATTCGACACCTACGGATTATACAAACAGGTTTTTTACTCTTCTACACAAATTCTTTCTTCACTACCATAGGCTCACCTCTTCTTTCTTGACCACCGCAGGTCACTTCGATACGACTTCATTCTTTGCCACCGTAGGTCAGCCTTTTCTGCACTACTTCTTCCGTTATCACCACAGGTTCACTTATTTTACAGCTTTTTTCTTTATCACCGCAGGTTCTTCTCTTCTACAACACTTCATTTGACCACCAGGTTCACCTCTACACAATTTCTTCGCCTTTCTTCTACTACTTTCTTCTGTACCACTACAGGTTCACTTCTTCTACACTTCTTTCTTTACCGCCACAGCTTCACCTCTACGCCACTTCTTTTTTGACCACCAGGTTCACATTTTCTTTACTTCTTTGTTTACCATCCTAGGTTCACTTATTTTACACCTTTTTTCTTTATCACCTCTTCTGCAACACTTCATTTAACAACCAGGTTCACCTCTACACGATTTCTTCGCCTTTCTTCTACTACTTTCTTCCCCACCATAGGTTCGCCTCTTCTGCACCACTTCGTTCTTTACCTCTACAGGTTCATTTCTTCTTCACTTCATTCTTTACCACCACAGCTTCACCTCTACACCACTTCTTTTTTTACCACCAGGTTCGCATCTTGTTCACTTCGTTCTTTACCGCCACAGCTTCACCTTTACGCCACTTCTTTTTTGACCACCAGGTTCACATTTTCTTTACTTCTTTCTTTACCATCCTAGGTTCACTTATTTTACAACTTTTTTCTTTATCACCGCAGGTTCACCTCATCTGCAACATTTCATTTAACCACCAGGTTCACCTCTACTCAATTTCTTCGCCTTTCTTCTACTACTTTCTTCCCCACCATAGGTTCGCCTCTTCTGCACCACTTCGTTCTTTACCTCTGCAGGTTCATTTCTTCTTCACTTCATTCTTTACCACCACAGCTTCACCTCTACACCACTTATTTTTTTACCACCACCAGGTTCGCATCTTGTTCACTTCGTTCTTTACCACCGCAGCTTCACCTCTACAGCACCTGTTCTGCACCAATTTGTTCTTTACCACCACAGCTACACCTCTGCACCACTTCTTTTTTAACCACCAGGTTCACATCTTATTCACTGCTTTCTTTACCACCACAGCTTCACCTCTACCTCACCACTTCATTCTTTACCACCGCAGCTTCACCTCTTCTACCCCCACTTCCTTCTTCACCTCTTCTACACATCCCCTTTCACTCTTCTGTATTATAAACATGTAACCTTGGCGTACTTCCAGCAACGCACGGACATCATCTTCAACGACTACATCGACTACATCAGATCGTTGCCCATCAACGACAGCCCCGACATCTTCGGTTTGCACGCCAACGCCGAGATCACCTTCGCCCAATCGCTGACCTACATGTGCCTGTCCACGCTGCTGAAGCTGCAGCCGAAGGTGGGCGGCGCCGGCGGCGCCAGCCAGGAGGACGCCACCGCCGGCACGGCCAAGTTGATCCTCGACCAGGTGCCCAGGCTGTTCGATTTGAAGCTGATCAACGAGAGGTCCGGACCTGAACTGATGTGAAGTATAGAGGCGTGACGCGTAGATTGTTTTAGGTATCCCGTGCAATACGAGGAGTCGTTGAATACGGTGATTATACAGGAGGCGATTCGTTACAACAAGCTGTTGGCGGTGATTAAGAGCTCGCTTCGGGATCTGCTGAAGGCTTTGAAAGGCTTGGTGGTGATGTCCGAGGCTTTGGAGAAGATGACTACGCGCATGTCGAATAATATGGTGCCCGAGCTTTGGGCGGGGAAGGCGTATCCTTCGCTCAAACCGCTAGGTATTTTTTCAAAAAATTTTAGCTCCTTCATTAGAACTAACGTGGAAAACCTTGGAAGAGGTTTCAACAAAAGGATATCCCAGGAAACGAATCCCGGGAAGTTTTATCATATTCTTAACCGAATGGTAAATGTATTTTCTAGGAGCTTGGGTTATAGATTTGAAAGCTCGTTGCAAGTTCCTGCAGAAATGGGTGGACGAAGGGATACCCCCGGCTTTTTGGATATCTGGTTTTTACTTCCCCCAAGCATTTTTGACGGGTACTTTACAGAACTTTGCCAGGAGATTCGTCCTTTCGATCGATACTATAGGTTTTTCTAACGAAGTACGATTGCTAGATTCTAATTAATAGGCATTTTCTTAATTGGTTTGTTTGTCGTTTGGGACAGGTTCTGGACGAATTTCCCAAAGAAAAACCGGCGAATGGTTGTTGCATATACGGCCTGTTCGTTGAAGGATGCAGATGGAACAGGGAAACTCGATTTTTGGATGAATCCAAACCGAAAGAATTGTATACTGGTAATAATCAAAAAATAATTTACATTTTATTTGCGATATCTTCAACTTTAAATGGAGACTAAAAAAATCAAATAAAGGTCAAAATGAAAACAAAGAATATTAAATTGAGAATAGAAAATTCCAAATAGAGAATTACCAAATTGTGATTTGATACTGTCTGTTCTCGATTTGATACTGCGGTATTAACTCTTAATTTAATACTATTTATTCTTAATTTGATATTTTTCAGACTTTTATAATCATATTTTTCATTCTCAATTTGTATGAATAAAGACCTACTATTATTATTATTTCTCATTTTGATACTATTTAATTACTATACTGCTCCACAAAAGTTTAGGAAGTTTACAAATATTGAGATTAATTTAAAAGTTGCAGGTTTTTTAATCGCCAAATTTAGTGTGAGTTGTAGAGGTAGGAGCAAAAAATCCGATATAAAAAATCTAGATATGAGAGAAAACATTTAATTTCCCATATTTAAAAATTTGGTCATCAAAAAGTCTGTAACTTTTAAAATAATCGCAAAATTTGCGAACTTCCTTAATTTTTATGGAGCAGTTTATTTATCCTTAACTTAATATTCTTTAGTCTCAATTAGATATTAAATACCTAGAATTATTTTGATATTGCTCAGTCCCAATATTAAATCTCAATTTAATATTATTTGCACGCATTTTGATTTTGTTTATTCTCAATTTAAAGAAGAAAGAAAAAAGAAAGAAATATTTATTAAGAATGTAATATTCTTAATGTTTTGATAGTTTATTCTCAATTTATTACTATTTCTTATTCTCAATCTGATACTGTTTAGACTCATTTTGATACTAAGTATTCTCAATTTGATACTATTTATTCTCATTTAATTACTATTTGTGCTTAATTTAATATTCTTTAGTCTCAATTTGATGTTACATACCTAGACTAATTTTGATATTGCTCAGTCCCAATATTTAATCTTAATTTAATATTATTTACACGCATTTTGATTTTGTTTAGTGTCTCAATTTGATAGTTTATTCTCAATTTAATACTATTTCTTATTCTCAATCTGATACTGTTTAGACTCATTTTGATACCAAGTATTCTCAATTTAATACTACTTATTCTCAATTTGATACTGTTTATTCCCAAATTGATACTGTTTAGACTCATTTTGATACTGAGTATTATCAATTTAATACTATTTATTCTTAATTTTATATTGTTTAGACTCATTTTGATACTGTTTATATTCAATATGACACTACTTATTCTCATTTTGGCATCGTTTAATCCCAATATGACATTAAGCCCCGACCACAATTCGGAAAAATCTTCAAATCAACGCATATTATCATTCCAGAAATGGCCGTAATTTGGCTAAAACCGGAAGAATACCACGTCGTTCCGGAAGGAATATACCAATGTCCCATTTACAAAACCCTGACGCGGGCGGGGACGCTTTCCACCACCGGCCATTCCACCAATTACGTCCTAACTGTAGAAATCCCGAGCGAACAACCCCAAAGGCATTGGATCAAACGGGGAGTCGCCCTCATTTGCGCGTTGGATTATTAAATTTCTTCGTATTCCACACGCGATTTTAGCAATAAAGATGTTTTAATTGACTTAACGATCTTTACTTATTATTACAAACGACTGGCAGATTATTCAAAATGCAGAGTTCATTTGGTAAGTATTTATCATTTATAGTATTATAAATAGTATCCAAATTTAATGCATAATAAGAAAATAAATGTTAAAAGTAGTTTACTGAGCATTTATACAGGGTGAGTCGTATTAAGGTATCGAACATATCTTCATGGTGGCGATTTCGATATGATTCAATTTTAGGTAAAAGTACATTTTGAACCAGCAACATATACAGGCATATTAAGAATTAATAAAATCCAGGGCCGTCATCAAAAACAAAAGGTAAATTTTTTCAAACTTCATATTTCACCCTGTATACGTTTTATGCAAGTTACTCATAAAGCCTAACCATCGGAAATTTTTACCAAACTTTTATTAAATTGTCAATACAATTAACTTTAAAAAAAATACACTTTCAGAATAATCGAATATATTTTACAATATTTTCTATCGTACAAGTTTTATGAAAATGAATAATAACGATTACTTATCCCTTTCTATGAAAAAGTCCTAAAATTACAAAAAAGCATATAGTGTAAAATATTAAGTTTGAAAAAAATACCTTTTATTTTTGATGACGGCCCTGGATTTTATTAATTCTTTTAAATTTAATTTAAGATTTGAATTCAATTTTTTAATCTCCTTACAGAGGCGGATGCAAATATTAATGGCCGTTTAAATGCATCTATACACTGTTAAAGTATGTACGATTCCTCGCTATTCACCCTGTATATTTTTTAGGGCAAATTTTATTAAAAATTTTGAACGTAATTTAATAGCGTTTTTTACTTTTTTGACGAGCAAAATGCATTTTTCAGCCGTGCCTAAAATAACACACTTTACTTGACTTAATAAAACGATTAAAATAACACAAACTCAACCGTTTATTTTACCGAAATAGTCTTTTAACAATTCTTTATCGGCGTTCTCCAGCAGACAGCCTAAAAATTTGTGGAAATTTAACAAAGAACCGCTTACGATCGATGGATATTTCCTTTGCTTTTCGAACGTATAAGCGAACAAAAGTCGCTTGCTCACGTATGAATTGTAAAATGAAATATTACCCACTTCTACATATGTTTTTTCGAAATTCGAATACATTTGTATGGACAACCTGAGGCTTTCGGGCTTTCCTAATTCGTTCGCAGCCAAATTAACAATTCTATAATGAACATTTAAACTATCGTAAACATCAGAAACGAGCCTAACTAAATCATCTACATTCTCTACACTATTCTCCGTATCAGCCATAAAAACACTAAGAGCAGATTGTTGGTACAAATTAAAAAAACTAGCCTTTTCAGTACCTAAATTTTGGTACACTTTACCTACACTAAAACACTTCAACGGGAACAAAGTATGGTGCGTAAGATGCTTGGTAAAATACGCCATAAAAGAGAACAAAGTAGCCGAACCGCACAAATGGAGCCTGTTAATTCTCTCATCGTTAATCGGATTTTCTAAAGCGAACGATTTTCTATTATCATGTCGAATTTCGTCGCAGCCTTCTAAGATTATGCTCCTGCAAAAATTCGTATTGGAAAACTGGACGAAATCCAATCCCAAAAGATATTTCCTGAAATAATTGAACAGTTTCAGTTCGAACAAAGCGGCATCCGATTTCAAGTAACAAGTAAAAGGATCTAAATATTTACAATAGTTCATTTCCGTAGCGATTTCTATGTGATTTCCGGCGTATCTAGTTGGCTTTTCTAAACGCTCGTAAAGTACTTGTTCTTGTTTTAAAGGCGTTTTACCATGTAATTTATTCGGTAAATTTAATATATTTAACATGGTAGATTCCTCTACGTCGTAGAAAACTTCTTTGAGGTTGTTTAAATCATCTTTAACAAGTTTTAAATGCGTTTGGAGTTTTTCGTTATCGCTCGATACCGATTTGTTGGCTAAAGTTTTAGCTATCTCCGATCGAGTGGTTTCGAGGGAGACTTTACGCTCTTTCAAATCTTTAAAAAGTTCCCATTGCTTTATAATATTATCGACGTCGAGATTTAAATTTCTGGCTTTGACGTTCTCGATTAATTCGTTTTTGTTGGTAATTTGCGTTTCAAAGTCGATTTCGGGCATTAAAATGGCGCAATTTGTTTGGGCTTTTTCTCCTGTAATATACAAAGCAGAAGAAAACCGCCTGTTGAAAGTCTTAAAAAAATTCCTACAATTCGCCATCGTCCTCGTCGATTCTCATCCGTTTGTTAGACGATTCGGGATCGCTCTCGGAGCTTTTCCCCTGCGTTTCGATTTTTCTTTTGACCGGCGCCTTCCAACTGCCCAGACCGGCGGCTCGTTCGGAATCCTCCACCGTGTAGGGCTCGATTTCGAGGGCTTTGAGTCTCCGTTTGTGCACTTTAGTGCGGAAATGGTCCTGCAGGGCGCTGTCGGATATGAAGTGGCGGGCGCAGTGAATGCAGTAATGTTGGCCGGATCCCGGCTTGTCGAAGTCCACCGGCTGATTGAGGAGTTTCTGGCAGTTCTCCGGCTTCAAGTCTTCATCGATCTGTCGGATTCGAATGTAGTAAATAAAAGATAATTAAACGAAATGTTTACATTGTAGATGATTGTAGGTTATATAGGATAAGTTAAATAAACGTAAGATTTTATCTGTATTTGAATTTGAAGTAGGAATTTTTGGTAAATTGTGTAACGTTGTGTTGTGATTATTTGTGTAATATTTACCTCGTCTAAATCTTTAGTTCTTCGTTTGGTGCGCCATTTCTTCTTTAAATGAGTGTCGCCGTAATGATATTTCTTCCTTTTATAAACCATTGAATTGGAATTTGATGATTTTGATTGAATTTGTACTGCATATGATTGCACATGGACCAAAAACCATATGCTTTTTTAGGTTAGAATTACAAGAGAATGAAGTTAGTCATTTGTCAAAATTGTCTAATTTTGATACAAAATGTGGTCTCTATTAGTTAGGCTGTTTGGTTACTTCAATTAGTACTTCAACAAGACAATTTGTCATTTGTCTTTGCTGGTTTTTGGTTTTCTGTTTTCTCTCAGACAGATTCTTCTTTTTATAAATGTTTTACGGCGTTATCAGATTTAATTCTCGATTAACAACACAAAACTTGGTTTTCATCCTGACAGTGCATGCAAGAACACCTATGTGTATATAAACCAGTAAATAAAACGAGATTATCTATATAAACGGTACATACGGTGCAATTTTTGCTTACTTTATGGGAAATACGTTGTCTCAGGATGACTTTATCCTTAATCAGTCGAAGGCCGTTCAGCGTCATTAGTTTAGGCCACAATTCCAAAATTTAAATTTATATTAGAAAGAAAAAAGAAGATTTGTTATGGTAAATTTACAAAACAAAGCAACACATAATTTTATTAAACTATAAGAGAGGATAAAATTTATTATAAAAAATGGACGTCTTAAACGAAGATTTAAATAATACAAAGAACAATATTGATGTAATAATAGAACCTAACGAAGATTACAATATTAACGAAAATAACGCAGATGCAAAACTGGTTAAAATTGATGAGTTAGATAATAATGCCGATGAAAACAATACTATTGCAACGCCCAGTTTAAACAATGAATTAAACAATTATGAAAATACTGCACACAGTTCTAATAGAGAGTTTGATGGCTCTAATGCAGATAAGTCTGGTACAATAGCAACATGTGATGATTCGAAAGAAGAGTCTGTTATTGGTGAAAATTTATTAGCTGTGGTGAAACGAGGAATTGAAAGACCCACCCCTAGATCTTATCCATACAGAATAATCGGCGAAAAGAAACCGTTTAGTTATCATATTTTTAACATACCGAAGAATATTCCTGAAAACAATGATAAGGAGAAACGAAAATACATTGGCTGTGCTCTTAGAAGCTCCACCATAGATATTCCTGCTGAAATTCCTCTAATGACAGCAACGTTTTCCAAACCAAAAGGAGATTCTCAAAAGTTTGTAGCTAATTTATTACATACAGGGTGTATCAATCTTAAGATAAATATTTTTATAAGAAATCTTTAATAAAAGGAAGGTGTAAAAAATACATAAAATATAGTAGTTTGTCTCTTATAAATAAAATACGTGCATTTGTCTATTATAAAACGAGATATTCCACTTTATTTTAAGATTGATACACACCTCTATAATATTTATATAACATAATATACAGGGTGTTAATTAATTGAGTGCCGATACTTTAGGATGTGAATATTTGGATGATTTTTAGAAGAAAAGTTTATATCAATTAATAAAAATATCTGAGTAATAAGAAAAATATGATAAAAAATCTTTTTTTTCTAAAATTTTAACACCCTGTAGCTCAAAAACTAAGAGGTTTAGGACACATATATATTGATATAAACTTTTTTTCTTAAAATCATCAAAATATTCACATCCTGAAGTATTGGCACTCAATTAATGTACAGGATGTCTTGCAGTAGGACAAATACAGTATACCTAACAGAGATGTTTCGGTGAACTACGCAATTTATCTCTATAAAAATCTAATTTCTTTAATAAGAAAATAAAGCTTAATAAAATTAGATTCTGTACTGTACCGGTGTTTGTGCAAGACACTCTGTATAAATTTGTTGTTCTCACTAACTATACAGCAACTTTATTAACAGAACTGTGAGCAATGATGATACGAAAGGCGTGGCTGAAGAACTAACAAACTACGTCCCACCCGCAGAAATCCCACGCGAAATTACGTCCCGAAAAGTGCTGTCGGTGAAAGAAAAAAGAAAAGCAGCACAAGAGGCATTAAAACTGAAAAGAGAAAAAGTTAATGCGGCGAAAAAACTGAAACAGCAAGACAAGTTGGATAAATTACTTGCTGTGGAATTGTACGGATCGCTCAACAGGTCTCACTTACGAAGGGAGTCCAAGATTCGACAAAAAGGTGATTTGCCAATGGATTCCTTATGAGGTTTTTATGTTTTATATTTTTATGTTTTTTATTGTAAGTACACAAATGTTAACTTTGTTATTATTAATATTTTTCTCAGTTTTATGTATTGTTTGCTTCTAGAACTTTTTGAATAAATGTTAAAATGGATGAATAGGTACGTATTTTTATTAACTGATAATATATTATAATATAAATAATTAAATGATTGTTGTAATTAATCAGCTATTTAACACAGATTCAAATATCTTTGACCATGCTAGTAGCCCCCCCAGAGACCGTTTCCATATCTTTAAGGGGTTCCATGTAAAAAAAATAATTTATAAGGTCCTGCATCGGTCAAATTTTATAAAAAAAATTAATAACTCAAAATTTGTGAGATGCATTTTCGAAAAAAAAAAAAATGTTTTAGACATAAGTACCCTAAAATTTTACGTATATTTCAAAAATATATTTATATACAGGGTGTTCCATATGAAATAACAAAGTTGATGTCAACTTCCGGTATATCCGGAAGTGGTACGATTGTCAAAATATTTTTGAGAGGTTCTTATTGCATAACATATACATACCAAATATTATTTAACTGGATAAGTAGTTTCCTACATACAGATAGTTTTAACTCGTCTTAGGACACCCTGTATAGGCTTAATTCAACTCAACACACATTCTGGAGGCTCAAATCCAGGGCAATTTGACTCTATGGAGGCTCAACACAGCTTTTACATACTCTTTGGAGGGCTCAAACTTTATGGAGGCTTGTCTAAAGCACTACACCCTCTTTAGGAATCCATATCCAGGGTAACTCTACTCTATTGAGGCTTAATTCAGCTCTACGCGCAATCTGAAGGCTCAAATCTAGGTCAACTTAACTCTATGGAGGCTCAACGCAGCTCTTACATACTCTTTGGAGGACTCAAACAGTATGGAGGTTCACCCAAAGCACTACACACTCAGTAGTGGTAAAAAAACTGTAGACATTCATCTGGGACTTTCAGAGACCAATCAATTAAACTCATATGAATGTTATTGGAAAATTTGTAATATTCATAAATGACAAGTTATGTTTAATTTAGCGCTTTTATACAACAATTGGTGTAAACACAGCAGGCACAGGATAGCGATTATAATTTACAAAAATACATTAGTTATAATATAAAATATAAAGCAATCGAATCGCCTTTACAAAATTCATCAACCGGCAATAAAATTTCCATAAAATCAACGATCAATTAAAATTAGTTCACTCCCAAAAAAGCATGTTTTTCAAACACACTTTCCCCACCAACTCGGCGATTTCCCTGAATTTCCCGTCTTCGGAATTACCATAGATCCTCCTGTAATCCCTATAGAACATTAACGTACAATCGTGTACGACTCGAATCCCGTTAACGTTACTTTCCGATGGGAAATTTCGATCGGAGACGGTCTGATCTTCGTTCAAACGACTGTAGGGTTTCAAATCGAGAAGAGCCAGACACGTTTTGATAGGCAACCAAGTATACGTGACCGGACAGGCCAAAAACGAAGGCCTCAATCGCCCTTTGTACCTCATTTTAGAACATGAATGTATGTAGAAACCCATGTAATAGTCCCTCAGATTGGGCAGCGATCGTTGAAGTCGTCTAGTCAGCTCGATTTCCCTACAATAAACGATTGAAATTTCGAAAGATATAAAGTTTGTACTTTTTAAAATGTAAAATGACCATGAGGCCATATTTAGTAATTTTTCGGCATTTCCATAGTAGTGTCTAAATGTTAATTATGCCATTTGACTAGGGGAATTTTATCTAGAACGGTTGAATTGCCGATGCGTTGTTGCCATATCGTTAGTCTCAAAATTCCATTATTTGTAGTCGACACGTTTTGAATACAACTTGTTGTTTTTATAACTTTCACAGAGATTTTCTAGAGTGTTCCAAATGGTTATAGACAGTTCTAAATGGTTCTGGGGCGTTCTAAATGGTTTTATATAGTTCTAAATGGTTCTAGACTGTTTTAAATTATTCTAGATCGTCCTTAATGGTTCAAGATAGATCTAAATGTGTCTGGAGCGTTCTAAATAACTCTAGACAGCTTCAAATGATTCTGGAGGGTTCTAAATGATTTTAGACAGTTCTAAATTATTCTGGAGCGTATTGTTCTGTAGCGTTTTAAATGGTTCTGGAGCGTTCCAAGTGGTTCTGGAGCAGTCTAAATGGTTCTAAATGTTTGTGGAGCGTTCTAAATGATTCTAGACAGTTCTAAATGGTTTTGGAACGTTATAAATGTTCCTAAAGCGTTCTAAGCGATTCTAGACAGTTTTAAATAATTCTGGAACTTTTTTAATGGTTTTGGAGCGTTCTAAATGATTGTAGATCGTTATAAATGATCTTGAAGCGTTCTAAACGATTCTAGAAAGTTCAAAATTGTTCTGGATCGTTCTAAAATTATGTAGACAGTTCTAAATAATTCGGGAGCATACCTTTTTTAAAGTAAATAAGTTGCACAATCTAAATTTCACAGTCAAACTCCTTTTCTTCCATTGGCGTAGAATTTTTAAAGGTGCAATTATTTAAAAAAAATCAAGTTCTACGGCCTATAGATTAATATTGGACAAAAATTTCATACAATTTTTTTTGCCACATGAAACTCTATCAATATACCAAATATAAGCAAAATCTCAGAAGCCGTTTTAAATTTATATGGGAAAAAAACGAATTAAAAATTGTAACTTCAAGACCCTCTGGAGCTCAAACGATGCAATTTTGTACACAGGTAATTTTACTTAAATCGAATTATTTTGGTCTTACAACTAGGAATATGTGGTATGTTTTTGTAAAGACCTTTTACAGACACCCTGTGTAGTTTGAATTCGAAGCACCGTTTTTTAAAAACAATTTTATTGTTAAATGTATCGAACCTACTAGTTTGGAAGATTGATGAAGAATGAAGTTAAATTAACAAATCTAAAGTGCTAAATTCAAATAAAATGATTACACATTATAAAATACAAAGAAATAATAATCTAGGAGGTTTCTCTGGAGATTTCTCTGGAAATCTCCTAGATTCGTCCGGACGTTCCTTATCCATGAAACTTTGCATTTCTGTACTCGTAACTCTCCCGATGTTCTTTTTTATATTTATATTCTACTATTTGTGCTTTTTTTAATTTGTAAAGATTGAAAGTAAACATAACCTTAAATTAAATGTATCTGTCATATTAATGATTTTGATTACAACACGGCAACGTTGCAACAGGCTGGCTCGTGACGTCATTGTCATTTTAAAACGTACGAACTTTAGCTTGATAAAGTCTTACCTCAATGACCCGTAAGTGCCTAACGTTAATCGTCTGTAATCGGGGTCGTAGAAAAAGTATACTGAACTAATGGATTTCGGTAAGATGTCTATCACGCCTACTGCTATTAGTTTATCGTCGAGCCAGTATTGTTGATGGAAGGATCCGTAACCGGGGCCTTCGATGTTTTCAGGAAAATTCTCGGGCTAAAAAATTTGTTCAATTCTACAGTAGATCTGAAAAAGTTGGCAACACATGGGAAATTTTTTTATTTGTAATGTTACGAAAAAAAGTTATTCTTTTTCCCATATGTTGCCAACTTCTTCAGACATACTGTATATTTAAGCTCTTTCGTTGTAGTATAAAACTAAATAAAAGTAAATAAAACCAACCCAATAATAATTGACATGGATTATAACCAGGGTCAACACGCTGCTATGTGGATGCAGGAAAATTAAATTGATATAAGATTTTGTGGCTAAATTTGAAAAATTTTAAATAGTCTTCTGAAAGTTCTAAATAGTTATAAAACCTTTCAAAATAGTTCTGGACTTTTCTTGTTTATCGTAGACAGTTCCAAAGGTTCTCATCCGTTCTAAAATTGTTCTAAATGACAGTTCTAGTCAATTGGTTCTTGGTTCTAGATAATTCATTTGGGAAATGAAAAATTCTAAATAGTCTTCTACAATTAAAAAAAAGTGTTAAATACTCCTGAAAGCGTCGTTCAAAACAATTCTGAACTTTCTAGTTTATCATCGACTGTTTCAAAATAGTCCCAAACCTGCTCTAAATTATTTTGAGCAGTTCTAAAAGATTCTGAAAGTACTAAATGGTTCTAAGATCGTATTCAACTGTTTCAAAAGGTTCTAGTCAGTTCTAAAAGATTCTGACAGTTCTAAATGGTTCTACGATTGTCTTAGACTGTTTTAAATGGTCCTTAGTCAGTTCTGATGAAGATTCAGATTGACATTTCTAAATGGTTCTATGATTGTCTTAAGTCTTAAACTATTTCAAATGGTTCTGGCCAGTTCTAAAAGATTCAGACAGTTCTAAATCGGTATAAACTGTAATAAATGATTCTTAAATTGAGCAGAACAATTTGAAAACACGAGCAAGTACGAATACACTTGTTCTGTGTATAATTCCATCTCTCCCTCTCGAGGAATATTAATTATGATATTAAACTTATTCTTCTATTTTAACCCTTTATTAGGGTACTAATTTATCTAATTTGGTCTTTCTAAAATCACTTAAGATTTTACTCTTCATATTCCCTCGTATTGATAATTTCATTTCAAATTGCAAACATTTATTAATTTGTTACTTTTTGTCCTTAACGGATTTTTAAAAGGATTATAATCATTGTCAATTAAAAGTTGGGTGAAATAATTCCTAACTAACGGCCATATTTACCAATGTCTGTTAATTCACTGACTTTTAGTCATGAAATAAGTCAAGGAATCTCTTTCGGATATGCACGATGTTTAGGAATACCCTGTATATATATATATATATATATATATATACAGGGTGTCCCAATAGTGCGGTAAAGCCCATTTACTCAGTTATTATAATAGATACGAAAAAATGATAAATAGGAAAAATGTTAAGCACCTTTAGGCGCACAATTTAAAATTATTTCGAAATATACAGGGTGGCCCATAAATCGATGCCATACCAAACATACCTTTTTTTAAAGGCAATGATATATTTTTTATTTCATATTCGATTTCAGCTCGTATTCACGAGTTTCTCAATATAAGATTTCATATGACTATACTGAGTATTTAAAAAGTTATGGCCATTTTTATGTTCAAATCGACATGATTTCAAGGCCCTGTATATCAGAATCTGTATCAGATAATGTGAATTTTTCTGTGTCAGCACTTTTTGAAAATGGTCTATTTTCACAAAAAATAGTTACATTCTGACAAAATTACAATTTGTATACAGGGTGGGTCAAAACGCAAACATAATAATTACTCGCTTAATTTAAATGGAACACCCTATATTAATAATATCCAATGGGAAGTCTATTTCTTACTGAATCTTTTTTCGTAACATTTCCCTATACCTAACTGTCACCGTTTCTGAGATATTTTCAGTTTTATTAAAAAATGTCCAGTTTTTAATATTATAATTCCACTTTAATCTAATTACCAATGACGTCTTCGAACTTTTTTTGCAAAATAATAGTAGAAAATGTAATATCAATTAATTAACGATCATTACCTACCCGAAATATTTGGTAATTTTTAAATTAAACTTGAAATTATTATAATTTTAATTTAATCTAGTTACCTCTATGACGTCATCATCTACGAACTATGCGAATTTTTCTTATTGAACTCGTGTCACTGTAAATTATAGAATAACTAAAAATTTAGGATACCTGCTAATGAAATTTGATTAATCATTAATCGATATTTAATTTTCTACTATTATTTGGCAAAAAAAGTTCGAAGACGTCATTGGTAATTAGATTAAAATGGAATTATAATATTAAAAACTGGACATTTTTTAATAAAACTGAAAATATCTCAGAAACGGTGACAGTTAGGTATAGGGAAATGTTAATAAAAAAGATTCAGTAAGAAATAGACTTCCTATTGGATATTATTAATATAGGGTGTTCCATTTAAATTAAGCGAGTAATTATTATGTTTGCGTTTTGACCCACCCTGTATACAAATTGTAATTTTGTCAGAATGTAACTATTTTTTGTGAAAATAGACCATTTTCAAAAAGTGCTGACACAGAAAAATTCACATTATCTGATACAGATTCTGATATACAGGGCCTTGAAATCATGTCGATTTGAACATAAAAATGGCCATAACTTTTTAAATACTCAGTATAGTCATATGAAATCTTATATTGAGAAACTCGTGAATACGAGCTGAAATCGAATATGAAATAAAAAATATATCATTGCCTTTAAAAAAAGGTATGTTTGGTATGGCATCGATTTATGGGCCACCCTGTATATTTCGAAATAATTTTAAATTGTGCGCCTAAAGGTGCTTAACATTTTTCCTATTTATCATTTTTTCGTATCTATTATAATAACTGAGTAAATGGGCTTTACCGCACTATTGGGACACCCTGTATATATATATATATATATATATATATATATATAAACTTTTGAATGGTAACAGTTTCTGTCGCGCAATTTGGGGTTTATATTGGAGTAAAAATACTATTTTTTGAAGTAAAAATGACAGCAGAAACTCTCAGTTACTGACAGTTTTCAGAAACTGACAGTTGGGCGCCATTTTGAATCTTTTCTTCTTATGAAAAGGGGTGTCAAGTGACACCTCGTTTTAAAGGTAATTTCATTCTTAAGTCAACCCCCAAATTTGAAAACATTTTAATAACGCGTATTCTCGTAAACTATTATCGTAATGCCAAATTGTTTTTTTTAAGAAAACTGTCTGTTTATTATCAGTCGAAAACAATTAAAAAGTAGCGGCACATGCTAATAGTGGCTAGAATAATGTTAAAATTGACCAGTTTCATTTTAAAGTGCGAATATTTACGCGCGTAAAGATCAAATATCTTGGTGAATAACAAAATATTGTTAACCGACTGTTAAATTTAATCAGACCGACAGTTATCAGGTTGATAAACCGAAATTGGTAAATATGGGCGTAGGATAACGTAAAATTTTCGGTATAAAAGCAGAGCAAAATGTACCTGTAAAGGCGTGTCGACCAAAAAATTTCGAAATTGACTTTCATCGCATTCCTCGGCCGAATCCCCGTGAATAATCATCTGATATTTTCTGTACAAAGCGGCGCTCGAGACGAAGCTTTCGTTTTCATTCGACATTCGTTCCAATGTAAACTATAAAAATTATCTAGGTAAAAATCAGCAAATAGCGTGTGAACATTACACGCTTTCATTCGACCCGCGTTATTTCTAGCAAAGTCACCTTTTGCACTGCCCACAAAATGTTTTGCTCTGCTTCCATTTAAATTTGAATTATAATACATTCGAATGAACGTTTTTTTTCTTTCGTTACCTTCAAAGGGGACTTGACTAAAAATCTCAGAAACTTATTCAGCGATAATTTCGAAGGCGGATCGCAGTGAATGACGGTTTGATATTTTTTGTACAATTCGAATTCGATCTGTTCGATTTCTTCCCAATCGCTTGAATGAACACTAGTCGGGATCAATCGAGTCTGATAAAACGAGAAAATAATCTCAAATCAAGCTTCACAGAACATAACTAATATTCAAACAAATTAGTCCGTAATTATAAAAATGAAGCATTTACTTTGAAGTGAAAGGCAAGAGGAAAAGGTTTTGCTCTGATCATATTAATATTTTCCGCCTTTTCCTTGCAAGGAAACGATTCGGATAAATAAACTAAATGGTACAGAGATTAGCAATTTCATCAAAATAGTGGAAACGAGTCTAAATGGTTTTAAAAAGTTCTAAATGGCTCTAGAGCGTTCTAAATGATTTTAGACAGTTCCAAATGATTCTAGAATGTTTAAATGTTTCTAGATAATTCTAGATTATTATAAATGATTCCGGAGCGTTCTAAGCGGTTGCAAATAATTCTAAATGATTCTGGAGCCTTTTTAAATTGATCTAGACAGTTCTAAATTATTCTGGAGCGTTCTGCATTAATCTAGACACCTCTAGATGATTCTGGAGCGTTCTAAATGGTTCTAGACAGCTCTAACGTAAATGCATCCTATCAGCCATAACAAACTGGGGAAATTCAGCCAAAATACACAAAAAATTTACATTACAAGCTGTGTGGTGGCTGAGTAACTACTGAAAATATCGTGAAAAGTTGCCATGGACTTAGATTTCATTTTTACAAACAAATCCATTACTTTTTTAGCAAATGCTTCTTTTTATAAATACCGAACCCATAAAACCTTTTGCTTTAAAGCAACAACAGGATCCTCAAAGCAAAACCTCTTCCTTTAGCACTTCTTTTTATGCATATACTTACAAACAATTCATTCATTTTTTTAAAGGAAAAGGTCATGCTTCTTTTTATAAATACCGCCTATTGAATGTGTGAACAATACTATAATAGTGTAAACACTTACTCGGAGATTGAGTTTGTTATCAATTGAAGATCCCTCGTTGAGGAAATCTTCTAAAGTTTTGGGAACGTTTACCGTTTGCGTTTTTTCATAAGCAACACCTCGTTTCGCAGCTTTTTCTCTTTTTCTCTCTAGTCTGAGCAATTTGGCCTTTTTACGTGGAGGTTTGTCCGGATCTGGACCATCCGGCTCCTTCATTGAACATTTAACGCTTCCTTTACTTGTGTCAATTTCATTTGTTTTGCTAACTAAAAAATATACAAATACATTTGCATACAATATACAATCAAATACTGTATCTTCTTACTTGAAGGAGTTTGGTTTTGTTCGCTCGAATTAATCGGATCTTTAATGGCATGTTCATTTACAGCGGTACCATCTGTATTAACACAATATAAATCATCAACTTTTACTCTATCTAAATTAAAATCGACTACTGGTTCTTCCTTGTGCACTAAAGCTCCACCATCGTGTCCTTCGATGAACCGATTGTATTTACTTTCATCAACTGCATTTAATTCGCCTTGCTTGAAGAATTTGTTTAGTTTCTTGATCACTTTCTTTTGGGACTTGCTTATAGCGAAATTCACAGCATCACACCTTAAATATCGCTAAAATTAGATGGTTATTTTAGCAGTACAAGTACCTACTTTATAGTGTACGCAGGGCAACAGGTTTGATCCATAATCGGTTTGTAACAGTACTTTCCCGATCTCCTCCAACCTCTATCAATGAGGTTTTGATAATCGTCGACTGTGAGAGAATCAGCCCACATTCCTGTAAATTTATTTCAGAATTTAGAAATTTATTTAAGTTAGAATGGAATTTTTACCGTGTGATGTACTGTTTTCCGATTTGCAGTAACCGCAATGGTGCTTTTCTACGCTGTCGAACCATTTTACAATACTGTATTTACTTAAATCTACGCTCATTTTAACTGTAGATGGATTAAATATGTGAAAATATTTGAAATAAAAATAAATTTTACAATTTCAATTTACTCCATATTAACTGTCACTTGTCACTTCATTTACTTATCTATGTCTAGTCAGATGTGTTTTTCGGTGATAAATTATACTAACTGAATAGTCACAGTAAATTAGACCATATGTCAAATACAAATTGTTTTGGTGCCTTTCTATGCTGTCGAATCATTTTACAAGGTCCCATTTACTTGAATCTACGCTCATTATAATTGTAGATGGATTAAATATGTGAAATATTAAAAATAAATTTTACAATTCCGTGTCTCCTGGCACCTGGAACTTCATTTACTTGTCTAGTCAGATGTGTTCTTTGGTGAAAATTTAAACTAGCTGAATAGTCCTAGTAAATGAGACCATACGTCAAATACAATTCGTTTTGTTTACTTTTTGAATTTTGAAGTGCAAAATTATGTATTAATAAATATGTTTATATTTAAAACCTATTTAACTACTACTAATAACCTACCAATAGTTAAAAAAAGATTAAAACTATTTTGCAGGTACGATAATTAATAAACGTGAGTAATTTATATTATAACAGAAATTAAGCTAAAAATAACTAAACAACACCAGTATTATAAATGTTATGCAGTTTAGTAAAGACGCGTTATATTTATATGAAATTGACCTATATATTTTGAAATGGTTCTGCTTAAACTAAAATAAACTTGATCTTAATTAGATATAACTCATTATTTTTAGTCCGTTTTATTTCTCGCGTTATCCGCATACAGAAATGATTAGTTCTTTCGTTATAATTTCAGTAGCCTTCGTACTATTTGGGCAGGGACTTTACTTACCGCAAGGTAAAGGGCCACGTAATTCATGAAAGTTTTAAGCTGTTTATTTATGTTTGCAGATAAACTTCAAAAAAAGCCCGATGCAGCCGAAGAAATTCAACACGCTATATGTAAAATTGCTTCGAAAGATTTAGAAGCTACTGCTAATGCGACTATATTTAGAGAATTGAAAGGCGTATGCACGTCAAGTAAGTCGAAAAATTTTCATCAATCTCCTAATATTAGGCTGTATTTATAAAAAGGAACATATATCACTTTTTCCTTTTAAAAAATGAAGGAATTGCTTCAAGGTATATGCATGAAAAGAAGTGAAGGAAAAGGCTTTGCTTCGAAGACCCTGCTGTTGCTTTCGCTCCTCAATCATCTAGAACTGTTTAGAGCAATTTAGAACACTCCAGAATCATTTTGAGCTGTCTAGAATCATTTAGAACTGTCTAGAATTTTTTAGAACTGTCTAGATCAATCTAAAACGCTCCACAATGCTCCATAGTCATCTAGAACTATCTTGACTAATTTGAAACTGTCTAGATCAATCTAAAACGTTCCAGAATCGTTTAGAACTGTTTAGAATCATTTAGAACGTTACAGAATTTATTAGAACACTTCAAAATCGTTTAGAACTGTTTAGAATCATTTAGAACGCTCCAAAATCATCTAGAACTGTCTAGAGTCATTTTGACAGTCCTAATCAATCTAAAACGCTTCTGAATCATTTAGAACCATTTAGGACGCTCCAGAATCATTTAAAACTATCTCAAATCTTTTAGAACTGTCTAGATCAATGTAGAACGCTCCAGAATCATTAAGAACTGTCTAAAACCATTCAGAAAAAATCAGAACCGTTTAGAACGCCCTCCATAGTCATTTAGAACCCACCAGAGTCAGCTAGAACTGTTTTGAATCATTTAGTACTGTGAACGTTCCAGAATGATTTAGAACTGTCTAGAACAATCTGGAATTTTCCAGAAACATTTAAGAGTCACCTAGAACTATCTTCTGTGATTTAAAACTGTTTAGAACCGTTTTGGAACTCTCCAGAGTTTATCTCCAGAGTTATCTAGAACTGTCTAGAATCATTTAAACTTGTCTAGATCAATCTAGAACGCTCCAGAATGATCAAGAACTGTTTAGAACCATTTAGACTCGTTTCGTCTGAAGCGTTTTCTTGCAAAGTAAAGGCGGAGATTATGAATATGGATCAGAGCAAAACCTTATCCTCTTACCTTTTGCTTCTACCTTTTACTTCAAAGTAAATGCTTTATTTGTGTATTTGTGGAATTTAATTCATTTCTTTCATGATCACCTACCTACCTTACGATCCACTCAGTATAGTTTTTTTGTGTTAAAATGAATCGCCCTGTACAATTACATTTATTTTAGACGAATTGGAAGCTCGTTTGAACCATATAGAAAACATCTTCGTACAACAAATAGAGAGTATTAAGAACATCCTCGTATCAAACGGATTTGAAATCCCCCAAGTAGAAACTGCTACAAACGAAAAGCAGGAATCTCCTGAGACTCTTCATTACATATCAACCCCTCCTGTAATTAGTTATAGATCCTCGTCTTCGGAATTTGGCAATAATGGGTACTTTAACGATGAACTTCACCAGCCCACAGTCGAGCAGGAGAACCATAAATTAACAGGAGAAACGACATCTTCGAGAGAAGAAGAAATCATAAAATACAACAACACTGTAATAGAAACTGGTGCTGGAAAAACGTATATTTACTATTGGAAAATCCGGAACGTAGACGAATTACTACGCAAGAAAAACATGTACGTCTCCAGCCAGGAGTTTTCCGTACTAGGTTAGCATTTTCACGCATTTTCACGCATTTCTCAATTCATCATTTACTTCTAATCGTATTCAAGGGCACAATCTTCACCTGCAACTGTACCCGAATCACCTCGATAGCGAATCTTTCGCAGTCCGTTTGGCCGTTTCCACGAAAGGTTTCGTGAAAAAACACAGGATTTATTTGCTGAGCAACTCGGAGCGTGCTGATGTCGATTCGGGGCTGTTGCTGGGATTCAAAGGCGCTGATATGTTTGTGATTGATGAGGAAACGGCTCGATTATACGGGTATATTAAGGGAAATTGTATGACTGTGAAAATTGAAATTATGTTGAATTCGTAGTTGATGTGAGGATTTGTTTTGGTGTTTTTTTTTTAATTAATTAGAGTATATTGAAAGGTTGGAAAGGTTGCTTTTATTCCTTCTGGGGGTTTAGACTTTTAACAGAATAGCACAAGGTTGATTAATTTGATATTGCCTTGATAGTGTAAGGGAATGGAAATTTTGTTGAATTCGTAGTTAATGTAGGGTTTTATAATTAGTTAGAGGATATTGGAAGGTTGGAAGGTTCGTTTTAGTCCCTCTGAGGATTTAGACATTTAACTGGATAGTAAGATGCCAGTTAATTTGATAGTGTAAAGAAAAAGAAATGTTCTTATTATACGATTATGAATTCATATGGAAATTTCGGACAGGTTTTGTTAGTTGGAAAAAACTGCACTCATTTGAGCCCCTATTTTTGAGCTGGAGGCCTTTTTAAAGTTGCCTCATTTTTATGTTTTATTTCCTTATTTATACGTATTTGTTTGAAGAAAAAAATGGTACGCCACTGTTTTTTCTACAAATCAAAATTATTTTTAAAGTCCTTATTTATTTTGGAGCAAATTCGGTCCGAAGATTTACTTTCGTACGACGCACAATTTTCGCGTAAAAAAATAAAAACCTAAACAATTTTTTCCCAAGTTCATTTTGAGACTGCTTTTGATATTTTGTTTAAGTTTGATAGGCCCCCACCATTTACTAAATTTACTAAATTTAGTAGGCGCCCACTGTGCATGGAAACACTTTATTTTTGGGGTCAAAAATTAATTTTCTTCTATTACCAGTGACGTCCACGCTCAAAATTTCATAAAAATATCTGAAATAATAAGAAAATTATGATAGAAAAGTTTTTTTTTCTAAAACTAACACCCTGTAGCTCGAAAACTAAGAGATTTAGAACTTTTCTTCTTAAAATCATCCATATATTCACATCCTGAAGTATCGGCACTCAATTAAATAATACCCTGTATAAAGGCACGAAACTTTGGGAAAATTATTTGTTAATGAAACTACACATTTTGAAATTTTTTCAACCTAATTTTTTCAAATTCAAGTATGCTAAGAAGGGGTTGAAATAGTCAACCAATAAGACATATTTTCTTACAACTTTTTTAGATGAATATTTTTCTTATAAAAAAAATTGGCTGAATAGCCCAATTAATTTACCAACTTTTTTATTTCTACAAGTTTTCTCAAAAACAACAAGCATTTCTAAAAAATATCTATTGCAATATCTCATGTTAAAGAGCACATTTAACATGAACAAAAGCCAACCAAAAAAAATTGTTTTTTTCAAAAAAAAAATATACCAAGTACCCACCTTAATTTTCATCACAGGATCACCGCTTAAATTTTTTCGGTGTTTTTTAGATACATCCTATAAAATATGACATGCGCTTTGTTATAAATAAAGAATATAAAGGAACTTGGAGTGAATATTTTGAGCATTCTTTAAGGAAATCGTAGAGAAAAGATGGATTAAAAGTAACACATTTTTGTTTTCAATTTCCCCACAACTTTTCTCACAGGTCTCTCCAGAACATGCGACTTAGTACAAACTATAGAGCACTGTTTAGAGAATAAATCCTTTGTGCCAATCAATTCCCCGATATTCTCCCATCAATTAACACCTCCTTATTTCACACACACATCCATCAACGCCGAATAAACTGCTCTAATGACCCCCAATTTTTCCCCACCTTTGGGCTACTCTATCGACACGTTCGCCTAATTAATCACGGCCATTGCAGTGGTATTAAATTCGCCAGTGCGATATTTTTTTTGTCATTTTCCTTTCCCTTTTTAATCCGACCAATAAGGTGCGACACGCTAACGATGCATCGATGATTCTAAATTAGATCATACTGCAATTAGATTGTAGATAAAACGGGGGGTATTTAATTGGCGACTTCACTAGCCCGTGTCCTGCCGAAGAGGGTGCTCAATTTTACATCGAAAATGGTAAGTATGTTGGTTTTTTTTATTTTTTTTTTGATCCCGGGGAATTTTATGGAGGTTTTTTAGGTAATTGCAGGAATGTTAATGATTAGCTTGATAGTGTTGTTGAAAGTTTTTGGATAATATGCGTTTATGTAATCATTCATTTTTTAAGTATCAACCCATAACTCCCAATTAAATATACAGGGATTGTAGAGGGAAAATTTATTGTTGAGAATAAGTAGGTATTCCATTTACGAGGGTAGGGCGAAAAGTCCAAGGCCTGAATCATTTGGAACTATCTAAAACCATTTAGAACGCATCGGAACCATTAAGAACTCTCCAGAATCATTTGAAAGTGTCTAAAACCATTTATAACGCTCTTCGTATAGTTATTTAGAACTTTCCAGAATAAATTAGAATTGTCTAAACTCATTTAGAAAGCTCCATAGTCATTTGGAACGCTCCAGAATGATTTAGAACGCTCCAGAACCATTTTGAACAGTCTAAAACCATTTAGAACGCATCAGAACCATTTAGAATGCTCCAGAATCATTTAGAACGCATTAGATCCATTTAAAACTGCCCAGAATCATTAAGAACGCTCTCCATATAGTCATTTATCACTCTCCAGAACTATTTAGAATCGTCTAAACCTAGTTAGAGTGCTCCAGAATCATTTAGAACTGTCTAAAACCATTTAGAACGCATCATAATCTTTTAGAACGCTCCATTGTCATTTAGAACGCTCCAGAATCATTTTGAACTGTCTAAAACCACTTAAAACGCTATTAAAACTCTCTAGAATCACTTAAAATGGTATAAAACCATTTAGAACGCTCCAGAATCATTTGGAACTGTCTAAAACCATTTATTAGAATCCATTAGAACCATTTACAACACTCCAGAATCATTTAGAATGCTCCAAAATCATTTAGGATGCTCCAGAACCACCTAAAACCACCTAGAACGCTCTCCAAAGTCATTTTGAACGTCCCAGATTTGTTTAGAACGCTTCATAATCATAAAGAACTGTCTAGAATCATTTAAAACGATTCAGAACCGTTTAGAACGCTTTATGTCATTTAGAACATTCCAGAACCATTAAGAACTGTCCGGAACTAAAGATTTGTACTTAATAAGAAAATTTGGCTGAAAAGCCCAATTAATTTACCAACTTTTTTATCTCTACAAGTTTTTTCAAATACTGTTAAAATAGCACATTTAGCATGAACAAAAGCCAACCAAAAAATTGTTTTTGTTAATAAGAATAATTATAATATTTGAACTGAAAATCGCGATCTTTCATTGTCAGGTCGAGAACTTTTCACCTTACCCTTGTATACTAGTATGTACCAGAAATAAATGAGAAGGCTTTATAAAAGGCTTAGAATTAACTTAATCCACCCTGTGGTGGGACATCATGTATTTTGGTACAATCAATTCCAGTAATACAGACCATTACAGGTAGAAAGTAACCGCTGGGTTAATTGGTAAATCCTAATGATGAGTTAATTAAGGATTCAAGTTTAGGATTTAAAAGTCCTCTCAATTCTGGTACTACTTTAAGACATCTTGTGTACAAAATTAAAGCAAAAAAATGGTTTCATTTTCAGACGGACCTGAAGGAGAGCGAGATCGAAAGTAAGCAAACCCATCCATTTTTCTACTCCCCATTTTAACTTCCCCATTCATTCCACAGCCGCCCATTTCGCAGTGGAAGTGCTGGGCAGCGACAAGAAACTAGACGCTACCCTGCTGGACAAATTCATCTACTGCATGAGCCTCAATCCCAGCTTGGACACCCTCAAAAAGCACGGCTTCACTGACAAGGAAGGTAAGCAAATCGAATCACATTCGCCGCGAAAATCAATCACAACTCCCATCCGCAGGTCAGAAAGTGTTCACGGTGGAGGAGCTGCTGCCCATCGTCTCCGAGCTGAAGAAGCAAGTCAAGGATTTCGGTTGTTACGAGGATTTCATCGAGTGTTTGAAACTGTACGACAAAAACGACAACGGAATGATGCCTGCTGGTGAATTGAGCCATTCCCTCATGGCTCTAGGTGTGTATTTTTCGAGCAACGGCCGCCGCTGTGACCGGATTTGGCACCTATTTAATTTTTTTTACTGCGACTTTAGGTAGTAAATATGGGTTTTTTTATAGGAGAGAAGCTGTCTGAACCTGAAGTGGACGAATTATTCGAGACCTGCTTGGACGAGGAGGACGATGAAGGAGAAATTCCCTATATACGTGAGTATTTAAAAAGGTATTTGATACGTGGATTTTAACAGGGTTTTGCGCAGCTTTCCTTCAGAGGATGTGCGAGAAAGCTCCACCGTTGAAGCCGGCGAAAAAGTGAAATCCTACTCTTTAAATTTTACGTATGTATATAGACTCGCTTATATTATATACGCTTATAAATAAACGACTGACCGAATATTGGCAGCTAATTTTAAATTTGCGCTCTTTTCTATACTAACAATGTGCACAGGAATAGCCGTATATTATGCGCAATACCAGTTGAATTTGTTTAAAGTTCGCGCAGGTCACGTCTGCGGCTATTCTTGTCCCACTGTACTTGGGTTTCTCGCAATTTTATAACAACACAAAAATGATGAATGATTCGGGCTTCATTTAATTTATTTATCTATCTATTTAAGACAATAATAATATACGTAACAATAAAGAACGTTTTAATTATTATAATAAAATATTATTTAAAAATAAATACATTGTATTCCAGCTTGTTTAGAAACGTTTGTGGTGGGTGTACGGCAGTGCCCTTTTGGTGGTAAAATTGCTCTCCTCGTTGACTTCTGGTGTTTATTTTTTAATTGGGAAAACCGTTTTTTATTAGCAGTTATCTTCAGGTAACTAAAAAAAGTGGAAATATTTGAGTTATTTTTAAAGTGAATTAAGAGTTTGTGATAAAAATTTGCCCAGATTTTGGGTTTAAAAAGAGCCATTAAATAGTTTTAAATTAAGTTACACAATAAAAATTCGCCGTTGTTAAAAAAGCCAAAGTAGCATTAACAATTAACCATATTTGTACCATTTTTTCTACCATCTATTCGTCATAAAATCCCTATGAAGTAGCGTTATGTTAAAGATGGAAGAAAAATTTTCTCGTCCTTTACAAGTACCTATACATTTGCAGCGAATTCAACAGAAAACAGCGGAAAATTCACGAGAAAAGCGCCTTGTCGAAGCCAAACATCAGTAGCGTAGCTTTAGGAGGGCTATGCAAAAATAACTACTTACTTAAAAATAAAAAAAAAGTAAATGCGCAGACGAATGTCTTACGCCATCATCTTTTTGAGGAATGCTGCAAATTGCCAAATTTTCATTAATTTTAACCCCTTCACCTGATATATCGAAGAATTCGCTCGGGTAATTCCTCCCGAATTAATTCGTACTTACGTTCATAAGGGATGAATCCATCGTCATCTTCTTTGTCCATGCAATCGGCCAGAACGGTCTCGGTTTCTTCATCAGCCAATCTTTCTCCTGCAAGGGTTATTTATTATATAAATTGTTATATCAGGAGTACCTCCTGGTGCACTTACCCAAGGAGAGCAGAGTGTGGGCGAGCTCGGCTGCCATCATTTTGCCGTTGTCCTCTTTGTCGTAGAGCTTCAGGCACTCCAGGAAGTCCTCGAAGTTGCCCTGTTCCTTGTCTTTTTTCACTTGGCTGAAGATGGGCAGGAATTCTTCTACTTTGAGCTTCTTTTCGTCTGGAAAAAGATGATTTTTTAGCACGAAATTAGGGGGGTTTTGCGCGAGAGTATTTACTCTTCTTTTTGGTTCCTCCAACTTTCTCGATGGTGACCAAGGTGGGGTTGAGGTTGAGCGCCCTGAGCATGTCGCCCAAATTCACGGCGTCTACGGTGCCATTTCCTTCGAAATCGTAGATGGAAAAGACAAAATTGGCTCCTGGAAATTCGAAATTTGATTTATTTTTTCGACTGAGCAATAGGTGGAAATTAATAAGCGAAATTTGAAGAGTTAAAACGTGAGGCGAAATAATCGAAGCGATCTAGGTCTAATTTTAGAGTCTAAAATTAGAACTCGTGTTGCCTTATAAGCCGGGGCGCTTAAATATAGATGTAAGGATTGCGCGTTACGAAAATATTCGACTGTACTCGTAGCAAAAATAGCTTTTTTTAAACTTACTTTCAACGTCTCTGGCACTCAAATCAGCCTGTAACACAACGTAATACGGGAAATTAGAGAAATATTACCGAATATCTTATTCAAAATTACATATTTTTAAAACCTATACCACCTGGAATTTTCTAAATTTTATTGTAAGAGATATACGAGGGTGGTTCAATAATTATGGAACAATAATATGTAATTTTGGTTATTGTGAGTAAAATACTAACACTTTGTAGACTAATTGGTGTCTGAAAAGTGTAGTAAACATTTAGGTTAACAAATGGATAATTAGATGGTCTAAATATGTAAAAAAAACAACATATATTGCGCGTTTTGGGACGTACACAATAGCATTATACAGAAAAAAAATTGATGAAAAAATTAGTCCTACGTTTACATTCCTGTAAAATATACAGTGTGTTCTTTGGAATTTATGTAGATCAATTTTTTTTATTTTTGTTATCTAATTTTGAGCAAATGCCGAAAATAATGCGAATATTTCTTTAAGAAAAGTTCTGAATTTTCCAGAAAATAATGCGAATATTTTTTTAATGAAGCTTTGAATTTTCAAATAAACAATAAAATACATCAATTGATGATTGAGCGCAGAATTATGAACACTCTGTATTAAAAAAATTGCAATTTTTAAACGGCATGTGTAAAAGAATGATAGAAAAACTGTTTCTTGATAATGAGTAGATATTCAAATGTAACAAATTACAAAAAATCCAAATTTCAATATAAAATAAGATTACTAAAAATCAAATATAAAAATATATAGAAAATTATAATCCACCATTAATATAGCACATTTTTCACCCTATTCTTTCACCACATAGCCGCCAAAAAAATAACACAAAAAGCACATATAAAAACCTCTGGACACTTCACAAACACGTACAAATCCAAAAAAACCGAAAATCGAAATACCTCTGCTGTAAAAAATCATCCCAAAAAATCCCCGCGAAAAAACCTATCTTAAAAAAAAATGACTAAAATTCGTACGATCTAACCAAAACCAGAAAAATCTAATACTATTTTCGATTTGTAAATCTTCTGCTTCCAATATTTGAAAGCGCGCTTGTACGGCGGCTCGGGCAACGTGATTTTCGGCAAATTTGCGGACGCCATTTTGTCGACTGGCTGGCACGCGAAATGTCCGCTCGCATGCTAGATGTACTTACCATTGTGCGTGTGGACTGCTAACTCGCCTACTAGTATGTTCTGACTGACCAGAAGTGGAGCAAGGAGAGAAATTGGCCGCCAGTTTTATACGCGTAGATGGCGCTTCGGTCGACATGGCAACGCCGCTCCGATTCGTCCCGAAAATCCCCCGAAAAAGCGTCTCGACGCGGCAACGCCGCAAACGAAAATGTGCGATTATTTGAGAAAAATCGTCGGGATTGAGCCGAATGCAGTAGGAAATTTACCTAATTGTACTGAAAATAGATTGAATGTTGCCGGTTTGATGCTGAAAGAATAAGGTTTAGGGGAATCCCGTAGGGGGGATTTTTATTTTTACTTACACGCCTGGAAATTCGAAATTACTTTTATGGAGATTTTGTTGATATTCTGCTGAAGTGATACGAAAACGTAGAGTTTTTTTTTATCAAGGAAATATTTGTTTGAGTATTATTGGTTTATTTCAAATATACTGGCTAGGCTTGCTGCGATGAAGACATTGGGAAAATCGCATTTTACTTGTAAATTTGATCGATTTTGGAAATATTTTAGGTTATTTAGTGGATTTTTCAGATGATTTTTTTCTAATCTAACGAAACGAATACAAGGTGTGGTATTATGGTATTTAGCGAAAACAATTAAATAGTCTGCACAAACTAAATTTGGATCGAGTTTGAGAATGAAATTTCATTCGATACCGAAATTCTCTGGACTATTACTCATTGGGTTTGTAGGCAGAAATACCCGAGAATAATAAGTTTGCCAAAAACCGGCCGGGATATCTGGTGTTTATGTCCCAAATTCTATTTTACGTATAGCTCTCCCACCAATTCCCACGGCTAAATACAATAATAGAATGGCTACAGTTACAATTACAGTGGCATTGGGTAAATGCAAAAATGTCGAAATTCGAGTTTGGAAAAATAAAATGAAATAAAAGAATTTCTTAGCTACTATTTCAAGCTCTCACAGAATGAAAATGCATTATCCATAATCGTAAAACGAATGCATAACACACGATTATCTATTAGAGACTATTACCTGCATAATATTTATACAGGATGATAATTCGAAAAAATTCGGTACACTTTAAATAGAAATACATCATACCTACGTATAAATCAAATTTTTCCAACAACTTTCTAGCTTTACTTTTAAGTACTTTCTCCAAAATTTTCTAGATAATACTCCATTGTACAAATTTATCAATTACTTAGCATTTTTTCCACTCTTTATCAACCCATCACCTTGTACAAGCGGGCTAGCAAATGCACATATAAGCGCGTATATGGAAAAAAATCAGTCTTATAATCTTCCTGCTTTCACTTTTCCCTCGACAAGTTCCACTCGAAGCGCCTCTCTCGTTTCTTCGCAGATACAAAAGTGAAAACATTTCGTAATCTCCATTTACCAGTGCGATATAAAATATACTCGAATCGAATTTGATAAGTTATGGAGGTGAATTTTCATCGATTGGATGCGATTTTTAAGGACGAGGGCATAGGGAATTTCTACGGGGACTCCGAGATTTTCATCACAGGAGGGACCGGCTTCGTGGGTAAGGCCCTAATCGAGAAATTGTTGCGGTCCTGTCCTGATATCCGATGCATTTACCTGCTGATGAGGGCCAAGAGAGGCCGAAACGTCGACGAGAGGTTTCGGGAGTTGATCGAAAATCCGGTGAGATTGTTTTAGAGATTATTTTTTGGAGGTTTGTAATATTGTGTTTTATAAAGGTTTTCGGGCGATTGAAGAAGGAAGATGAGGGTGTTTTTAGGAAAATCAGACCCATATGCGGCGATATAACACACTCGAATTTGGGAATAAACAAAACCGATTTGATTAATATTTTGGAAAAAGTTAATTTCGTGTTTCATTCCGCTGCGACAGTTAAGTAAGTAAAGAGATTTAATAAAATCGTGTTCAAAGTTTAATTATTTTTACATACAGGGTGTTAATTAATTGAGTGAGCGACACTTCAGGATGTGAATATTTGGTTGATTTAAGGAAGAAATGTTTATATCAATATATGTCCTAAACCTCTTAGTTTTCGAACTACAGAGTGTTACAGTTTTAGAAAAAAATAACTTCTATCTTAATTTTCTTGTTACTCCAAATATTTTTTTGAAATTTCAGACGTGGACGTCACTGGTGATAGTAGAAAATTAATTTTTATCCCCCCAAAAAAAAGTGTTTCCATTCCTTGTGGGCGCCTACCAAATTTCAATAAAATATCAAAAACAATTTCAATGAATTTGGGAAAAAATGTTTTGGTTTTTATTTTTTTACGCGAAAATGGTGCGTCGTACGAAAGTAAGTCTTTTGACCGAATTTGGTCCAAAATAAATGAGAATTTTAAAAACAATTTCGATTTTTAGAAAAAGCAGTGGCGTACCATTTTCTCTTCAAACATATACAGTACAAACCCCGTATGGACGTCACTGGTAAAAATTTAAAAAAATATTATGCATCAAAAAATGCTCCTTAATAATTAAAAAGTTGTGCAAAACATCTTAAAAATATCTGGAGTACCTAATATGGAATAGTTATTTTTTTTCTAAAACTTTAACAACCTGTAACACTTATACATATCTACCTGTATACAGATAAGTTCAAATTTGTTTGCAATATGGTTTGTTCTATAAGTTGAAGTTGAACAGAGAAAGATTATTAAAATAACAGTAGCTAGAATGAGAAAGTTGCAATCTCCCCACATTATCACTCTTTTTTTCCTTTATATGTGACTAATGGAGGTTGTCTTTGTTGCACCCATAGACTATATTGCAAACACTTTTGCATCTACCTGTATACAGATAAGTGCAAATTTGTTTGCAATATGATCACTTCTATAAGTTGAACAGAGAAAGATTATTTTAAAAATAACAGTGGTTAGAGTGGGAAAGTTGCAATTCCACAATATGACTCTTTCTTTTTCCTTCATACGAGATTAATGGAAGTTGTCCTTGTTGCACCCATAGACCATATTGCATACAAATTCGCACTTATCTGTATATTCTATATATTTGTTATGATTTTCATTTGTAAAACTTATTTATTAATATGTAGATTCAACGAAGACTTAAAACAAGCTCTAATATTCAACACATTGGGAACCAAAAGAGTTCTGGATTTTTGTTGCAACGTGAAAAACTTAAAGGTACTTACCAATGCAAACAAAATATTTATTTACAATATTAATTGGAAATAATTTTCATACTTTATCCATCCAGAGTTTCGTCTACGTTTCGACCGCCTTCAGTAACTCGATTAGAGAGAACATAGGAGAGACCGTTTATGACACTTCATTCAATATCGACAATTTAAACAGTATTATCGATGATTTATCGAAAGATTCTTACGGCATCATGGCTAAACAAATTTTGGTAAATATACAAAATATGCTTGAAATTTTTATGTTACAATTTCAGCCTGATGATGGCTAAATTCATCCTAAACTAGTTGCCTTTTTTGACATTCAATTTTGTATGCAGGGCAACCACCCCAACACTTATACGTTCACCAAAGCCGTAGGCGAGGAAATAGTGGAAAAATACTCGAGAAAAATACCTTGCGCAATCGTAAGACCTTCCATCAGTAAGTACACATTTTAATCGATTATTAAAGCGAAAAATAATCTCCCAATTCTAGTTACAGGAAGCTGGAAAGAACCCTATCCAGGATGGGTGGATAGCGTCAGCGGTATCACAGGTATATTCATGGAATGCGGCAGAGGTACAATAAAATCCATACTTTGCAATGAATCATACAAAATGGACATCGTCCCCGTGGATGTTGTTGTAAACACTCTGATATGCGCTGCCTGGCACACTGTACAGTACAAGTAAATGCATCCTTCATTAAAAATCCCACATCTCCTAACAATTATTCCAATCCACAGAAGCAAAACCATGAGAATTTACAACTGCATCAGCGGCGAAACGAATCCCATAACGTGGAAGGACTTCAAACGTTTAACATTGAAATACTCCAAGCAGTATCCCAGCAAATACGTCACCTGGTATCCGGGATTCACCTACAGATCGAGCAGGTTCAGGCACGTGATCTGCGCCAGCGTTTTCCAGATAATCCCCTCGGTTCTTCTCGACGCCTATCTGTTCTGCGTGGGTAAACCCCCCATGTAAGTACCTCGAAAGAATAACAAATAGGTAAATTCGCCTGTATTGTACAATTCTCTGGTGTTGATAGGATGTTGAAGATAAGCATGAAATTCTACGAGGCCTTGCTGGCGGGCAGTTATTTCTCGACGAACGAATGGACATTCGAGGTATCGTCGATGAGAAGTCTGATCAAGGCGGCCGGGGCGGCTCCTGATGGAAGATCCTTCGAAATGGATATGGACAGGAGCAGCGGTTTCTGTTGGGATAGTTACGTGAAGGATTTCAATTTGGGCGTGAGACGGTACATTCTCAAAGATGATTTCGAGAGTTTGGAGAAGGCTCGATTGAAACTGAAAAGGTGGAGATTTCGCTGGTGTTTTTTTTGGTAATACATGTAAAATTTATTTATTTTTTAGATTATTATGGTTCCAGAAATTCATGCAAATAATACCGGTGTATCTAATGTACAGGTTGGTGTATTCGTTTTTAAATAAATGGATGTGGCAGTTACTTTAAGCTTTAAAGCGAAGAATCAGAAGCCATTATGAAATAAATTAGGTTTAATTACAATGTATTATACTTATAATATAAAACCAATAAATAAATTTACATTTCACTGCTCATTCCATAACTGTTTGCATCTCAGTTTTGTGCATTTCACATTTTATATCGTCGGTATACAAGAGAAAGTGACCAAGTCCACATACAGGGTGTCCAGAAAATAGATGTTAATAAATCGGGAGCGTATAGATGAAATCAAAATAATGGATGGTATAACTTATATAAATTTTGTTCATTTAAGCCAAAAAAATTAAAATTTCTCTAAAACCCTTAATTTTATCGACTTCAAACAAGAGTACATTTTTGTTAGTTCATCGATTAAAGAATGTATTTACCATATATAGGGTGTTTTTTAATAACTTGCTAATACACAATAATCTACGATTCTTAAGATACATTTCTACATAGGTCTACATTATAATGGAATTAGAAAGGCTCTGTAATCATTTAGAACTGTCTAAACTTGCAAACTTGCTTATTTTAATGTCCTCTATAACCCTTATCAGTTTGGACCAACAATTATGAAACATCTTGTATATTAACCAGGTTATTTTTTCATTTTGGACTTGTGACTTTTCTTTTATACCATGTTAAAAAAGGTGCTGAATAGTCACCACAAAAAAGTCGCTACATACAGAGAAAAAAGAAGACAGAAATGTCAAACATGCGTCATATCAACAAAACACGCCTACTTTTTCTTCTAGTTTGTTTTCTGTTTTTTCAGTTGATGTTAACATGGCGGCTATGAATGTTCACGTTTCGTTAGTTTTATTAATAATAGTGATATTAGCGCAGCTAAGTAAGTTTTTCTTGTGTATTTCATTAGAATAGTTATTAGCGTTTCGGTTTTTGGTATACCTTGTCCAAATTATAGTGAATATTTTCATAAATTTGGTAGGGAAATCCGACGCTACCTAGATTTGTCATTAGGAGTTTATAAAGAAAACAAGATGATTTCATTACTAATTTACGTGTTTACTTGAAGGTTACACCCATTTTTTTTCTTCAAGTAGTTTTCAATATACTTTCGATTGATTTTAGATGAAAAATATAATGGGGCGTTTTAAATTGATATGTTTCTGTAGCATTCTCAACCCTTATTGGGGTTAGGGTAGGGAAATTACGAAATATCATTGATTTTCTATTTGACCCGATTTTACCGGAAAATATCGATACAATTTCATAGTTTTCGTATATTCATGTAATTAAAATCAATAACTTGAGGAAGTTATTGAAAAAAGTACCTTTATTCATTTTTAATGAGCCTTATTAAATCATTCCAGTTTGTTTCAATTTTACTTTAGGTATTCATTAGTACATTCTATAAATATAAGTTTTTCTTCAATTCTATAAATAGATAATAAAATATACAACAATATTTATTCAGGAGTGAGTTATATTATACATTTTCCCGTTTAAATACACATCGTATAAATATAGCCAATTACGTAATATACTAATTAAACTCAATCTTGACCTATCCATTATGATAATGAATTTTCCTTTTCGAATTACTTAACACTCTTAATTTCTCTTTCAGGTTTCGCTCAAAGATCCCCAACGATATCCTACATAACACAAACCCAAATCAAAGATATCGGAGGAACGGTGGAACTATTATGTTCAGTACAATACACCCAAGATTACTCCGTAATATGGATGAAGGTCGACAAAGGTCAAACCAGTTTACCCATATCATCAGGTAGTTCGCTGATTTTACACGATTCGAGGTTTTCCCTTCGACATGACCCCGTAAGTACTACAGCCACATCCGTACGATGAATCTAATCGCTTTCATTTCGTATTACAGAGCAGTTCTACGTTCACTCTTCAAATCAGGGACATCCAAGAGACTGACGCCGGCTACTACCAATGCCAAATCCTCATATCGCCTAGTAACATAGTCACTGCCGAAGTGGAAGTGCAGGTGCGCAGGCCTCCCTTCATTTCGGATAATTCCACTCGATCGGTAGTGGTATCCGAAGGGGAAGCGGTTGACATGGAATGTTACGCCGGGGGTTACCCGCCGCCGAGGATCTCCTGGAGACGCGAAAACAACGCCATTTTACCCACCGGCGGTTCCATTTACAGAGGGAACTTGTTGAAGATCAAATCGATTCGCAAAGAAGACCGAGGTACTTATTACTGCGTGGCCGAGAACGGCGTGGGAAGAGGCACGAAACGTAAGTTAAACCGAATAACCGACAAACAGAAGGATAACGAATGAAATTACTTATAGGAAATATCGCTGTGGAAGTGGAATTCGCTCCGGTAGTGACCGTTCCGCGTCCTCGACTGGGTCAAGCTCTCCAGTTCGACATGGACTTGGAGTGTCACGTTGAAGCTTACCCACCGCCCGCCATTATTTGGGAAAAGGACGACATCACGTTGTCTAATAACCAGCATTACAGGATCTCGCACTTCGCCGTAGCCGATGAGTTCACGGACACCACTCTGAGGGTGATCACCGTGGAGAAGAGGCAGTACGGCCAGTACGTTTGCAAGGCCGCCAATAAATTGGGTACGGCCGAGGGTAGAGTGGAGTTGTTCGGTAAGAATCGATTGTTATTTATTTACAGGGTGATAATTGAGTGACTATACTTCAGGATGTGAATATTTGGATTATTTTAAGAAGAAAAGTTTATCTCAATATACAGTGTATCCACGGATGGGGTTGCCTATAGGAGAAAAATTTTTATTATTCATTTTACGACAAAAAGTCATTGTTTATAAACATTTTTGCTTCTTTTAAAAATGAGAATAACACTGAAACATCTTAGATTGGATCTACAGGGTGTTGCCAATTTAAGAAAACATGAAACTACCTCAAGAGAGAAGTACCATTATTTTTTATTTTACACAAAATTTTTATAAAAGAAGGTTGTTTATAAACTAACATAAAGCCTGCATACAAATTTTAAAATTAAAATTCCAATTTTGTTTGTCCACGGATGGAGTTGACCAGAGGAGAAAATGATTATTAATTTTACGACCAAAAGTAATTTTTTATAAAAAAAACTTTCTTGCGAAAATGGGATTCACATACCAAACATTAGATAAGATGTATAGGGTGTTAGTAAATTAAGAAACAGGAAAAAATTTCAAGAAAAAAAGAAAGAAAAATTTTTTCTTACATAAAGAAAGAATTTATTTATTATCTTACATTATTATTTACAAAAAAATGCTTTCAATCCAAAGTAAATTAAAATAAATTAATAATGTAAAAATTGTATTTTTTTATTTGAAAATTTGTATTCAGGCTTTATTTTAGATTATAAACAACTTTCTTTTATAAAAATTTTGTGTAAAATAAAAAAATAATGGTACTTCTGTTGAGGTAGTTTCATGTTTTCTTAATTTGGCAACACCCTGTAGATCCAATCTAAGATTTTTCAGTGTTATTCTCATTTTTAAAGGAAACAAAAATTTTTATAAACAATGACTTTTTGTCGTAAAATGAATAATAAAATTTTTTCTCCTATAGACAACCCCATTCGTGGACACACTGTATGTCCTAAACCTCTTAGTTTTAGAGATACAGGGTGTTAAAATTTTAGAAAAAAAACTTTTCTATCATAATTTTCATATTACTCCAGCCAGATATTTTTTTCCTAAAATTGAAACACCCAGTTCGAAAACTACGAGGTTTAGAACTTTTCTTCTTAAAATCGCCCAAATATTCACATCCTGAAGTATCTTCACTCAACTCAAGTAACACCCTGTATATATTCGTGGAATGAATTTCGATGTTAGATAAATCCAGCATGGAGGTTTTATTTCTTTTCTGCATCTTCATACGTAGCCTGGTAGCGTTTTAGATAGATTTATTTGTTATGTAGAAACCATCATACCTGTTTGCCCGCCTGCCTGTGGTACTGCCGGATATGCCGGAGCTGCTGCGATATCGACTAGTACTGCTGCTTTGTTACTTACGTTGATTATATACGTATTTAGGTAAGTTGAATGATTGTTATAAGTTTTTTTTTATGTATGAATTTTTAATGTTTTTTTCTTAAGTTTAACTGATTGTTTTTTTTTATGTTTTTCAGAAACTTCAGAGCCAAACAGTAATTATCCAGGGTTGATATGGCTGAATTTGGCTATTAAGAATCTCCCGGCAGCTTTAATGATTCTCTTCAACACAGCAATCTTATTGCTTGCCTAGGATTGCACTCTTTACTTAATAAGAAATATATATGAAATTGCACTTATTACCGCTATCACTAAATTGTTTCCCTAATTAAATGGGTCATTAGAAAGAGGTTTATTTTACGAGGGTAAGGTGAAAAGTTCTCGGCCTGAATCATTTAAAACTGTCTAGAGCCATTTAGAACACTCCGTAGTCATTTAGAACTGTTTAAAACTATTTAGAGCGCTCCCGAATCATTTAAAGCTATCTAAAACCATTTAGAACTGTATAGAACGGTCCTTAATCTTTTCGAACTAAAAATTTTAATTTTATAAGAAGAATAATGTAATTTTTCAACTGAAAATCGCGGTCTTTCATGGTCATGCCGAGAACTCTTCACCCTACCCTTGTAAATAGTTAATAATAGATACAAAGTTTCAATTTTAAAAATATTAGGGTTGTTGAGTGCAAATTCACGATATAGTTAACCTGATAATCTCTTTTCATTAGTGATCTAATATCTAAATGGTGCATTTACAACTTGGTAGGGTTAATACCAATATTTTTTTAATGAAATTTTTGAATGGGAACAAATGGGAATTTTTGACCGAATCTCGAGATGAATCTCAATAAGAATAATATTTTAGGATAGTTTTAGCTTTTTACACGTTTTTATACAATTTTGTACTTTTTATATACAAAGACTTTTGCACAATTTTATTTTGTACGAACAAATATAAACGAAGAGATATATTATTAATTAGGTAATATATTAAGGTTTGTCAATACTTAACAACGATAAGTGTATATTTTATTAAACAAAATACGTTTTGCAATTAAGTTGAAATTCGCTCGTAAAAATTCATTAGATTTTGCTATTTCTAGAGCCAAGTTAATTTTTTTATGAACGCTTTTCGACGAATAATTAATTGTACATATTTTTCGATTAAAGTAGTTAGATGGCCTAAGAAAGAATATTTTTACGAATATTTGTGTACTATAGTAAGTTATTTCGTGGTTTGATTTGCTATAAAAACCCGATCGTAATATTGGAGATTTTACTAGAATGATATTTTTTAAATGCTTTTTTGAACAATTTTTTTTTATTTAATTTAGGTATACGTGAATTTCACTACACCGCATTAAAATCCGAATTAATTTCAAACTTTATCGAATAATAATCGATCATTCCTATTTACAGACTAACTGAAGTGAAAAATTTGTGTAATTCGTCCAATTTGTTTTGAAATAAAGATTTAATTTTTATCTTTTTTATATTTTATTTACCTTACACAGGTATTTAGATCAAAAAGGGGAGGGAAGAATTAAGGGGAAAGACAATTCAAAAGCTGTCAAAACCGTCAAATTGAAACCCATATTCTTTTGTTGACTTCTGTCTCAGTCGGTAAGATAAATTTCTATATTTTACCACCGTTGCCAAATTTTTAACTGTAATAGATTCACTATTTAACTCGAATTAAACCAATACAGGTGCAATTAAAACTCATTTTTTATTTTATTATAGCTGTACAAGTTAATATTAAAAGATTTGTAGGTTTGTTTAATTGAATTTACGCGTATAAAGTAATTTAAAACAGACGATAAAACTGACAACATGGCGGCTTTAGAGAATGCAAAAACATGGCGTCAACAAAGTGCAAGCTGATTTTATATATTATGTTTAATCAATTATTAAATTAAAAATTCATAATTAGTGTCGGTGTTTAAGTGCAACGTATCGATAAAAGGGTTTGTTACAATCGCAACAAAACGACGTCTTCGTAGTTATTTGTATCGAAATAAATATGCATTGTTACTGAACTGAAGTGTTTGGAATGATGACCACCTGGCTGTATGTGCAATGTCAATCGGACCTTATCATGTAAAATATGAATTTTATTTTATTGGATACACATCGTTTCTCTCGAGGACTATCCGTATGAATTGGTAAATATTTAAATAATACTCCGCTAATCGCGTTCACCGAACCCCGATCAAAACAAACATGGGCACTGACGACTCGACGTCTATTTTGCAATTTCCTTACATTATCCGCATTTAATCTACATAAATTCCAACTAATTTCTAATCGGAAACATCGAGTACACCTTCCCAATCGAGCGCTTTCATATTTTTCTATGAAAGCAGAAGTAAAAGTTATTAATGTGATTAATTAAGAACGTTTCGTACGAACGATAAAATGAAGTTTAATTTATTGTTAAATATTCATTTGCATTCAGATAACATGGAGTTTTAAGAGTTTCAATAAGAGTAATTTATCCAGTGTTACTTTTAAAATGGAAAACATAACTTTATACTTAAGTTACATCATTTGACGTTTTTTTTTATTAGAAGAAAGTATATTTTTGAACCCTTGATTTTCTAATTTATTTATGAATTTTCTTACATTAAAATGTACCTCTCTCTACGAGTTCACAACTACAGTAAATGACCCATTTGGCAGATACCTCCGACCTAAACGGATGCCTCCGCTGGTGGAGCAATCGCACCGTTATCAGCATCAGCCGAGGCACATGGAACCATCTCGCAATGGAGACTCGGTTCAAGTGGAGCACCGGACGCACCACAATCCCCATTTGTCCCACCAGCCGCCCAGGCAACTCCTGCACCACAACCAATTGGTGCCCTATCTCCGTACGGCCCTCTACGACTACGATGCCCAAGGCGACGACGAGCTGTCCCTGCGCAAGGGCCAGATCGTCGAGGTCCTCTCCGAGGACGCCAAGATATCCGGCGACGAAGGCTGGTGGACCGGCAAAATCGGCGATAAGGTAATTCAACCGTACCCAAAGTAAATTGATAAGCGTTTTAATTGTTATCTTATTTCTTGGAATTAGTCACGATTAAAATTGAATCGGTGATTTCAAAAATTTGAGATTTTAAAGTAAGATAGCTTTTTGTTTCAAATTTGTCTCTTCATTGATTGAGCTGGAAAACTTTACTACACCATTTCCAACTGTATTTCAGAAAAGCGTCAGGTTCATTTAAGAATGCGTCAATTGAATTTCAGAATAATAAATTTGTTTTCAGAAACCATCAGTTGTATTTCAGAATAGTCAGTTCGATTTCGGAAACGATCATTTGAATTTCAAAATGGTCAAATTCATTTCAGAAATCATCATTTGTATTTCGGAATTCTTCAATATTTATAGCTTTTCAATCTCAGTTTCAGAAAAAATGTAAAGGTATCAGTTGCAGAAGAATAATTTCGATTTCAGAAAAAAATATTTCAATTCCGGAGAGAAGTTGTTTCAAGTCCGAAAAAATAATATAAATTGTGGAGTGATAAACTGAGTTTTTCTTCTCCGTTAATAATTATTGTAATAATAATTGTCATATGATTTCTGCATTCCAAATGGGATTCTGAAATCCTTTTGATGGTTTCCGAAATACAAATGACACTTTCCGAAACACAAATGATAATTTCTTAAATACAATTGACTAATCTGAAATTCAATTGATGATTTCTGAAATCAAATTGACTATTCTGAAATTCAATTGATGATTTCTGAAATCAAATTGACTATTCTGAAATACAACAGATACTTTCCTAAATATAAGTGACTATTTTTAAATTCAATTCACGCTTTTTGAAATACAACTGGAGAAGGTGTAGATACTTAGCCTTTAACGTAGCACAGTTGCTTAAGTTGGTGAAATTAGGAAAAAAACCATACATAATAAAATGTAATCCAATTAATGTACGATCTTTGATTAAATTGATGGTCTTGTAGGTAGGGATATTCCCCTCGAACTTCGTGGCCCACCGTGATCCGGAACAGGACTTCTCCGATCACTACAACAACATCATCGCGGACATCGATCCGGTGAAAATAGACTTCTCCGAATTGGAATTGGAGGAGGTGATAGGCGTCGGTGGGTTCGGTAAGGTGTACAGGGGCGTGTGGAAGATGCGCGAAGTGGCGGTGAAGGCGGCGCGTCGCGACGCCGACGCCGACGCCAGCGTTACGATGGAGAACGTGATCAAGGAGGCTAAGCTGTTTTGTTTGTTGTGCCACGAGAATATAGTGTCGTTGGAGGGCGTGTGCCTGCGCGAGCCGAACTTGTGCTTAGTGTTGGAGTATTGTAGGGGCGGTTCGTTGAATAGGATCCTGTCCGGCAGGAAAATTAGGCCTGACGTTTTGGTCGATTGGGCCATACAGATCGCTCGGGGTATGGATTATTTGCATTGCAGGGCGCCGATATCGCTCATTCATAGGGACCTGAAGAGTTCAAACGGTGCGTATTACAAATACTTTCTCTTCAGGTTAACTAATTGTTTATAGTTACGATTGAATCTTAATTATTTGGGCTAATGTGGCTGAAGAAGTGGCCTTGTAACGAAAAGGTCACAGTTGTATGAACTTGGTAGTATTTCTTTGTCTACGAATATCAGGAGATTATGATCCATATGAACGCTAAAAATGTACAATTTTCAAGTTGAAGGGACTCTTTCAATTATTCATTTAGTGTTCAAAAGGAGCGCTGAATACAATGCCAAACTTTTTATACCTCAATTCACTGTTATAATGTTCAGTGAACTCAGACTATTTTACTTAAAAGTCCAATTCTAACGGGGTCTTGCACCAAACTCGAACTAAACGAAAGTTAATTAAACTAGCGTTTAATTTTATACTTCGCTTAAGTTCATTAACTCATTATAAAAATGAAGAGTATAGTTAATCTATAACTTTTTGGGGTTTTTATTTGGAATATTTAATGTTGGTTACACTTAGTTTTCAGTTGAAGAAAAAAAAAGATCACAGAACACAGAATTTAGGTTCTAAGTTCTATATTTTCAGTATTCTGTGAAAAAGACATTTTTAAGGTTATCGAGGTTTATTGTTTATTTTGTGTTTATTGTATATTATTAATCATCAGATATTACTTGTGTTACTTGCATTATTATACCCACCCCTCAAGGCGGGTAACTTTAAAAATTTAAATAGAAACCCCTATTTTTTATTTAAAATTCGGAATCCTGACATCAAAATTAGCAAGTTTTGTTCAAAACATTTTTCAAATTTATCAAGAAAAAAAGCTAAAATTTCGAAAATTATTTCAAACAGCCCTATAGGGACACAAACGTAGTTTTATGATGGCCAAATTCTATAAAGAAACAATCTTACGAGAAAATCTACCCCCGACCATATTACAAAAAGATATTTTATTGCTAATTTTCCTTCTAATTAACTGGTTACATACTACAGTAAGGTCTATTTTCGTTTAAACCGTTCAACCATCAAAATTTACGGTTTAATCTTAATTGAAGATTAATAAGTTAATTTTAGTTTGGTGCAACATAAAAATTGAATACAACTTGAGTTTAGCATTAAACAACGTTTAAATCCCATTGGTGCAAAAAAACCTCTAATAATCATTAACGATACTAATCTGTTCCGTAGTTCTCCTTCGAGAGACCATCGAAAACGACGACATTCAATTCAAAACGTTGAAAATCACGGATTTCGGTCTGGCCAGAGAAGTGTACAAAACGACGAGAATGTCCCAAGCCGGCACGTACGCCTGGATGGCGCCCGAAGTCATCAAAAACTCGACGTTCTCGAAAGCGAGCGACGTTTGGAGTTACGGCGTATTATTGTGGGAATTACTAACGGGCGAGACTCCTTACAAAGGCATCGATACATTAGCTGTAGCCTACGGTGTGGCGGTGAATAAATTAACATTACCTATACCTAGCACGTGCCCTCAACCGTGGAGGGACCTAATGGAGAGTTAGTATAAACGATGTATTTATTCGATGCAAATAAATGCGATTTATTTTTGTTTTTTTAGAATGTTGGGAATCCGATCCTCATCGAAGACCTACGTTTGAACATATTTTGGACGATTTAGATAATATAGTGCATTCGTCTTTTACGCAAACGCCCCACGAAAGTTTTCACATCATGCAGGACGATTGGAGACAGGAGATCGAAGAGGTGCTATTGGAACTTCGCAGGAAAGAAAAGGTACAAATCAAAAAAATAGGTAGTTAGTTTCTTAACTATCTATACCTTGGGATCTTAATAACGGACCATGACTAATTATACCATGTTATATACAGGGTGTTTCATTGGGAAATGGCAATATTTTAACCCTATGTAGAGGTCACCCAGGGGATTACAAAAAACCCATATATTATGGGTCTTGCGCCCTTTATAACCGAGTTACAGGGTGTTTATTGAATTTGGCTCATTTCTTTCGACGCCTATAACTTTTGAATCACTTAGTACATTTTTTTGTTATTTGGCATAGATATTCTATACCTTTAGGACAATTTATTGCCACATTAAAAAATTACAAAATGCAGGTCCGGATTTAGAATAATTATTAAAACTTGACCGACTCTAAAACAACACCCTATACATCACTATATATATAAAACCCCAGGCGTTAACGATGATTGGCGACAGAAATTCAAAAATAATTACTTGGGCATCGAGAGGTAGATGGGGGGACGTAAACGGATGCGCTCTTTTCGAAAATCGACCTCTTTTCCACAGCTAAATTCGTTTTCGTTCACAATATCGATTTAAAGTTGAAATTTTTGACACATTTTCCAAAAAATTATTTGATGGACGATTTACGTTCGTTTAGTTTGAACGGAACTTTACCGCGGTGCAAGATTTTTTCTTTACTTGTACCTTTTAGCCGCTTTCAACGGTTGAATATGAAAGAACGTACATAAATTTACTAACCTTTAAGTTTTCTCCTCATTTTATTGACGAATAACCGAGAAATGTTTAAATTAATTTCGAAAAGTGTACACTAATGACAGCGACAAAGAACCAACCTCACAATGACTGAAAATGTCACTGACGTTTCTAAGGTGACGTCGACGGGACATTTGATGTACAGGGTGTTTTTTCGTTAAGGAAATGTGAAAATTTGATGTACAGGATGATCACGACCGAGTGAGCGTAGCGAGCGAGGCTCCGGCTAGCAAACTGTCGAAGCCGCCACCGTAAGAAAGGGGGGTTGAAAGGGGGCGCAGCCCCCTTTCCGAGTTGACAAGCGAGTCATATTTCTAAAACTTGAAATTTAAATTTAGAAAGAACATAAAAAACTGAATGTATTCATCAACTTTTTATTTTCCCGCATGCCGTTTTTCTACCAAAATTTAAACGTTAAAATGTACATTATAAGAATTTTAATCCATGTAAAATGTAATTGAAGGGATTTTAATTATTTTTTCTTTATTAAAACCAAGTTTACTTGATTCTTTCATGGAAATTCATGAAATGAACCTATTGAACTTGAATAAACACTCACATAAACCAATAAAAATTACATATATGGGTCTCGTTGTAAAATCAAGAGAAAGAGCTGGTGTTATTGTATAGATTTAGTAAAATAGATAGATATAGTAATATAAATTTACTCGCGTAAATATTCGCACTTTAAAGTGAAACTTGTCAATTTTTAATGAAGGGTAAAAACCTCGATACTTTTATTTGAGACCGAAGTTTCAACATTATTCTAGCCACTATTAGCATGTGCCGCTACTTTTTATTTGTTTTCGACTTAAACGATTACTCATGGTCAGTTATTTTGAAACTATACTCTATTTTATCTAAAATTCTAATTTTTTCCTGCTGCCTCTCCCATACGATAGGCTTGTAAATCCTACGAAGAGGTACGTTAATGTAGAGTCTGAGATGAACAATTTTCCTATTAACATTATATTAATCGAATTGTTCTGCGTTTAGGAATTGCGATGCAGAGAAGAGGATCTCAACAGGGCGCAGTTGCAGCAACGTTTGCACGAAGAACAGCTCAGGCAAAAAGAGCAGGAATTGCACGCCAGGGAAATCGATCTGCTCGAAAGGGAACTGCACTTTATGATTAAACAACAAACTCCTACGCCTATCAAAAGGAAAGGTAAGTTATTTATTTTGGAATATTCAGTATAATGTGTCCCAAAAATAATTGGCATTTCTCTGTAAAAATAGCGTAGAGATATTTAGGTGTTATCGTAAATACGAGGGTGAGGTGAAAAGTTCTCGGCCTGAATCATTTAGAACTGTTTAGAATCATATAGAAAGCTCCAGAACCATTTAGAACGCTCCAGAATCATTTAGAACGCTCCAGAATCATTTATAACGCTCCAGAACCATTTAGAACGCCCCGTAGTTATTTAGAACGCTCCAGAACCATTTAGAACTGTCTAGAATCATTTAGAACGCTCCATAATCATTTTGAATGCTCCAGAACCATTTAGAACGCTCTGGAACCGTTTAGAACTGTCTCGAACTAAAGATTTTGGCTTAATAAGATGAAATATGTAATTTTTTTAACTGAAAATCGCGGTCTTTCATTGTCAGGCCGAGAACTTTTCACCCTTCCCTTGTAAACATCGAGCTTTTGTTATGGAAAAAGTACACGATTGAACAACGTGTAGAAATTGTGAAATTTCACTTCGTTAAAGGGTGATCTTAAAGCGATGATGAAGGGTGTTTAGTATCAATAAACTCGACGCGTCTTCTTTCTCGAGCAATAAAAATACAATTTATGATATAAAAAAATGTGATTCATTAAAGGTTTCAAATGTCAATTAATCTTGGGATATCCGCTACATAGCTTTAAATTAATTGTTTGGATTTCGTTGTTTTTGTTTAGGAAAATTCAAACGATCGAGATTGAAGATATTGAAGAAGGAGCCCGGTACGAATATCAGTTTTCCTTCGGATTTTCGACATACGATTACCGTTCAACATACCGTCGATCACAAAGGTATTAGCGGTATTATTTCGCCAAATAGTCCGCCTGGATCGCCGGCCATACCTAGATTAAGAGCCATTGCGCGTGAGTAGTTTTTTTTTTTATTATATTGTACTTTTGTATACGTTTTTTTTTTTATTATAAAGGAGTATTAGGAAATTGTAGTATCACTATCGTTACTCTGCTGTTATGCGGACACGGGAAAATGTTTCGCTGATTTGTTCGATTTTTCGGTTGAAATATTTTAAATAGTCTTCTTAAAGTTCTTAATGGACTTTGATACTTTATTCTGGATAGTTCCAAATAGTCCTGAACATGTTCCAAATGATTTTGGACGATTCAATATAGTTACAAGATTGTCCTGAACTGTTCCAAAACGGTTCCGGTCAGTTCTAGATGATTTTAAAACATTTACATTTCTCGAGTTACAGTTGGTGCAAAACAATTATGAATCCACGTCACTAATTTCGTCATACTTGCCAAAAGCATTGTGACCAACTTTTAAAAATAAATGCCCAAAATCTATTTAATCTTAGTACCTGCAGAATTTAATTTAATAGTAACAAGGGATGATAGAAAATGTTAAAAAGCAAAATTAAATCATCCAAAAAATATAGACAAAATTCAACTTTTGTAAATAAAATTAATATTATTTTCTTCTAGCAGGTTGGTAGGTACTGACTGTCAAGTTGCATAGTTGCCGTTGTCAAACGATCGGTACTTTTAATTTTCAATTTATTCTTTTTTCTAGTCTACTACCCCAAACTACTAAAGGCTATTCAGCCGAATAATCAAGAAATAAGAAATTTTTGCTTAGTTATCTTTTCCACATGTTAGAAATGACACAATTTGATCTCTAAATAATTCAGATTCAAAAGTTTTCTCATAAATTTTACTATGTACCCTTTAAAGGGTCAATTGTTTACTATTTTTACTCGCACTGTTAAAATATATTTCAAATGATAAAGGAATTTGATGATTAATTCTGTCATTTTGCCATTTGACAATTTTAGAAAATTTTGTAAACTCAATAAAAGTTCGGCAACACTGCCTACTTGTGACGTAGTAAATTATAGGTGACGTGCGATGATATTTGTTTTGCACCAACTGTATGTCTCTCTAATTTCTCTCCCATTCGAACGATATTACAATGATCAGATATAGTATCTTTGTCGCACTTGATTTATTCCCGTGTTCATGTTACGGGTAAAGTTAGATAAACTACTAAACCTGGGTTTAGCCGGGTAAAGTGCGAAATGTGGGTAGGATGTAAGCTAGGGTGGGTTTTCTCATGGTATAATGGGAATCCAAGAAACCGAAAAAAACCTACCCTAGCCTTGTTTTTTTTTGGGTATTTCGCAGTTTACCCCGGTAAACCTAGGTTTAGTCGTTTACCTAGTTATCCTTAACATCCATATCTCTATGGATCCACTCGGTATAGTGATACTACAAAATTTCCACTTTAATCCTTGAAAATATAATTTAATAGACTGGAGAAATAGTTTTGTTCAGGACTAATCGGGCACATTTAAATATGCATCGATTTGCCTTGTGACAATTCCTATTACTTTCTAGCATGGTTTTTTATTTGAGCATGCCATTTTTACCACCGTGTCGTGTGTGTTTTTTTAGAATATCCGCTTTATTTTTTTTTGTTAATTATGTATTAGATTTGTAATTTGTTTTTGTCGAGTTTCGAATAGTTTATTAAACCAGCGATGCTTTTCGACACCTTTTATTTTTAATTTGTTTGGTTATTATTTTTTTTTTCGTTTTGAATTTTAATGTCGGCAAGAACTAATCGGGTTTCGTAGTTTTTTTTTCTGAAAAATTTACTAAGAATGGGTAAAAGGAAAGTGTTGTTGTATACAAGAAAGGCAAGTTTCGAACGCTGCAATCTTTAGAAAGAGACTCTCAATCAATATCAATCATTATACAGGGTGTTAATAAATGCAATGTACTTATTTTAACGGGTTATTCTTGGGCTAATTTTGAGTCGAAAAGTTCATATAAAGGATCTCTTCCGAGGCTCGGTTTTTGATATACCTACAGGGTTGTATTTTTATTTTGAAAATTTGAAAAACTCCGGTATACATTATTGAATTCTAGGATAACATATTATGGTATAAATATGCATTTTTTTAATTAGAAAATATTTTTTATATGAACCAGTGGCGTAGATATGGGTAGGTCTTAGTACAATTTCATCTAAAAAAGTAGTACGCCACTGTTTTTTAGAAACTTTCTTTAAAGTTTATTGATAACCATTTCATTTTAAACAAAAAAAAGTTTCCATGTGTTTTTACCGTAGAACTTATCATTTTAAAGAAAATAATAAAAAACTCTAGTTGTTACATTTAAATCACACCAAAAACTCTACTTAGCTAAATTCATAATAATAAGAAGACATTTTATGTATACTATTTCTAGCCATAATTCGACATGGCATAAAAAACGCCTAGCGCCGACTTCAAAGGTACCGGTGCACATGGATGTACCGTTTTTAGTATCAAAATTAAATAGATTAAAGTATTAATTGGGTAATATTTAATGTACTCACTTTGTCAGTGAAATTTTATGTCAAATAAATTTTATAAGTTAAAATTAATAATTTTAAAAACAAGTAAAGTTTAACCAAGGCTTTGAGAAATCGCGAAAAATTTTCAGACCGCGCGAGCCACTGATCTAAGACAAACAAACTGAAGAGCGAGATTAATTAGATGAATATTTGGTGATTTACGACCGCGAGCCAGCTGCCGGTCCGAAATCGCGTGATCGCACAGTTGTAGAATTAATATCAACTATTGGTGAGTTGATGTTTAAAACTTAAGTGAGCCACATCAGCGCGGCTCAGCGGCTATACCGGGGCGATTCGCGCTTATTGGCAACGCGAGAGTATGGAATTCGTAGCATTCTCGGCGCTTATAACGCGATTTATTTCGCGTCCCCGGTACAACGGTCCAAATCGGATTAAGACTAGAATCACTATACATAGATATTGTACATGCGTATTTAGGTATATGATAATATGTTATCCTAGAATTTAATAATGTAATATCGCAAACGGTTTTTCAAATTTTCAAAATAAAAATACAACCCAGTACAACCCAATACAGTGCGTGTCACGACGAGGGCCCATTAGAAGTATCTGGAAAAGTAGTTGTAATTAAAATTTGAAAATTTGTGTACAAGTATTAGTCGATGCGCTCTATTCAATGAAAATATTTTCAACTTTTCTTTACTTCCGGTTATACCGGAAATGGACAGCAACTTTGTTATTTTAAATGGGACACCCCATATATTAATATATTTTCGAAATGTACGCAAAATTTTAGAGTGCTTTTGTCTAAAAAACTTTTTTCAAAAATGCATACTTTTTGAGTTACTAATTTTTTTTTGAAAATTTTGACCGATGCAGACCCTTATAAATTATTTTTTTACGGGGGTCCCTTTAAAGATATGGATACGGTTTCTGTAGGGTGGCCACTAGCAAGGTCAAAGGTATTTGAATCTGTATCAAAAAACTTTTTATTTTATACAGGGTGTATACAAAACATGTGAAAACTTGAACTTCAAAAATACCAAATTATTTAATTTTTTTTAAATGGAACCACCCATTTTTTTCTATTTTATTGAAATCAGCGATAAAAAATAAGGAAAGTTCATGTTTACTTCCCTATACCTAAACCTAATAGGTTTGATGATATTAAAAATTTTACTTAAAACTTACTTTTCTGCCTTATTCTTAAATAATCCGTTTTTACAAGTTGGCCATGTAAATTGTTTGTAATTAATTGATTACTAATTTTGGTACTTTTACGATATTCCGGTATAACCGAAAGTAAAGAAAAGTTGAAAATATTTTCATTGAATAGAGCGCATCGACTAATACTTGCACACAAATTTTCAAATTTTAATTACAACTACTTTTCCAGACATATCTTTATATGAACTTTTCGACTCAAAATTAACACAAGAATAACCCATTAAAATAAATACATTGCATTAATTAACACCCTGTATAATATCTATAAGATAGTAAGGTACCGAAAATGAAGAATGCAGTATTCGAAACTTGCCGTACAGTATATTATACGGAGAAAAATAGAGGTGATTAATAATTACTCCCTTGGTATACATACGTACAGTAAATTATACAACAGAATTTTCTGAAAAAGGGAGTCGTTGATTGTAGATAGCGCGAAATATAAAAACTAAAATAAAAGCCGGATGATATGAAATTCTCGAAAGACACACGAACCGAACGCGGTGTGGTGAAAATCGAACAAAAAAAAAACCAAAAAACCAAAAAAAAAAAATCGAAGAGGTGAAAACCGCAAAAATTTCAGTACCAGCCGACGGCGTGAAAGGCAAAACGTGGGGCCCCAGTACGCTGCATCAGCGCGAACGCGGCCAAATAATGTCGAGGCCGAGCCCCAACAAGACGGCGTTGTGGTCGAAGAGCGCCCCGAATTTGGACAAAACGAGAACGGTCGTCGGCGGTACGGCCGCACAGCCGACGAGCCAAAGGCCCCAACACGACATAGGTAACGCATCGCCGACAGATTGTAACAGTTACAAAACGATATCGGGCAGTTTGCATTCGATCATCAGCAAAGTGTCCGATTGGAAACGTTCGAATCAGGCGCGCAATAACAGTTTTCCGATCAATAACGCTTCTCTATTAACTAAAACGGGCTTGGGAGGCGGCCATCGTTTGAGCAGATCAATCGGTAACATATCCGGATCGCATTACGATACCGTATTCAGTTCGGATAATTTCGTGATTGCCAGAGGCGTGAGCGGTTCGGTTGATTTTACCGATCGTATGACTGATTGTTTGATTGACAATAACGAAAATAACAATACTATCGTTTGATTACCAAACAACTTGGGTGATTCGTTTCCATTATGTATACCTCGTTCGCCATTCGGAGATAGTTATGCAAAAGATCACGAATTTTCAAAACTTTAAGGGCGCAAAACTTTCAGGGTATTTTTAAATGGGAAAACAGGTTCAGCAATTCCAGTAAGATTCAAATTTGGCTTCTTCAATTGATTTGAATCTTTCTTATACCTAATATAGAGACTCCAAGCAATTATATTTCCTATTTTTAATCTCTCCTATTCCATTATACATTCAAGAAAATCAAAATCAAAAACTGCCATTTTAAATGCAAAATGGCAAAACGTAATTCTAGTAAGACTCGAGTTTCTTCGAACGGATGTGTGAATAATTTTAGTAGGCTGAAGAATACTTATTATAGGATGATGTCTCCTAGTTTATATTGATCCAGAGGCTGTATTAAATTGAAAAAAAATTAAAGTATTTAAGCCAATGATGATAATAGATTCCTGTAAAATTATATTGTCGCCTGACATAAATGTCAAATCACAGAACAATTTTGTAAATTTGGCTAGCGACAGCGGTACCAGTAGTTTCCGTTTTTCAGATATTTTTGGATAATTTGCACTTTTTTAAGGGCAGGTAATATGAAATAAGGTATTTCCAGTGCACCGGAATACTTTTTTTTTTTACTATTTTCAAAACCTTACTTTTATCTTTTCAAATTGCAGGGGCAAGAATTGAATTTAAAATATTCTAGGCTGCAATCCGATTGACGGGAGAGGTGTTTATTTGCAACGCTTCACAACCCTATAAAACAGAAATATACATTTAAAAAACTATTCGTAAGTTTAACATAACCTATAAATTTCAATGTGCTGAACTATCGAAAATATTGATCGGGAATTAATCGGAAAAAAGGGCCTATATCGTCCCGTTCCCTCCCAAAATAGATCTAAAAACACCGAAAATCGTGGGAGAAACTGTCGATAAATGTACATAAACCGCACGAAAAACTATCTAGAACGAACGAAAAACACAAAACCTACTCGTAAACTTGAAAAAATACAGGAATATCGCGCAAAAACAACAAATTGTAGTCATAACCTATCAAAGGGTCAATTACAAAGCGCCGCTAAATATTGCGAATGTTGAGACTAATGCATGACAACATCGCTTTCGACTTTCAACTAGGCGTCGTAAAATTCCTCTAGTCAAATAGGAGAATTAACATTGATACTAGGGAAATGTTAAACTGCGTGGAAATTAATGACGTCATTGCCTAGCGAGCGCGAATGTCCTTTATTTTACTTTCTTTTACGTTTGATTTTATGTCAAGTGTAATCAAACACGAAACATCTACTAGTGACTTGTTTTGTTAACTGAGGTTTTGTTTACCTTTTGCAAAGGGCATTCCAACTATCTGCCTTCCAGATTGCTCCTTGGCCCCCTCTCTGGCTAGATTGTCAGCTACCTCATTGCCTTCTATTCCCTAATGTCCAGGGATCCAAATTAGAGTCACTACATTGTATATAGTATTTTTACCCTATAGGTGTGTTCAATCATAACCTGTTTAGAGGTTCTGTCTTGTTTTAATGTAAAAGGTGTGTTTCGAAGGACATGAATCCTGGTATGGCCAGTCCCATTTTCCTTCCACTCCGCAGATAGAATTTTATTGTTTGTTATTTACCAAATTATTAAAACAAATAGTACCTATTTTTTATATATTTGTTGGAATTTCTGCTTCTACAATGTTTTATTTCTATCTTCCGATGGCGAATGGGGTATAGTGTATACGGATAACTTTGCATTTTAGTCTAAAATGAGATTTTTTTTTCTTTTGGACTGAAGTCGAAATTGTGTATACATTTTTTGAGATGAGCTCGTATGTTGGATATAAAAAAAAAACATTTTATTTTCGTGCAAAATAAATGTGATTTAGGTAAAATAATGCAGAATGGCGGCTGTTGCTATTTTTGTGTTTTGTAAAAATTTGTATTTATGCTTCTAAAGTACGCCAAATTTAAGAAAATGTTGGCGGGAATTAAAATGTTTCACCAGATAATAAGAAAATGTTAATATAATATGTAATATTTTCTAACATACCAACCTACACTCCACCCCCACTTACCCTTCACCTACCAACTAGAATGCAGCTCTATCTACCCTACTCCTATACAGTGTGTTTCATAAGGAATGGTCAATATTTTAATCATAGTTTCAGGACCTCCAAATATTCATATTTCACTAAATATAGATACAGGGTGTTACTTAATTTTTTTTATTTTTTTTGCAATATAATTGAATGTATAATAGTTAGTTACTTAGATGGAAGTTGGCGAACAAAATCAACATTGCAGTCATTAACATAGTAAATTTCACAACTATCATTTTCATTTTAGTTTTCAAATTAAATAGATACAGTGGGTGGAATATTTTAAATGCAAATATCTCGATTTTAGCTGAATTTGTGCTGTTAAAACAAGTATACCTTTTTTGTTTAAAATTACAGGGTGTATCGTAAAGACTTAAAAAAATTGAAAAAAGCACAGGTAAAAAAAAATGGAACTTTATCTAAACTCAAAATTGATAACATGTTAACAATTGATAACAACTTTATTAAATAATAAAGAAATTATAAAAAAAAAACACAAAATAAACTTTAACTTCAGCACCCTGTATTACAACACCACTACATCAAAAATTGGCAAATTAATTTAAAGGTATTTTTTTTTACAATTTTCATGATTTTCCCGTGGAAATTTTTTGTTGTCCGCCAATATTTTATTGAATTTTGCACGTACAAGAAGCCAGTAAAACAATTTTTGTACAAAAAATTCGCAATATTAACAAAAGCCGTTTTTCTGCATATTTAATGTGATTAATAATGAACGTTTCCATGTAAGGCTTAACTGTGGATTGTATCCCGAAACTCACGTGTAAGTCTTTAAAGGAATCTTTACGTAATTCCCCAAATGTATAGTTAAGTTCGTTTGGTTCTTTTTTCTTTTTGTTTCCTTTTTTTTATTTAATATTAAGCACAATTTAAGTAGCATGTCCTTAATGATATATTATTGTTTTAGATGGTTTTTTTTAAATTAGTTAACATTTTAATTTAGTTTATTTTATTTTGTAGCTAAGAACTTATTTTTATAATATTATTTATGACGTTTTATTTATATATATTTTTGAATTTCGAAGCATTCTGTAATTTAGCGAATAAATAAATTTTACGTACTATAAATTGCAGGATGCTTTCGAAAGCGTTTCTTTTTAATTGGTGATGGTCTATTGTAATATTATTTTGAATAAACATTGCTACAATGTTTTTTTAATTGCTGTTATTTTTATTACATTACACGCATGTCCTTTTTTGTTTCGGTTTGAGCACCGAGTTTTTTTTTATTTTCCACTAATATAAATTGATTGCATTGCAAAGGTATCGTGCCAGGTTGTTTTTCCGCAGCAATAAAAAACATTGGAGGCGTTTACTCGTGCTTCTTCCGCTCTAAAATTTGTATTTTACTAGTAAATAATAATTAATTAAAAATATAATTTCCTCTAGCAGCCATATTTGAATCGGGTTTACTTACTAACACAGGAATAAATAAAAATTTAGTGTTAGTTACATGTAGATTTTTGTTTTATTTCGCTTCTTTTTGTAACGAAATTGAACTAGTTTCTATATTTTTAAATGTAGAAGAGTATTTGAATCAGGCACGGATTTTTGCAATTGTTAGATTTAAATGTATAAATTTGAATTGAGTTGATGAATTAGATTGTAACTGGATTAGATTCGGATGCACCGAAGGAAAGTTGCATCGACTATCTGATCCCTTACGTTTTTTAAATCTTACCGCTTTTGATTTTATCGCTTATTATTAATAAAATAACACGAAAACCCGTCGATGCAGTAGAATAAATTGGCTTTTTTTGTAAATACAATTTGACGATAATCGAGGCTTTTTAATACACCTACACGTTATTACACAAGTACACGCTTTAGTGTTTGTTGGAAACCATTCAACAACGCCACGGTTTGGAGAATATATACAGTATGTCTGAAAAAGTTGGCAACATATGCGAAACTTTTTTATTGTAAGTTTTACGAAAAAAAAGTTATTCTTTATGAAAATCTGCTTTCGAAAATAATAATATTTAGGTATTTATATTTGACATTAGATGTACAGGGTGCGTATTATATTAATTTTTTGATATTAATATTTCGAAATAAATAATTCTAATTACGTCTTTGTCTATTTGAGATAATTCTTAACAGATAAAGTCAGTTTATCAATTTTGCAATGGAATAATGAGTGAAGTAATATGTACTTGCACTTAAACGTAATTTTTAATTCCTTAAAATTCCTTATAACACCTTAAAATTACATTTAATATTTTGAGAACAATTTGTTAAAATAACATAATTTTTTAAGTAGTATAATCTAATTGCATATTAAAATATAGTTTTCAATTTCCAACAACTTTTCATAATTAAAGTTTTCAATATTATAAAAAAAAGATACTTTACTGTTGTATCAAATTTTAACATCTACTTTAGTTAACAGTTTTACTTTATTGGCCATGCAGAACTTTTTATAAAATATTAACTTTTTTCGTAACATTACAAATAAAAAATTTCCCATATGTTGCCAACTTTTTCAGACATACTGCATAAAGAAATTGAAGTGCTTTGAATGAAATATAAATCGTGAATCGTCGTAGGAATACAAGAAATTTACACAACGATTTGTACAAAATCTTCGGTGATGGAATAAACACCCAAAACACTAACTCGATTAAAATTAAAACGACCAGTAGTTGACGTAGTTTAATTTCTATTTTGTGTGCATTTTGCATTCTTTTTTTTTTCTCTCTCGCCTTATGATTTTCGCCCGATTTTCTAACTGTTTTAATACGAGACGACACGAGCACCAGCTAGATTTCTTTTCTTTCGATTAACAGATTACACGCCGGCCGAGGATTGGGGTCCCGAGTATCCCATACCTGGGATCGTTCGACCTAACGTGCCCATACCGACCCTCTACAGCGCAGACGGTAACGCTAAATGCATCCTTTTAATCGCTTTTATTAATGAAAATTTTTGCTTATTTCGTAGGACAACGTATGAAACCAAAGTTCAGTATAGTCGAATTAGTTTTGTACAATATAGCGGCCATGTTGGCAGGAGTGGCGTCAGGATACGACGTAAGGCTGTCCAACGTGTCGCCTTTGCACCCTAAATTACAGCCTAATAGGTAATGTATAGTACATACGAGGGTAAGGTAAAAAGTTCTCGGCCTAAATCATTTAAAACTGATGCGTAGAACCATTTGGAACGGCCCAGATTCATTTAAAACTGTCTGGAACCATCTAGAACGCTCCAGAATCATTTAAAACTATCTAGAACCACTTAGAACCATTGTCATTTAAAACGCTCCTGAAACATTTAGAACGCTCCAAAATTATTTAGAACTATCTAAAACCATTTAGAACGCTCCAAAATTATTTAGAACTATCTAAAACCATTTAGAACCATCCAGAACCATTGGGAACGCTCTATAATCATTTAGAACTGTCTAAAACTATTTAGAACGCTCTAGAATCATTTAGAATGCTCCAGAATCATTTAGAACGCTTCAGAAGCATTTAGAACTATCTAAAACCATTTAGAATGCACTAAAACCATTGAGAACGCTCCATAATCATTTAGAACTCTCTAAAACTATCTAGAACGCTCCATAGCCATTTAGAACGCTTTAGAATCATTTACAACTGTCTAAAACCATTTAGAACGCTTCAAAAGCATTTAGAAGGCTCCAGAACCATTTAGAACTGTCTAAAACTATCTAGAACGCTTCAAAAGCATTTAGAACTATCTAAAACCATTTATAAGACTCCAGAACCATTTAGAACTATCTAAAACCATTGAGAACATTCCATAATCATTTAGAACTGTCTAAAACTATCTAAAACGCTCCATAGTCATTTAGAACGCTTCAGAATCATTAAGAACTGTCTAAAACTGTTTAGAACGCTTCAGATGCATTTAGAACTATCTAAAACCATTTACAACGCCCCAGAATGATTTAGGACTGCCTCGAACTAAAGATTTTCACCTAATAAGAAGAATAATATATAATTATTGAACTGAAAATCGTGGTCTTTCATTACCAGGCCGAGAACTTTTCACCCTACCCTTGTAAATGAACAGTATTTGGTTCTTGAAGGTATGAGAGATACAGTAATGGTTTAATGGAGAAGAGTAGTTCAACTGAAAATACAGTACACAATAAGAGAATATGAGATCCCCATACTGTTCATATCCTTATCTAGAACACAGTATACAATTTGTTATTGCATATTATTAAACAGTAGGTTTGTTCCAGCAGCATGTTAAAATTATGTTTGTATCAGTATTGTATTGCGCATGCCTTGATGTATACAAGTTCGTTATAAGATTGGAACATTTTTTGCTGGAACACCTCGAGCAGTTGTTGGATATCCTGTAATACGGAAATGTTTTTTGAATTCATTTTCCGAATATTGAAGAACGGCGTTTCCTCGATGTAATTTTTATTTTTTGGTCTCCTCCAACAATTCTTCAAAATCGTCTTCCGATAATTCATCATAACTAATCATAACTACGTCCGCCCATAGTTCCAAACAAGTCAACAATTTTCATATTATAAAACTAAATTGTATAACTAAACAAATATTTATGACCAACAACAAACTAATATAACCATACTTATTTTCGAATTGTTCTATACTTCATCCATCCAACCAACGGAGTAACTAAAACAAGTCCAGGATCAACGCGTGATCACCAGTGATTGGCCAGCGTAAGGAGGCTTTTTTATTTTACCCACTAGATGCAAATGTGCATGGTGATCATGTGTCTAACCTTGTTTTGGTTACTCCGTTGGTTCGATGGATGAAGTAAAAATGTTCTCACTTCAAACAGTTTGGCAGATCTCAAACAAGATCCAAACAAAAAACGCATGCTCATAATGTTCGTAACAACACAAAACATGCTGCTGGAACAAACATAGTTATATACAGACAAATAATAAATAAAATTGTTACCGTCATTACAGGATAGAAGTGAGCGATTTACCGGCCTGGCGACCGATCGAAAACCAAGACTACGAATACTCGACGACGTCGGGCTACAACCACAACACCTACCACGGCCCCACCAAGCACTACAGACCCACACTCACCAACTCCCACCTCATCAGCTCCGGCAAAACCGACGAACTGATGAAACCGCTGCGCTTCACCGACTCGCCCCAGCACAATCCCGCGCCCAATCCGTCGCCGCGCCGCAAATCCAGCTCGGACGGTTCCGAGCAGTACGGCGCCTTCGAGCGCAACGCCACCATCTACATACCCGGCGAATACCATCGATGTCCGGCGCCGCCGGGCTGCCCGCGATCCGACAACATCTACGTCTACAACAACTACCAGGAGTCGTACCCGACGGGCTACGGATCCGAGTGCAGCGGCACCACCACCTTGTACGGCTACGGCACCGACTACGCCTACGAGAACCCCAGCAGCGTCAGCGTGAGCAGCCACAGCGGCGCCAGGACGCCGCAGAAGATGCACAAGCGCACCCCCTCCAACGTGTCCAACGCCAGTTCGAGCGGCTCGAACGTCAACCACAGCTTCAGGCTGGAGGAGGAGTACAGCTCGACGCACTACCTGCCGGCGCGACGCCAATACGAGTACGATTACGGCAACGCCGCTTATCCGACGTTGCCGTACGCGAAACAGGGCGAATCGAACTTCGAACGGCCCACCACGTTGGACACGACCGGTTGCGGTTACACGAAGCTGCGGTCGAGCTTGAAGCGAACGAATTACCAGAACAGCCAAGGCCATTCGGGCGGGAACACGCCGACGAATCCGACGCCGCCCGACAGCCTGACCAGCGACGACAGTTCGTACGTTTCGGCGAAGGAGAGCGGCAACAGCGCCAGCCGGGTGAGGTTCTCGCCGACGACGCTGCTGGATTTGCCGGCGCCCGGACAACAGCAGGATCCGACGGTGCCGTTGCAGGCGAGAAGGAGCCGCCTGCGGCCCGCTCTCGTCGAAATCGATAAGGAATTGTTGTCGTAACCGTGACTCGAGCTTTGATTTTGCCGGGTGCGTTGTTGTCGTTGTTACGGTGCAACGATAATGTGGCAACGTTTTGTTGTGACTATAAAGGGTGGTAATTAATTGAGTGCGAATACTTCAGGGGCCTGTTTCATATAACTGACAAGTTGACAAGTTACAAGTGTTGGTTGACAAGTATTTAAAAATTTCGTTTCATAAAATAAATTTCGACACTTGTCGAATTAAATTTTTGGCATCCGTTTTTCTACAACTGTAATTTTAATTAAACGTCAGACTTAAGCCAAAAAGAAAAAAATAGTACTTACTCTACTGAGGAGCATAAGTATAGCACAACCTTCGTTTATCAATACTGGGAAACTTTTACTTTGAAATTGTTTTTTTTTTCTGGTTGGAGCTATTTTTAGATGTGAACCACGACAATTTCGTTTATTGACAAAAAACTTATTTCTAAAATGCAGCAACATTTTTTTAATATTCAATTATTTTAATAAAGAAATGGCATTCTATTTGGAAACTTTAGTCCCACTTCTACAAAAGCTATAAAATGAGCAATGAAACGAACAAAGACAATGCATAATTTCTATACTTTTATTCTATACATTAGGGTGGGACCAATAGATTTTAATATTTCCTCCATTTTTATCGAATTCATTCGAAATCGTTTAATAAACTCTCATTAAGCTTCCTCCTCACTGTCGCTTGACCACATTTTCTTTTAAATTTACAAGAAAATCGGATGGTGACAGGAAATCAAATCCCTGTCGCTTTACACTAATATATGATAGGAATAAATGACAAGTGTTGTTTAATTTATTTTCTATGAAACGCAAACCTATCTACAATTGTAAAACAGACTTGTAATATTAGGCTAGTCACTTGTCACTAATAATCTACTCGTGTAATTTTATGAAACACAAACTTGTCAAATACTCCAGTCAAATTTAGACTACACTTGTTCGACAGGACTTGTCAGTTATATGAAACAGGCCCAGGATGTAAATAATTGGATGAATTTAAGGAGAAAAGTTTATATCAATGTAAGTCCTAAACCTTTTAGTTTTCAAGCTATAGGGTGTTAGAATTTTAGGTAAAAAATAAATTTTTCTATGATAATTTTCTTATTACTCCAGATATTTTTATAAAATTTTGCACACACTTTTTAATTATTAAGGACCACTTTTTGAGGCAAAAGATTTTATAAAATTTTTACCAGTGACGTTCTCAAGTCATTTTGCTTTTGATATTTTGTTGAAATTTGGTAGAGGCCCACCATTCCAGGAAACACTTTTTTTGACAAAATTTTCTACTATACTCTATTTAAACTAAACTTTTAAATTTAAAACTGGGAGGAGCATTTTGAGGAGCCTGACTTACACCCAAAAAAGTTACTAGAAAATTTGTAAGGTTGCAAATTTAAATGTAAAATCACAATAATTATATTAAAAGAAGGAATGAATTAACAAATCACCTAAATAAGACATATTAAATACTTCACATTTCTAAAACATAACCTCAAAAAGGTAGTAAACAAGAATAATAAATTTACAGCGTGAACTTGACTTGTAATTAACCAATAAACAAACGCGAGTGTTGCCAACTTAAATTCAAATCGCTCCTCCTAGTTTTTAAATAGAGTATAGAACATTCCACAGTCATTATCATATTGGCTTGTTTAGAACAATTTAAAACTATCCAGAATCATTCCGAACTGTCGAGAAGCGTTTATAACGTTTCAGAATCATTTAGATCTAGAACCACTCAGAATGGTGCAGAATCAACTGTTTAGAATGCTCCATAATCATTTAGAGCGATGCAGAATCATTTGGAACTGTCTAGAATCATTTAGAACTGTCCAGAACTTTTTAAATAGAGTATATTACCAGTGACGTCCACGTCAGAAAATTCATAAAAATATCTGGAGTAATAAGAAAATTATAAATAAATTTTAAAATAAATAAAATTTTAACAACCTGTAGCTCGAAAACTAAGAGGTTTAGGACATAAATGAACATATTGATATAAACTTTTCTTCTTAAAATCATCCGAATCATCCGAATAATCCTCGAAAATCATCCTGAAGTATAGGCACTCAATTAATTAACACCCTGTATATTTAATATTGAGATTTAATTCGCACACCCTGTATCGCAACGACGCACCCTGTATATATTTGTAGAACGATTTTTACGCCTTGCATTCGATTATGAGAGAAATTTAATCGGCGAATAATGTGACGAAAGGGGATTTTTTTTGAATATTAAAAATTTGTGACATTATTCGCTTGTGATATTTGCTAGTCGAATTTTCCAATCGATTTTTTGTTTAGCGATTCGTTTTTAACTTGGTATATTTTAAATCGTGAAATTGTACTGAAATTTTTGATGATGATGATGATGAAAAAAAAAACACGTTTTTTTAATACCTCTTAGTAATTTATTATTTTTATAACGAACAGTTTTCATAACATATGAATGTATATTACGTAATGCTCAATTATTATATTAGAAAAGACTAAAATCGATAATTTCTCATTTCTTTTTAGAGCGTTTTGTTAAATTAAAAGCGGAGCTGAATTTGTAAAATATACAATCTGTTGTGCCTGTGCGTACAGCTTTCGTACAAGTGATATAATATAATATAATCTAAAAAAATAGTCGTTTTAAGTGCAATTTGTAATAAACGCAATTCCATTCCAATTCCACAATTCTCTGGACACCGATTTTTTAACGTATGAAAATTTTATTAAACGTTTATTATACGAAGTGTACCTAAATAACACCGAAAATAATTAACGGGTGATTCTGTGATGAAAATTAAGGTGGGTACTTGGTATAAATTTTTTGAAAAAACCAATTTCTATTTTTGGTTGACTTTTGTTCATGTTAAATACTATGCAATACATTTATTATAATTTTTTCTCGTATTTACGAGAAGTTATTAAAACGCTTAAGTTATTAAAAAAAAATTGTAGAGATAAAAATGTTAGTAAATGAATTGGGCTTTTCATAAAAGGGCTTTTGTAAAAGAAAAATTTTCATCTAAAAAAAGTTATAAGAAAAAATGTCTTACGGGTTGACTATTTCAATTCCTTTAAGCATATTTCAGGGTTGAAAAAATTCCAGAATGTGTAGTTTTATTGACAAATAATATTCCCCAAGTTTCGTGTCTTTAACTTAATATACAGGGAAAATAAAGAAGAAAAACAATTTTTTTCCAATCTTAGGAGGGGTACCTTTTAACTTTTAACTTTTCCGGGGACGGTTTTTTCAAAAAACATTGTAGTATCCACCTTAATTTTCATCACAAAGGCACCCCTTAATTTTTTCGGTGTAATTTAGATACACCATGTATAATTAATAGCAGTATTAATTCTAAAACGAATTCAATTTGTGCAGTATTATTTATATACAGAGTCTTTTCGTGTGTCGTGGAGAAAATATACATAAACTAATTTTTGTACGTTAAAACGTTATTAAAACGGAGATGAAATAAATTAATCGGAATCATTCCAAAATTTTTAGCAACACTGAATTTTTTTATATTATTTTTATCGCACCTAATGTGAACAATCTGATAAGGGAAATGTTATTATTTCACTTGATGAATGTAATGTAAATATATTACATTAATTGCAATTTAGGATTCGTGGCCATAGTACTTAATTTTCATCTTATTATCCCATATATTTGTACATAATTTATACATAATTGAATACTTGTGGCTTCCATAATTACTATATTATAATATATTTATCGAATTAGATTTATTTATTGAAATAAAAAAATGTAAAATACATTCCAAAGTATCTTTATAACAAAAAAATTATTAATACTCATTACATGTGTGAATAACATTGTAACAATTCAGATTAAAAAGTGAAAATTCATTTGAGATTTTTTTGTTTAGCCGAAATCGAAATAATGATATCGGAAACATCTTTCTTCTCTTCACGTTCAGTGTGAAGTTGGTACAATTGCAATGCAAAATATTTGACATTGACACTTGACAGTGACGTTTTGTGTCTGTGTCCATTACGTAAAGAACTCCGATTACGTTTTCAAATTGTTCATTTAAAAATGTTCTTCGAAAGGTTTTTGAAATTCCCGAAATTGCTTTCGGTGAAAGCGGACGACGACGAAGAAGAGGAGGAATTACAGGATCCCCAGCAAATCCTTAGGGTAAACGCAACCTAACCTACAAATACATCCGACTGAAACTAAACCCGTTCTCATTCGCAGGACAAATGCAGAGAAGGCTCGCACGCCCAGAAACTCGCCGAAAAATACCAAACCTGCAACGAAAGGGTCTTGTCTAGGACCCAAACGGCCGAAACTTGCACTGAAGAACTCTTCGATTTGCTGCACGCGATCGATCACTGTGTCACCAAAGATCTATTCAGTAAATTAAAATAATTTAACATCCAGTTGGTTATCGATGTACATTAACGTAAAAATAATGTTTTAGTTGAAATAAAGTTAGTGATTTAAATTTATACTTGGTATAAATGAAGTATAAATATTTCGTATACCTACAGTAGATCATTTGTCCTTTTAGAAACCTATGCAATTCATGGTAACATTTTCCAAGGCACCCTGTATGTTAAAATATTATATTTAATCGTTTAAATTTTATTAACTCAATATGGCTGGTATTAACTCAAGGTAAGATCATAATATCGTAAACCTACCAAACTGATTGATAATTTAATATTCTACTGTTAAGTATATAAGTTATCTAGGCCTATATTGGTAACCGATTAAATCTATTTAAGTATCGTATCGACAATATAATTTACCAGGATCTAATTTAGTGGTAAATATTCTTGCAGGTTAAATCTATATTATCTTGTTATTCCTGAATAAAGTTTACTATTTGCAAAGGTAATAATGGAAAATATGGAATAATAGATATTTAACACAAAAACCACTAGTTATAGTAACATTAGATACTCCAGTTCGATGGAATTTCAACCGCTCTAATGGCAATTTAATATTACTCAGCACTTATTTGCCTTTTCTTTTGGTTTTTTATTAAATAAAAAAGCGAACTTGTTGCGGTTTATTCGATGGCCTACATACCTACAGTTTTTTTAATTTATTTATTCCTCTTTTCACACTTACTTTACAGGAGCTCCTTGTAAAGAGAAGTGACTTTTAAAAATTATCTCACGACAAATCTACGAATGGGTCAAAACAACGGGTGTTTTGAATTTTCGTGCCCTTTAATGAGCCTACTGGGTATCCCTTTCTGAAATTACGCCTTTCGCCGAAGCGCAGAGGAAGTTTAGTTTAGTGCGGTGGAATAAGGTGAAATTTAACAGGTATATTTTATTTATGTAGATACCTACAATACAGGGATTACGAGGGAAGAGTGAAGAGTTATCGGCCTCAATCATTTAAAATTATTTAAAATGTTCCTGAATGATTTTTGGAACTGTCAAAAACCATTTAGAACGCTGCAATAGCCATTTAGGAAGCTTTAGAATCATTTAAAACTGCCTAGAACCATATAGAACGCTCCAGAATCATTTAAAACTGTCTAGAATCGTTTAGAAAGCCCGATTACAGTCATTTAGATCGCTACAGAATCATTTAGAACTGTCTAATACCATTTAGAACGATCCATAGTCATATAGAACGCTTCAGAATCATTTAGAACTGTCCAGAACCATTTAGAACGCTCCAGATTCATTTAGAACTGTCTAGAATCGTTTAGAACGCTCGATTACAGTCATTTAGATCACTACAGAATCATTTAGAACTGTCTAAACCATTTAGAACGATCCATAGTCATATAAAGGGTGTTTCAATAAGACCGCAAGATTTGAATTGCCTGTCCTGTTTGACAGTCCTAATAGCACGTGATTATAACATGACAGATCGAATGTTGACAGTTGGGAGTTATAAAATATGGAGCATTGGATCTGGATATGGAATATATTCACGTCTTAATTGTTAAACATTACTCCCGATCGGGTCATTTTCCGGTTCGGTGACCAGAATTGGCCGCCACGTTTTTGTGATTTAACACCTTTGGACTTTTGGCTGTGGAATTACTTGTAGTCACAGGTTTATGCCAACATGCCCGCGACCATCGAAGCGTTGAAAGCTGAAATTAGACGCTCTATCAATAAAATACCGCCACATATATACAATAATGCTATTGAAAATTTTATCAAAAGAGTACGCTTGTGCCAGCAAAGCCGTGGGGCCATTTACAAAATATTTTGTTTCATATATAATTCCTAAATGTACACATGATAAATTTATAAATATTTCCATATTTTGTTACAGATAACATTGTTTTATTGAACCTTTAAATCATGCGCTCTTAATGAAACACCCTTTAGAACGCTTCAGAATCATTTAGAACTGTCCAGAACCATTGAAAAGAACGCTCCACAAGAACTGTCTAAAACCGTTTATAACGCTTCAGAACAATTTAGAACGCACCAGAACTGTCTAGAACTATTTAGATGGCTATCCATAACAATTTAGAACTGTCTAGATCCATTTAGAACGCTCCAGAATCATTTTGAACTGTCTTGAAGAAGAATTTCTTTCTTTCCTTGACAAGAACCATTTGATATAGTTAGTAGACTTAGTTAACTAGTTAACTTTTTTCATACAAAGAACTGATGTTATTTCAACCCACTAATTAATTCATAATTTTTACTATTCAATACACCCACAAATTAACCACATAAACTCAGTATAAAAATTCAACCATCACAAAACAATTAAATACTGACGTAAAATGCTGCACAATGCGGAGATTTCAACGATGGTCCCGACAGGAAAACTTTTACAAAACTTTCATTACGAAATCTATAGAAATTCAAAATTCAACAATTATTTTTACGATTCCAAAGGATTGAAAAAAAAGTAACCTTGGTCCCCGCACTATCACCTTCGCCGCTACTACCTCTACCTCTACCTGTTCTCTGCGCTTACCACGTCATCACGTCTCTTTCTTCGCCAGGTAAAAGACAAAAGCCGATCGCTCGTACCGACTAAATCAAATCACCTGCGAAGGCATTACCTGCATTCCTACCGTCCAAGATGGCCGGGGACCGACTTCTAGTACACGAGAATGCGTGCGAAGAGCACTAAAATCGCGGAGGCCGTTCGAAATACTGTTAGACCTGGCGATGTGCACTTGTTATCCGACCGGGCGACTCGATCGAACCCCCGAGAAAAACGTCTTTTTCGAATAGGAAATTGAGCAAACACTCGCGAGTGCGATTTTTCGTTATACGAAGATGCGATTTGTTTTTTTTTTTGTTTTTCGAAAAAAGTGCTCGATATTTTTAAAGTGAACTCCGTCGATGTGTTGTCGGTGTTATCTTCCGGGTAGTGCAATAAGTTAATATGAGTTTCGCAAAATTTTTGTACCCTGGAATATGTCGCATAGAGATTTTACAGAGGTAAGCCATTTAAAAACCTATATACATAGGGTGTTTATACAAAGCGAAAATTAGTGCGTTAAATTCATTGATAAAAACTTTTTCATCGCGCATTATTACAATATTAATAAAGTGCCTATATGTTGAAACTAGAGTACCTTAATTAACAATTTAAAACTCTTTTATTTATCCTTTCTAACTAGAGAATTTACACAAAAGCTTATTAAGAAACCGCGAGGTAGGTAGGTATAAATTTCGGAGAATCGTAAAGTCTTCAGAACCCCTTCGAAATCTTTCGGGCACGTCGTAACTAAAGCCTGGAGAATATGCAAAATGCATGTAAAGTGCATTACATGCATATTTCACCCGTACAGTCAAAATTAAATTTTGCATTTTTCAATATACAGGGTGTTCCTAAACATCGTGTACATCCGAAAGGTGGTGATATCTTGGCTTATTTTATTCGTTACCGATCTACAAGGTGTTAAAATTTCAAGTTTTTTTTTGTTTTTGAAACAATTCATTTCTATTCTATTATAGATTTTTAAAGATGACAATAGTTTAATAATTTTGTGCATCAGAATTTTAAAAGTAATTTTTCGTGAAAACGGTTCACTTAACAGAAAATCAACAAGCATAGCTTGTAGAAAACTTCATTTTTTCATATTATTTAAACAAATCAATAGAAAAGGTTAAAATAAAAAAGTTAGGCTAGAATTATCCCCACGAACCCCCCATTTTAACCCACCCCTGAACAACTTTTTTAACCCAATTGAATAGGGCCATAAGTAATCATATTTGCTTAGTATGTGTACCAAATTTCATCATTTTACCTTTGTTATTAATGAAATTTTTAATAAAAATACCTCACCAAGAATACATCTTTAACACCCTGTATACTAATAAACAAGAACATTTCGAAAAAGTGACATTTAAGTTTTTGTAATATTTTGAGCTTCTCTACTTGCTCCCAAAGTTATTATTTCAGACCCAAACCACTTATTTCAGAAACATCCTGTATAATATATTAAAGTGTTCTGAACGTTTTGGGAGCATTCTAAATGATTCTGGAGCGTTCTAAATGGTTTCAGACAGTTCTAAATGATTCTAGACTGTTCTAAATAATACTGGAGCGTCCTAACCGGTTGTAAACAGTTCTAAACGATCCTAGAGCGTTCTAGATCGTTTTAGATAGTTCTAAATGATTCTGGAGCGTTCCAAATGGTTCTGAAACCTTCCAAATGGTTCTGAAGCATTCTAAATGGGTTTAGACAGTTCTAAATGATTCTCTATAGTTCCAAATACTTCTGGAGCGTTCGAAAGTGTTTTAGGCACTTCCAAATGATTCTGAAGCGTTCTATAAATGTAGCGTTTTAAATGGTTCTGCAGCGTTCTAAATGATTCTAGACAGTTCCAAATGCCTATGGAGCGTTCCAAATGGCTTCGAAGCGGTCTGAATGGTTTTAGACACTTCTAAACTATTTTGGAGCGTTCTGAATGGTTGTAGACAATTCTAAATGATTATGGGGAATTCCACATGATTCTGAAGCGTTCTAAATAATTATAGACTGTTCTAAATAGTTCTGGAGCGGTCTAAATGACTATGGATCGTTCCAAATGGTTCTGGAGCGTTCTAAATGATTCTAGAAAGTTCTAAATAATTCTAAATAATTTTCAAAAAAAAAATTTAATATCTGGCTGTTTCTGATTTATTCATCGTGCATAAAAGTGCATATTTTCCAAGCTCTTGTCAACAATATTTTTTGTTAGATATTAGTTTCACGTGTACCGCCCGTACGAGTAAATATTGGTACCTACCTAAGGCGGCTTTGAAGATCCGAAAAGGGACCTGCAGAAGGACCCTCTTCTAATTCGTCGGTTCTTTTTTTACATTATTAAAACCTCGAGAGTAGGTAGATAATGATAGGTCGTTCCGACCGCGATTTCCTGTCCGGAAGAAACGCTTTATAAAACCGTATAAAATAGACGATTTCCCTGCGCAATTAGGACGAGTTAGGTAGATATAGATACTCTTTAATACACACATAAACATAAAGGTAATATTCTGTGTCTAATTTATCATTTATTGATGCTTTTTTAGTACTATTTAGTACCTACTATCATTGTATTTATCATACAGACTTTGTATAGTCTATTATACAGGCTAGGTTCGCGGCTAAGAGGATGTATAGGATTAATAAAAGTGCGAGAAAGAGCTAGAGTATCTGAGTATCCGACCATTATAATAGAGAAAAAAGGGAAAGAGATTGGCAGTATAACTAAAACAATTAATTGCTTTTGTTGTCAAATTATTCGGGATATTTTTAGAATCTTTTGGGACTGTGCGAGAAGTGTTCGGAATCGTTGAGATATTAGAACCACTTAGGACTGTCCTAGAATCATTTGGAACAGATTTGGTACTATTTGGAACGGTCGAAGATAAACTAGAAAAGTTCAAAACTGTTTATGACGCATTCAGGACTATTTAGAACTTTTTAATTTTAGATGACTATTTAGAATTTTCGAAGCGAAAAATAGATTACAACTGTCTAAAATCATTTAGAACCATTTTAGAAATGGTTAGAACCATTTTAAACAATTCACGGCGATCTTAGAACGATGTATTAAATGTCCAAAATCGTTTGGAACAGATAGATTTGATACTAATTGGAACGGTCGGACGTTTTAGAACGGCTCGGAACAGTTTTCGAACTGACCAGAACCATTTGAAACAATTTAAGACCATCATAGAACCATTTAGAACTTTCAGAATCCTTTAGAGAAGTGACTAGGACCATTTGAAAGAGTTTAAGACGATCATAAAACCATTTAGAACTGACTAGAACCATTCGAAACAGTTTGAGATGCTCATAGAACTATTTAGAACTGTCAGAATCGGTTAGAACTGACTAGGACCATTTGAAACAATTTAAGACAATCATAGAATCATTTAGAACTTTCAGACTCTTTTAGAGAACTGACTAGGACCATTCTAATAAACAGTTTAAGACATTCATAGAACCATTTAAAACTGTCAGAATCTGTTAGAACTGACTAGGACCATTTGAAACAGTTTAAAAAAATCATAGAACCTTTTAGAACTGTCAGAATCTTTTAGAATTGACTAGGACCATTTGAAACAATTTAAGACCATCATAGGACCATTTAGAACTTTCAGAATCTTTTAGAGAACTGACTACGACCATTTGAAACAGTTTAAGACAATTATAAAACTAATTAGAACTGACTAGAACCATTTGAAACAGTTTAAGGCAATCATAGAAACATTTAGAACTGTCAGGATCGGTTTGAACTGACTAGGACCATTTCAAACAATTTAAGGTGATCCTCGAACCATTTATTAGAACTGTCCAAAATAATTTAGAGCAGGTTTGGGACTATTTTGGAACGGTCGATGATAAACTAGAAAGTTCAGAACTGCTTACGACGCTTTCAGGGCTATTTAGTAATTTTTTTTTAATTTTAGAAGACTATTTAGAATTTTTCATGCGAAAAATGTAAAATCATTTAGAACCATTTTAGAGCTGGTTAGAATCATTCGAAACAATTCCTGACGATATTGGAACCATTTAGAACTGTCAGTATTATTTAAAAAAGACTATTTTGAAAGGACTACAATGAACTAAAAAAAACAAGAACCATTTAGAACTATTTCAGGATTATTGGAAGCTTTTTTAGAACTTTTAATAGTAGGTATTTACAATTTTCAACTGAAAAATGACTAACTAATCTAATTCAGTAAAAATATTAATAAAAATCGTCAAAGTTACATGTAAAATCATCTGAAAAACCGACTAATTTAATATAATAATTCTAAAAAATCGACCAATTGACATGTAAAATATTCTGAAAAATCATCTGATTTAGTTAAATATTCGAATAAAATTATCAAATTTACATAAAATATTACTTAATGTTTTTGTCCTAGGTCAATATATTATTTATTTTCCAGTCATCTTCTGAATATTATCTTGCATTCTTATCCCCCCTTTAATTTTATTATTATTAAACATATCAGCAACATTCTTTGTTTTCCCGTCGACGCCATCATTGAAATCTACCTATTGTTTACCAGTAACATATACATTTGGAAGGTCAACAACATTAATTAGCCAAGGTCACGCCTTAATTAGCATTCGACTCTTCCACAACCGATTCTTTAATTAATCCAAGCTCGTAATTTACAGGTCGAACCCGAAGGTACAACAGAACTACCGGCCGCTAACAGAACTTTATTCCTCGAAAAGGTGCTACATTTACATATCACAGGCTTCTCCATAATAATATTAAATTAATTACTCAACAGGTTCGCCAATCGAACGCAGCCTGCCAAAGCGGCGATTTCCCCACAGCAGTGGCCTTGTACACAGACGCCCTGCAGTTAGACCCGACCAATCACATACTGTACTCCAACAGATCCGCGGCCAAGCTGAAACAAGGCCTCTTCGCTCAAGCCTTGCAAGATGCCGTCACGGCCAGAGACCTGTGCCCCACGTGGCCCAAGGCTTACTACAGGTAGGCTCCGCAGGCTTCGTCTAATCGCCTTCGCTAACTTAGGGATGTTACAGGCAAGGCGTTGCGCTGCAATGCCTCGGCAGACACGGGGACGCCTTGGCCGCCTTCAGCCAAGGCTTGGCTCAGGATCCGGCGTCGCAGCAGCTGCTATCGGCGCTGGTGGAGGCGTCGATCAAGTCGCCGCTCAGGCACCATCTCGAGCCCACGCTCGAGCAGCTGGAGGTCATGAAGCTGGACCAGAGCCCCTTCGTTTTGATATCGGTCATCGGACAGGTAGGTTTTTTTATGGTTGGAAAATTTGTTGCAGCCAAGCTAGAGACGTGGAACTTTGATCAAATGTAGCCTAATATCTTCTCTTGTTATTCACCAAGTAGCATAATCCATACTTAATTCTAAAGGGTCAAACCACCCCTTTGAATAAGACAGTGTTGAAAACATTACCAAACATTAGGTGTCTTTGTAGATTCTTACCAAAGCTAGAGTAGCCAAGCTAGAGACGCGGAATTTTAATCAGATGTAGCCTAATATATTCTCTTGTTATTCACCAAGTAGCATAATCCATACTCAATTCCAAAGGGTCGAACCATCCCTTTGAATTAGATATTGTTAAAAACATTACCAAACCTTAGGTGTCTTGGTAGATTTTTGCCAAAGCTAGAGTAGCTAAGCTAGAGACGTGGAATTTTACTCAGATGTCGCCTAATATCTTCTTTTGTTATTCACCAAGTAGCATTATCCAAACTCAATTCCAAAGGGTCGAACCATCCCTTTGAATTAGATATTGTTAAAAACATTACCAAACCTTAGGTGTCTTTGTAGATTTTCACCAAAGCTAGAGTAGCCAAGCTAGAGACGTGGAATTTTGATGCGATGTAGCCTAATATCTTCTCTTGTTATTTACCGAGTAGCATAATCCATACTCAATTCCAAAGGGTCGAACCATCCCTTTGAATTAGATATTATTAAAAACATTACCAAACCTTAGGTGTCTTTGTAGATTTTTGCCAAAGCTAGAGTAGCCAAGCTAGAGACGTGGAATTTTGATCAGATGTAGCCTAATATCTTCTCTTGTTATTTACCGAATAGCATAATCCATACTCAATTCCAAAGAGTCGAACCACCCCTTTGAGTAAGATAGTGTTGAAAACATTACCAAACATTAGGTGTCTTGGTAGATTTTTGCCAAAGCTAGAGTAACCAAGCTAGAGACGTGGAATTTTGATTCGATGTAGCCTAATATCTTCTCTTGTTATTTACCGAGTAGCATAATCCATACTCAATTCCAAAGGGTCGAACCATCCCTTTGAATGAGATAGTGTTGAAAACATTACCAAACATTAGGTGTCTTGGAAGATTTTTAGGTAGCAGATTTTAGATAGCTCTAAAATTGATTATAGACCAACTAGGTACGTGGAATTTTCAGCAGACATAGTCTAACATCTTGTCTTGGTGTCCACCGAGAAGCATCACCCAAACTCAACTTTAAAGAGTCAAACCACTCCCTTGACTGAGACAGCGTTCGAAAAATGGCCAAATTTTCAGGTCCCTTTGGTCTCATTTGGAGAGATGTTTCGAACACTTAGAGTTGAGCGAGAACGATGCTACTTGGTGAATACCCACACAACACACGAAGCTATCTTTACTGAAAATTTCACTTCTCTAGCTTGTTTGTAACAAGTTTTGCAAAGCTTCAAAAAGCGAGTAACCAATCTTGACGATAAATAGTTAGACCTGCACTTGAGGAGTATTGTTTCAATTTCAGGAACTCCTTGCAGCCGGTCTCTATCACGCAGCTGTAGCCGTGCTGGAATCGGCCCTGAGGATCGGTTCGTGCTCGTTGAAGCTGCGCGGCTCCGTGTTCAGCGCCTTGAGCTCGGCCCATTGGGCTCTGAATCAACTGGACCAAGCCATAGGGTGAGTACATTGCTTTCGCTATACTAAAGGACTTTCAAAAGCCTGACTAATTTCAGGTATATGCAACAAGATCTGGCTATAGCCAAAAGCCTGGGCGATACGGCTGGAGAGTGCAGAGCCCACGGCAACCTGGGCTCGGCGTATTTCAGCAAAGGCTCTTACAAAGAGGCTCTGACCGCCCATAGATATCAACTGGTGCTGGCTATGAAGTGTAAAGTAAGCGTGGATATACTTCGAAGTATATTATAACCTGTTCGATTGATATTTCGATAGGATACTCAGGCTGCGGCTGCTGCTTTGACGTCTCTAGGTCACGTTTATACCGCCATAGGTGATTATCCCAACGCTTTAGCTTCGCACAAGCAATGCGTTCAATTGGTCAAACAAATCGGCGACAAACTCCAAGAAGCTAGGGAAATAGGTAACGTTGGAGCCGTCTATTTGGCAATGGGAGACTTCGACTCGGCCGTGGATTGTCACACACAACACCTTAGAATCGCCAGAAGATTAGGAAACCAAGTAAGAAAGCAATTCGATTAGTTCGACTGTAATTACAATACAACAAATTCCAGGTCGAAGAAGCCAGAGCGTACAGCAACTTAGGCTCGAGTCACCATTACAAACGAAACTTTACCCAGGCTATAGTCTACCACGAGAAGGTCTTGCGACTAGCGCAGGCCATCGGAGACAAGTAAGTAAAACCTATTTACATCATCCCCGGAGTAAAACACGAGTTGAAATTTCGCAGATCGGTAGAAGCCAGAGCCTACGCAGGCTTGGGACACGCCGCCAGGTGTGCGGGCGACTACGTGCAAGCCAAACAGTGGCACGAACGCCAACTAGACGTGGCCCTCGCCACTAGAGACAAAGTGGGAGAGGGCAGGGCCTGCTCGAATCTGGGCATCGTCTACCAGCTGCTGGGCGAGAACGACGCCGCCTTGAAGCTGCACCAGGCCCATCTGGCCATAGCCAGGAACTTCCAGGACAGGGCCGGCATGGGCCGGGCGTTCGGCAACATCGGCAACGCCTACTCGGCTGCGGGGTTCTACGAATCGGCCATTAAATATCACAAGCACGAATTGACCATCAGCAAAGAGGTGCACGACCGAAGCTCCGAGGCCAGCACGCACGGTAACTTGGCGGTGGCTTATCAAGCTCTAGGCGCTCACGATATGGCGTTGATGCATTACAGGGCACACCTAGGTACGTTTTTTTACAACCGCCTCGAAGGTGTGGAATTTTAGATGTTGTTTTAGATATCGCGAGGGATCTGAAAGATGCCGCCGGTGAAGCCTGCGCTTTGCTCAATTTGGCCAACTGTTTGAGCTCGCGGTCCGAATTTACCGAGGCCATTCCCTACTACGAGCAATATTTGATGATATCCCAGGAACTGTCTGATGTAGAAGGGGAGGCGAAAGCCTGCCATTTCTTAGGCTACGCTCATTACTGCATAGGTCATTATAAAGAAGCTGTGAGGTATTACGATCAAGATTTAGCCTTAGCTAAAGACCTGCAGGATAAAATGAACATGGGAAGAGCCTATTGTAATCTAGGCTTGGCACATTTAGCACTGGGACAGTTGGATACCGCTTTGGAATGCCAGAAGTACTTTTTAGCCATCGTTCATATGACCAATAACCTAACTGGTACGACAATCAATACCTCTTAAATGTGCTTCGTTAAAACGTATTTTTACAGGTAAATTTAGAGCCTTCGGTAACATCGGCGATGTACTCATCAAACTAGACGAAATAGACGAAGCCATAAAGATGTACCACAAGCAATTAGCCTTAGCCAGAAGTAACAGAGACAGAAACATGGAAGCCGCAGCCTGTGGAGCCTTAGGAATGGCCCATAGATTAATCAAAAAGTTCGACAAAGCCTTAGGTACGTTACGCGTACATCCTACATTAACAAATTCATCGAAACCTAACACCTACTCTAGGCTACCACACCCAAGAGCTGACCCTTCGACAGGAAACCTCTGACGTTTCGGGCGAATGTCGCGCCCACGGGCATTTGGGGGCCATCCACATGTCGTTGGGGAACTACCCTCACGCCGGCAAATGCTACCAGGAGCAGCTGGAGCGAGCCCAGGAGCTGCAGGACTGCGCTGTCGAGGCGCAGGCCTACGGCAACCTGGGAATATCCAAGTTGAACATGGGCCATTTCGAAGACGCCATCGGATACTTCGAGCAACAGCTGGCTACGCTGGAGAGACTGAGCTCTCCAACTGCTCAGATGGACAAAGGCAGAGCCTTCGGAAGTTTGGGGGATTGTTACGACGCTCTGGGAGATCCGGAGGAGGCCGTGAAATGCCACGAGCAATATTTGGCTATATCGTTGAAGATGAAGAGCCCGAGGGATCAAGAACGAGCCTACAGAGGATTGGGTATGTATGAGGATTGGGTAAGCGTTAGTATTATTATATTGGTAATAAATGTTTTAGGACAATCTCAAAGATCTCTGGGTAATCTTCAACAAGCGTTGGTTTGCTTGGAGAAGAGGCTGGTAGTTTCTCACGAGTTGGGCAATTTGGACGCCAAGGCAGCCGCTTACGGGGAATTGGGACAACATCACGCTACTTTGGGGAACTTGGAACAAGCTGTTTCTTGTCTTGAACATCAAAGAAACATCGCCTTAGAGCAAAGTACGTATTTTCTTTCGTCCACTGTTGGACATATACCTGTTTTACTTTATTACCGTCCTTAACCAATCTCTTACAAGTATATTTTTTAAAACATTAACCATAATTTTACTCCATTTATGTTTAATATTTATGGACTTTCTTTCTGTTCGACATAGAAGGACTAGAGACTCGTCCTCAACTATAATAATCTCTTCCAGGTTTACATCATAAATCTTTATTTTCATCCAATTATGTTCAATTTGTACCAAACAGTAATTTTTCGTTACAATGGCTTAGAACAAAGTATATGTTTTAGGCTTTCTTTCGTCAACTGTTGGACATATACCTGTTCCAGTTTACTACCGTCCTTAACCAATCTCTTTTAGGTATATTTTTACATCATTAATCCTAATTTTCTTCCAATAATGTTTAATATTTACCAAGTAATGAATTTTGGTTACATCCTCTCTGTAGTACAAAGTACTTATCTTATGAACTTTCTTTCGTCTATTGTTGGACATAGAAAGATTAGAAGACTAGTCCAGTGCATTCGTCCTTAATCAATCACTTCCAGGTTCAGTTTTACATAATCAACCTATCTTTTTCTACAATTTTTACCAAGCAACGAATTTTTACTAAAGATTTTTTTAAAAAAGTACGCTCCTTTCGAGTTTTCTTTCGTCAACTGTTGGACATATACCTGTTCCACTTTATTACCGTCCTTAACCAATCTTTTCCAAGTATTATTTTCCTCCATTTATGTTCAATATTTATGGACTTTCTTTCGTCTACTGTTGGACATAAAAAGACTAGAAAACCCGTCCAGTGCATTTCCTTCCTTAAGGAAATTCTTCCAGGTTCACTTTTACATCAACAACCTATCTTCTCATACAATTATGTTCAATTTTTACCAAGCAGTGAATTTTTGTTACATCGCCGAACAAAGTATGTATCTTCTAGACTTTCTTCCTTTGCACTGTTGAACATAGACCTCTGATCTTAACCAATTTGCTCTAGGTATAGTTTTTACATTATCAAACCATATATTCCTCAAACTATGTTCAATAGTTACCAAGCAGCGAATTTTTATTACATCGCTTTAGAACCAAGTAAATATCTTCTGGACTTTCTTCTATTGCAATGATGTTGAACATAGACCTCTTCTAATTCCTCCCAACTCACTCCTAATATTAACCAATCTGCTCAAGGTATACTTTTTACATAATCAATCTAAATTTTCCTACAATTAGGTTCAATTTTTACCAAGCAGCGAATTTTTATTACTTCGCCTTAGAACCAAGTAAATATCTTCTGGACTTTCTTCTATTGCAATGATGTTGAACATAGACCTCTTCCAATTCCTCCCAACTCACTCCTGATCTTAACCAATCTGCTCTAGGTATACTGTTTACCAAATCAATCTACATTATCCTACAATTATGTTCAATTTACACCAATCAATAATACCTTTCGGTTAGATGACAAAGTCATGGAAGTAGACGCCATATGCGGCCTCGGATCGGTCTGCTACCAAATGGGCGAATTCGCCACGGCCCTTCGTTACCACACCAACGAGCTCGAGATATCCGAGCAACTGGAAATGCCCAATTTGCAGAGCCGAGCCTGCGGCAACGTCGGAGCCGTCTACGAAGCCTTGGGCAATTTGGACGAGGCCGTCATCTATCAGATGCGACACTTGTCCATAGCCTCGTCGACCAACGACCAATTGGCCAAGACGGTGGCGTACAGCGCGCTCGGACGAGTCCATCAGCTGCTGGGGAATCGCACGCAGGCCGTCAGTTACCTGACGCAGGGATTGGCGATTGCCGAGTCGCTCGGTCGGAGGGACGAGGAGGTGAGTGATGAGGGTTTGGTTTGGGGGAGAGTGGAGTGGAAGGTACGGAGTCAAAGAGAAAGAGAGTGGATGTAACCTTTGTGTGTAAGAGCGAGAGATGGGTGTGTGAAATTGGAACTGCAACTGCAGTTCTCAATAGTTCTGATTAGAGTTATAATCTATAACTCTAATCAAAGTTATAGATTCCTTTTAGATTGTTTAGGAGTTTTAAATTTTTTAGTACACTGGGTAGAATTTTTTCAATTGAAAAAATTAATGAAATGACTAGTTTAGTAAATATTCCTAAAAATGCTATAATTTAAGGAAAAATTCTAATAAAAACGACGATTTTTCTTGTAAAACCAGCCAAAAGTTGACTAACTTATTAAAATATTCCTGATAATCATCAAATTTATATTATGTATGTAATCTTAACTGGACTAATTAAGTAAAAAAATGGTCAAATTTATGCATTTGAATTTTCATCTGAAAACAGGTCGAAATTAATAAAAAAGTTAAAAAACGTCAAAGGCAGTAAAATATTTCTAAAAATCGTAAAATTTTTATATTAATTCTTCAAAAACAATTAGAAAAATCGACCAATTTAGTCAAATTTTCTAATAAAATTGATAAATTTACTTGTAAAATCATCTAAAGAATCGATTAAGTTAATAAATTGTCCAAAAATTCATTAATTTTATATAAAATCTTAAAATCATCTGAAAAATATCAGAAAATTAATAATAAAAGTCTTAAATATCGTCAGTCAGTAAAATATTTCTAAAAATCGTCAAATTTTTACGTAAATTCCTGTAAAATAATTAGAAAAATCGACTTATTTAGTAAAATTTCTGAAAATTCGAATTCATCTGAAAAATCGATTAAGTCGGTAAATTTTCCTAAAAATTCATCAAATTTTGATCTAAAATCTGGTCAAATTATCTTAAAAATCGATTGCTTTGGTCAAATTTTCTGAACAATCAAATAATTTAATAAAATTTTCTAATATAATATCTACAACATTTTTTTTATATCAACAAAACCGACACCTAAAATTCTACCAAATCTAAAAAAACATGTAAATTCTCTACCAGTTTATCATTTACATTCATTCCTTATGTACATATCTCCTCTGGGTACTCTAGTTACCTCTAACACTATTCTCTTCATCAGGCGAAGATTCGAAACCGATTAGGCCTAGCCCTATGGGCCAACAACGACTTGGAAGGCGCTCAAAAGCAACTGGAAATAACCACGCACTTGCTGGAAAACATCAGGAGAGAAGCGAAGAGCACGCAGGATTACAAACTGTCTTTATTCGAATTGCAATCGTCCAGCTATCAAGTACTACAACGCGTGCTAGTCTGTGAGTAACGATTTCAGATAGCTTCGCCGATAATTTAGCTTATTGTGTTCATAATTAAGGTTTAAACCGGCACGAGGAGGCTCTTTTGATAGCAGAAAGAGGAAGGAACAGAGCCTTCGTGGACTTGCTACTCGAACGCCAAGGCTTGAGCGATTTGAAAATGAAATCGAAAAGCAGCAGATTAGAAGAATTCGGTATGAACAACCTGGATCACATTAAAGATATAGTCAACAGGCAAAGAGCTTCGGTACTCTACTACAGCATAGCAGCCGGATTCCTATACGCTTGGCTAATTTTACCAACCAAAGGTTCGTCAAAGAATCTTCATTAATCACTTCGTTAAAATTCAATTACTTCCAGGTATCGTAAAGTTCCACTACGTCCCGCTGACGGAATCCTCGGACAATTCCTCCTGCGACAACCTCGATCCCGTTCCTTCGGGCACCGGGATGCTGGAGAAGCTGGTGAACTCGGTCAGAGACAGCCTCGGATTGGAAGCCTCCCCGTGCCCCACCATAGCGGAGGACCACGCCGACGACGTCTCGTCGGAGCGAACGGGTTTCCTGAGGATGGTGAACCGGCAACATCTCATGAACTCCAGCAATTACTCGTTGAGTTCGCTGTTCTCGCTGGGCAGCGTAGGCGGCTCGGTGGCGTCGCTGCAGGGGAGCACTAGATCGAGCGCGAGCGCTCAGGGTTCCACCAGAATGGGCATACGCCAGAGCTGGAAGGGCCCGAGTTGCTTGCACACCCTCTACACCATGCTGCTCCAGCCTTTCGACGAGTACCTAACCACCAAGAGCTCCTCGAAAGAGAGCTCCCATCGAAGGGAATTGATCCTGGTGCTCGAAGGCGATTTGTATTTAGTACCGTTTCCTCTACTGCGATCGGCTAACGAGAATTCCGAGTACTTGTGCGAGAGATTTTCCTTGTTTGTGGTGCCCAATTTGAGCACGCTCAGGTCCGGAAGGCTCCGGAAACAGGACGAAACCGTAAGGAGTTTGGTCGTGGGTAATCCGAAATTACCGAACGCCGTTACCGAGCACTGGGGCTGGAAGGATATACCCCAATCCGAGCAGGAGGCCGTGATGGTGGCCGAGCTTCTCCAAACGCAAGCTTTGACAGGATCACTCGCCACCAAAGAGCAAGTTATCAATCAAATCCAAGAAGCCGAGTGTATACATTTCGCCACTCACGTCTCCTGGAAGTTGTCTTCTTTGGTACTAAGTCCAGGTGAAGTTTTAGACCAAACTCAATCGAAGCGCTTGTATATAACCGATAACATAGAAGAAGAAGATAACAACGAGTTATCAGTATCGGCGGAACTACCGCCCATTTCAGAGTTTCTTCTCAGCGCAACCGATATACTGTCATTGAAGCTTTCGGCTCGATTAGTCGTGATAAGCTCATCGCATACGCGGGAATCCCAAGGTTGGGCGACCTCGGACGGTTTGGTCGCTTTGGTACGTTCCCTTCTAGCAGCAGGAGCTCAAGCAGTACTGGTTTCCTTATGGCCTGTACCGGATACGGCTACTAAAATCCTCCTCAGAGCATTCTATTCGGCTCTGCTGCAGGGAACTCGAGCTGCTAGAGCTTTGGTCGAAGCTATGCAAACTGTCCAACACACCAAGCACTTTGCCCATCCTGCGAATTGGGCGGGTTTCGTGCTCGTGGGCTCCAACGTTAGGTTGTCCAATAAAGTGGCTCTGATGGGTCAAGCGCTCTGCGAATTGCTGCAGCATCCAGAAAAATGCAGGGATGCCTTAAGAGTAACCTTGCATTTGGTCGAAAAAAGCTTGCAAAGGATCCACAGGGGCCAGAAGAACGCCATGTACACCACCCAGAAGTCCATAGAAAATAAAGTGGGGTGCGTTAACGGTTGGAAGGAGCTGCTGATGTCGGTGGGATTCAGATTCGAGCCGGCTTCAAACGGAATTCCCAGCAGCGTGTTTTTCCCGCAATCCGATCCAGACGATAGGTTGACCCAATGCTCGGCCAGTCTTCAAGCCCTGCTTGGTTTGACTGGTACTTCCATTCAAGCACTGTCCAAATTGACCTCCAATTCTGATGTGGCCGATGAGATAATAGCTGTTATCCAGGCGGCTTTGACGCAGTTCTCTTCCAAGGGCGTTGAGAGTGATAGCGTGGACGTGGCTTTACACGTGAGGTAAGTCTTTTGTATATTATACAGGGTGGAAGGGAATTATGTGGAGGTGATGGTATTAGCAAAAATTTACTAATTGTGATGATTCATTTGGATCAGGTTGTGGCGAGTCCCAGGTTGCCATGAACTCTTCGCTTCACTAGGTTTCGATCTAATAGACGTGGGGCAGGATAAAGTGACTCTGAGAACTGGAAAGCAAGCCAATAGACGAAACATACAATTCACAATGCAAGCTTTATTAGCTCTATTTGGTAATATAAATATTCTAATCTAAAAATTTGCAATTTAAAGTGCTCGTTTCAGATACCCAAGAAGCACCGAAAAGCCTCACCATAGACTCCTCGAGCAGTCTGGAATCCCTGGCTTCAATCGATAACGATTTCTCGCATTCCGATAACGAATTGAACTGCGTTTCTTCCACACCCACCAGCAAGTCACTTCCTAGGATCCCTCCTCCATTTTCCAGAACTGTGTTGCCCAGCAAAAGGTTAGGTGGGGCTTTTACTTCGTACGTAAGAAGAAGAGGAGAACCTGATGGAAGAACGGCTAATCCGCCCGATGGCAAGTCAACATTAGAAGCAAAATTGAGGAAAAACATGACTTTGGCCAGACCGGGCGGTGGAGAATCCGACGCTGCTTTCACGCCCAGCCCACCGGTTGTTCTACAGGTATGATTCTAGTGTTCAAATGTCTCTTAGTAGATATACATTTTTGTACAATTGCAGCCGGAGAATCAAACCATGGCACTGTCGCTCGCCCATCAATCCAGAATAAAGCACCTGTATTCCCAAAACGACGGTAAAAGCGACACCATGAGGCCCGATAGCTCCAGCTCCACCAGCTCTGCCACAGATTGGGAAAACGGCCATGCGACTATCCTTAGACGGCAAACCCAGAACCAGGTATGTAAAAATCACTAAGATTAAGAAGTGCTAGACCTTTCCGAGATCACCACTCAAGTCAACTGAGCTACCTCGGATCACAAGTCCTTCAAGATGTTATCCATCTTCTCCATGAATCTTCATTCTTTCCCATACTTCCTCATCCTCATGCTTTTCCATCCTTGCCTATCCATACCTTCTTTTGGAGGTGCCTTAAGATGGAGATAGCTCAAGTAGCTCACGTACATAGCTTAGAACAAGGGGGTGTATCTACCTCCAGGAGTGGACATAAAAGTGTCGAAAAGACAAGAAGAAGAAGAACTCTTGTTAATTCCTTGCAGAACACTTCTTTAACTATTATAGTACAATGTTTTATAATCTATGCTTTCGTCAGGAGCAGAACCTCATGTAAATGGTAATTTTTAGGTGCCACCTTTGCCGCCTCCGCGCGTCCAGCCCCTTCCGGATCTGCCGCTGTACAACAACCTTCCTGCAGGTATGTTCGAGAACAGTTCCGACAGCGATTTGGAGAAAATGGAGGCCAAACTCTTCACCTCGGCGTTCAAGAGTAAAATCGCCCACAAGAAGCCGCGGAATCCGCTCAACGTCTTCGACAGATCCGCGGCCAAAGCGACGACGACGGGACAGCTGCTGCAGGATGCAGGGAGAAAGCAGATGGCTCAGCCGGACGAGGAGGCTTCGCCCGCTAACGATAGATTGTACTTTTCGCCCGGTGAAGAGGGAGAGAACGATGTGACTGTTGCAGGAACGTCGGGCGGGGATATTCACGGTACTGAACAGGATTTGGGCAGAGCTGAAGGAAAATCGGGCGGGTCTTCATTGAGTAAGGAAGTTTTTTTTTTTTCATATTCTGCCCTTCACTTTCTTACACTGTCCCACACTTTCCTAAACTTTCCTATACTTTCCTAAACTTTCCTACAGTTCTCCACACTTCCCTGCACTTCCCCAACCTTCCCTATCGTTCCCCACTTTCCTACAGTTCTCTACACTTTCCTACACTTTCCTATACTTCCCTATACTTTTCTAAACTTTCCTACAGTTCTCCACACTTTCCTACACTTTCCTACACTTTCCTATACTTTCCTAAATTTTCCTACAGTTCTCCACACTTTCCTACACTTTCCTATACTTTCCTAAATTTTTCTAAAGTTCTCCACACTTTCCTACACATTCCTACACTTTCCTACACTTTCCTACACTTTCCTGCACTTCCCTACACTTCCCTGCACTTCCCCAACCTTCCCTATCGTTCCCCACTTTCCTACAGTTCTCCACACTTTCCTACACTTTCCTACACTTTCCTGCACTTTCCTGCACTTCCCTACACTTCCCTACACTTTCCTACACTTTCCTACACTTTAGTGCACTTCCCTACACTTCCCTGCACTTCCCCAACCTTCCCTATCGTTCCCCACTTTCCTAGAGTTCTCCACACTTTCCTGCACTTTCCTATACTTTCCTACAGTTCTCCACACTTTCCTACACATTCCTACACTCTCCTACACTTTCTTGCACTTCCCCACACTTTCCTGCACTTCCCTGAACTTCCCCAACCTTCCCTATGGTTCTCCATCCTTCCCCATCTTTCCCCATCCTTCCCCATCCTTCCCCATTCTTCCCCATTCTTCCCCATCCTTCCCCATCCTTCCCCATCCTTCCCCATCCTTCTCGCTTATCCCTCCTTATTTTTGTAAGTTTCTTTTGCACCAACCCGTTATGTATTCTTATAGTTCCCAAGATGACGCAGTATAATACTTCTAACAATGAGCTCTAGACCTTGCATAGATCTCTTCAATAACTGGTCTTAAAGAACATAATTTTCAGCTATTCATGATACGATTTTGGCCACCCAACTGAGACACATCAACAGGGAATTGACTCCGACAATATCAGAGGTGTATCATGAGAGAAACATCGGTTTGGGACTGGCTCCATCCCTGTCCAAATTGCTGCTCAGCCAGTCCCAACCAGCCATTAAGACTGATAACTCCGTTTTGGAGAAAATTAACATGGGTATTGGAGGTTTATTGTTATATCGAGATTAAAACGCGGCTAACCGGTGGTCGTTTTTTTTAGGTTTGGTGGATGATGAAGTGGATGCCAATGACGGGAAGAACGCTGCAAAAGTAAAGGGAAAGTTCAATAAACCTTGGTTGGTGGAGAACGCGGGAGCTTTGCAGCAAATCCAAAGCTCCGATTTGACGACTGCTGATATCCTGGAGAGGGAGGTGAAAAATAAGAAAAGCATTATGAGGTAAGAGCTGGATTTTGCTCGTGTAACCGTTACTTCCATCTCTAGAGACTACTGCGAGGAATTCCCAAAAATAACCCTGAGATTTTTTCTAATCGCTAGGATCGAACAGAAGACCACCAAGGACGATCAGGACCCCAAACGCATCTCGCCCTTCTCGGAGATGTCTCGCAGGGACGAAGGAGACGGCAGGAGCATAGCCGATTCGAACTACTCCAGCTACAAAAACCAATACTCGTCCTACCAATCCGTCGACAGCAAGTCCAAAACTCAGCCGAAGATCCGAGCCTTATCATCCCACAGAAGAATCTTACCCAACTAACTCGAAATTTATTTTACGTTGTACAAGATGTCGGAAAGCTTTAATAAATACTATCTATTATTTACATTCGTTTTGTTCAAAACAACGATTAATTTAACCAACCATCAGGTGTAATTTAGGCTTCCTTTAAAGTCGACACGCTCAGGTCGGCCTTCGATTTGATCGAAATTGTTTCAATAGATTTTGTTTGTAACTCCAGCTCAGTTAAATCAATATTGAACGTAACAGGCGGAAGTTCCTTTTCCACAGTTTTATCACCGAATCTAGTCAGAGCCCTGAGTTCCCTGGCCTTGGCCTTCACGTTATGCGGATCCACCACCATGTTCCTCTTCTTCTGCCCGTCTGGAATACGCGATCCAAACAATTGGTTTCGTTATGGAGAAGAGGAAAAGGAGGATACTCACTCAACAGCACCTGGTTCAAATTGAACACGTAGTTGTACGGGTGGTCTTCGATGAAAACGGTGGCGTTTTTCTTGATTTCCAGAAAATTTTCGTAGTTTTGCTCGCACACCATTTGAGTGACCCAGACGGATTCGTAGGGGTTCGGGGGCGGCGGGGGTTTCTCTTTCATCACGTCCGGAAACAGGGCGCAAACCGTGTCCAAAAATATGTTCTCCCCTTCTTTCAATCTGATGGCGAAGATGAATTGTTGAACTGACACAATATATATCAAACCAATACATCCTCACCTTTGCTTCTGCTTCCTCTTCTTCCTTTCGTTTTCTTCTTCCAACTTCAACAACGGTTTCCTGCGCCTCTCCAATTCTTTAATATCCAATTGTTTCTTCACTATCAACGTTTCCCGTATAATCGCCTCCTCCTCCTTCTGCCTCCTTCTGATTATCTTTTCCGACAAACTTACTAAAAAAAAACTAATATAATTACCGTTTTTATTAAGGAATAAGCATCAACCTTCTTCCTGCTTGGGCTTCCTCTCCATCTTGGGCTGCTTCTCCTCGGGCTTGGGGATCTCCTCGATTTGAGTGGGAGCAATGCTCACGGCGTCCTCAACAACCTCTTCCATTTCCCCCGCAGCCGCGGCTATTTTCTTGTTTATGCTCGTCTGCCACTCGAAGAAGTACTTCTTCCGGCGCACCTCGCGCTCGATGAACCGCTGGAAGCGCTCCTTCTTCAGCTGCAGCGTGCCCGGGGTCGGGTCTTCGGGCATGAGGAAGAGCCTCAAACAGCCTGTTGGAGTGACGGAAATTTTGGACACGTGTCAGTGTAAAGTTGTTTTGAACTTACCTAGTTTATCAGCTGCTGCGTAAATGGTGCGTTTCTGCTTCAAAGTGTGGAAAGCGGAAGCTGTGAGGTAACCGCTGGAGAAGGTTAAAGAGAAATTGGGGATTTTGCTGCTGAAAGCTAGCGACCATTCCTCGACGTCACCATTCACGAGCTTGTTGGTGAACATGTAAGGCTGCAAAGGGTTCAATGTCGGTTGGGATAACTGAGGTTTTTTTGGTGGGGAAACTTACATGGGAAACGTTCCATTCCCCGCTGGTGTACATTTCCTTGGCCTTTTTCCAAAACAAGGGTTTGTTGGGGACTTGGTCGTTCCAAAGGGCGAATATTTTCCCGCCGACGGATAGGGTGATGTCGAATTCCGGGTTCTTTTGCATGGTGATGAGAGGCCCGTCGTGAATTCGAGCTCTGCTCTTTACTATGCCGAATTCGTTGTTGATCATTTCACCTGAATCGAAGTCCTGGCCTTCCCACACGCATTTTATAAAGTCGCCTATGAGAATACGAATGGGTTTGCATTAGCTGAAGCTTGAATGCTCTAGCTTAACCTAGGTTAAATGAGACTCGAACCTTCCATGCTGCCTACGTAGATTTGGGGTTTGATTTCCGGGTAAAGGTCACCGTTCAAAATTGGTTTGTAGATGACGCGTTCGTTCAATGGCGGTAATTTTTTGGTTTTGTGAGGATTCGCCTCTTCATACAAAATGGGACAAAAATCCTCGTTGCAACTCACTGCAGCTAGTGGTTTTTTCTTCGACGAAGGCACGACTATCTTGTACAGGGGTTTGAGGGTTAGATTGTGCACCGAATAGGGGGAAGTTTCTTTCTGCAAAAAAAATCATTTTGTAAGGATTTGAAAAATCATGTTTGTGTCAACGTACAGCTAAAGAAGCAGGCTTTTGCTTCAACCTCTTCAATTTCCTCGGCTTGAAACCTTCATCGCTCGTTTGAGGTACTTTCATCAAATCCCAAATCAACACGTTACCGTCCTCTCCACCGGTGATGAATTGCATGGAATACGGTTGCTCAGCATCCTCTTCAATTTTGCTCACCTTACCCAGCTTATCAAATTCGTAGAAAGGCGACACCCAATTGATACCTAAAATTACAAAATTTCCACAACAGCCTTAGGCTAATTATTACAAGATGCAAAACCTATTACAGCTCCTTTATGGGAGTACTTCATATCTGAAATAGCAGTGGGTTCAACCACACAAACATCATAAATAATCTTCATCCAAGACATTAGGGTTTTCATGTAGGCTCTATTTTTGATTTGAGTGTGCGATAATATATTCACATCTTCGATTTGTTGTAACTTATTCCGAATATCCCAAATGATCTACAAACAACCAATTCTATAATCTTGATGGTATGATTGAAGATTTGACCCACAATTTGCCCGTTCTTCAATCCTCCTAAAAGCACGTTCTCGTCGAACTTGCAAAAGGACAATTTGATCACCTCCCTTGGCGCTTTCAGCATCAACTTCGGCTTCAAACCGTCCACGCAACTCCAAATCAACACCAAATTCGAGCTCGACGTCTTCTCCTCGCTGCTGGGACCGGACGTGTAAATGAACGGCGCCACAATGTTGTACGCCACCGCCGCGATGCCGGTCCACATCGGGTGGAACACCACGTCGGAGACCATCTTCCCGGTGCACAGCTCCACGTCCATGAAAGACATGTACTCCTTCACGTCTTCCACCACCGAGGCGCTGATGAACTTGGCGCTGTCTTTGATCAGAGTGAAGTAATCCTCCGAGTAGAGGTTCAGCTTCGCGTTGACCTAAACATGGTCAAATGCAGTAGGAAAGCAAGAATGATGCTGACGAAGGTAAGAAGTAAGCCATAAGGCTACGATTACTATGCATGCGGATGAGTTCTGACGAATCGTCCGAAAAAAACTCCTAGTTTTCTAGGTTATTTCGTTTGTTCTCAACTACTGCGAATAGAAGGGAAATCCAATAATTATTAAATGGATATAACTTAGCTTGGTGTTTCTAAATATCATACTTGAAGATTATTAACAAATTGATTATTTTTGTTGATGGAACAACGCTAAATAGAGGTTTTTATATTGGTAGTGCAGCAAAAATTGCCCATTTTCTTGATTTTTTTCTTTTTTTAGATATATTTTAGGTTAGGAAGGGGATATCGAGATGCGGTTTTCACAGGCTGGTTTGGCAATTATTTGACTATTTTTTTCCAAAGAAAAAGTTATATCGTTGCATTTAAATTTTTTGAGAAAATCGGTGTTTTTTGAAGTAATGTCGAAAAACGCCATCTTGCGGCCAAGAAAGCAATTAAAATAATATCTTATATAGTGTAAATTATAGACCAAAGAAAGCCCTTTTCAACAATTTCATTTTTTTGAAAATCGGTTCAGCCGTTTAAAAGTTATTAACATTTATTAGTCAAAATATTCAAACCACCCCCACCACTTTATTTTCAAAGATAGAGTCAAAAATATATTACAAAAAATAATCGAAATTATCTTAACTATCAAAATAAAACACATTTTTGATACCTTTATTTAGGAAAATTTTGAAAAAAATGACTATTAAAAATCAAGATGGCGGATACTCCCCCTAGCGGCCATTTTAGAGACTTAAAAATTATTTCCAGCATTTTCTTTTGGCCGATTTAGTTGTAAGATTTTTTACCGCAAGTCTCTACGACAATTAGTTTGCGAGATATGGCCGAGAGCCGTTCTTAGAGGACCACCCTGTACGAATTGGGACGTTTGTTCGTCAGAATTCACATGCATAGTAACTGTAGCCTTAGAGAACAATGCAGTATGCAGGACAAGATGGAGAAGCCAATGGAAAAGTAAATATTGGTGCAAAGTGGTCTGAAGAGTCTGTAAACTAACATAGTTAGCCCTTTGTATCACTACAAGATAAAATCAGCTTCCACCTGAAGAAGTCGGAGAGACAGCTAACAATCCGCGCCTCAAGAAAGTTGTTAAAGAAGAAGAACAGTACCTTTAGCATGTCGGCGATGGTACCTAAATTCTCCTTGACAAAGGCTTTGAAAGGCTTCAGGCAGGCTGCCAGTAGCGGCTCAACGTCGCCGATCTCGTATAGGTATTGAGTCGAGGCGTTCATGGGGTAAGCGCAGGTGGTTTGGGCGTACTTGGTGACGAATTGGGCTGCTTGCTGGACGATCACGTCCACTCGTTTCCTCTGAACCTGCAATTATCCTCTTTACTGGAGAGGTTCGGGATGGAATGGAGGCGACCTTACGAGCGGTTTTCGATCGTCCGGGTTAACCCTGAGCTCCATGTAACCGTCTCTTCTGTCTTCGGCTCGGCTCATGTCGAAGTCTTTCTTTGGAGGGTTCAATGGATAGCCTGCTTCGACTTCGACTTCGATCAGAGGTCGGTTGTTTTTGATGCGACCTTCGTCCACTTCCACTTCTGATCCCATGGAAATCCTAAAAAGGGTAATACAATTTTGAGAAACGATTCAATTTGAGCGAGTATTTTGTAAATTACCAAGGCCTTACTGCTCTGTATATGGAATTGTACATGCGCTCGTTGCGCTCCTTTTTCAAATTCGCCACCAATTCGTTTATTTTGGGAATGGATTCATCTTGGAAGCATAGATAAAAGTCGTCGTCGTCTTTGGAATCGTCGGCTACCAGACCTTTGGAAGGCGGTTGAATGAGGAAACGAAGAGAAATGATCGACGAATGTCTTACCAAAGTAGATCTGGTTGCCGGGGTATTTTTTTATATCGGCCTCGAGCGAATAGAACTCGGAATTTGTCTCGAAATTTTCCAAATTCTCCAATACGAGCGCCTTCGAGACGTATATCCACGGATCTTCCACGGTAATGTCCTGACCGGCGATGCATCTTAACAGAAAAATTATAAAGTTATGAACAAGAATAAGCCTCCGATTATTTTCAATTAATTCAAAACTCCAGAAAATAGACTAGGAATAAACAACAAACAAAATTTTATTTCAGTTCTCTTAATGAAATTATTGTCCATAACGTTGGAAGTCATCACCGGACAACTGCAGGAATCGGTGGAGGTGGAACAGGAGGAAACATCCTTTCATGTCAAACTATTCCTGGGATTTCTACAAAAGCATCCAAAACAAGCCCCAGGTCATGTCCGATTAATAAAAACATCCAGGTAAGATACTAGGCAATAAACAATCAAGTCAACTTTTTTCAGTGCTTCTAATGAAACAGTTTTTAACGTTAGAAGCCACCAATGGACACCTGCAGGATTCGGTGAAAGGTGAAGAGGAGGAAATATCCTTTCTTGTCAAACCATTCCTGAGATTTCTACTCTAATAGTCCCAAAACAGCTCCAGGTCATGTCCGACTAATTTAAAAAAAATCATGGAAAGAGACTACGCAAAAAAAAATCAAGTCAACTTTTTTCAGTGCTTCTAATGAAACAGTTGATAACGTTAGAAGCCATCAATGGACACCTGCAGGGATCGGTAGAGGTGGAACAGAAAGAAACATCCTTTCCTGTCAAACCATTCCTGGGATTTCTACAATAGCCTCCAAAACAAGCCCCTAGTCATGTCCGATTAATAAAAAAATAAACCAGGAAAGAGACTAGGCAATAAATAATCAAGTCCACTTTTTTCACTGCTTCTAATGAAACAGTTCATAACGTTAGAAGCCATCAATGGACACCTGCAGGATTCGATGAAAGGTGAAGAGGAAAACATTCTCGCTGGTCACACTTTCTGTGGTCTTCTGTAGGAGACGTCCTCAAAGTAGACCCTATATACTTATATACTTGTATACTTATATATAATGTACTTATACCCGATCCGAATATTATAAATTGATGAATAAGTTGCAGAGTAAGCCCCAGGTCATGTCCAACAGTTCAATGTCCCAAAAAACAGACTATGAATAAAAAATCAAGTCAATTTTATTTCAGTTCTCTTAATGAAACAGTCCATAACGTTGGATGCAATCACCGGACACCTGCAGGAATCGGAGGAGGCAGACGAAGAGGTAACATCCTCCCCTGACAAACCCTTCCTGGGTTCTCCTGCTGGAGGCGCCCTTAAAATCGACGCTATAATATACTCGTGCACGGCCCGTTCGTTCAAATCGCCATTAACAATAGTGGCGGTGTTGCCGCAGTACTTCCTCAGCGATCCGTAATTTTGGCAATAGAATTCCAGCTCCGCTTCGATAACGTGTATGTTCTCCCTGGGATGCACGGCCAGTTCCTTCTCTTCCGCAGCCTGCGGGTCCTTGTCGATGTCCACCAACGAGCCGGTGATGACGTTCCTCCTGCGGTTGCGTAGCCTTTCCCTGCACAAGTTCAAATCGCATTCGAGAAAGATGACTCTGTTAGGCGGCGTATCGATCGTGTCGAGGTATTTGAAGTCGTACTCGGTGAACGGGTAGCCGTACAACACCCAACCGTTCGTGATGCAATCTTGCTCGAGGACCCTCTTGTTGACCACTTGGGCGAGGAGTTCCGAATGGAAGCACACCTCGTTTTTGCACTCTCTCAGCTTCTCGCCCAATTCCGTTGGCGATATCCACATCTGGCACAGTAAGTATTCGAAATCTATGGGTATCAATTTGATGCTGTAAGCCAGCAGATCGGCTTGGGTCCTCCTGCCCGATCCGACTGGTCCTATGATCAGCACTCTGGGTTTGATTTGTTTGACCGCTTCGCGCGTTCTGGTGATGTTCACGCATTCCGCGGCTATGTCCGGTATTTGCCGATGGCCGAGGTGCACTTCGCGCAAACTCTTCTTGTACACGTTCCTCAGATTGGCGATCAGCTTCCTCTGCTCGGGCCAGTTCTGGGGCACCTTGCAGTAGTGCAAGTCCTCGATGTTGGGATGAAACGGGGCTATGATGTGGAACGTGTGGGTCGGTATGATGCCTAGTTTCAACAGTAATTTAGCGTCTTCTTCGGACCGTAGACAATCCACCAGTATCCAACCTTGGGTGTAGCAATTATCCTTGCGCGCCAGGGCGGCTACGCACCTGGCGAATATCTCCGAAGATAACTCAATGACGTCGTGACCGGAGTAATTGGCCAACGCCTGTTTGGTTATTATCACTTGCTTGGTGCTTTTGGACATCTCCTCCGCCAGCTCCAGGAGGTTGACCTTCGGCGAAGACAGTATTATCACTCTGGCCACGTCCCTGCTCTTCGTGGCGTTCCGCAGGATTTCCTTGGTGAAGAGCAGGTGGTCGTCGGGCTGCCTGATCACCAGTTCCCTGCCTATTTCGTGGAACAGCTCGAATATCCGGTGCTTTTCCAGGTAGGGAATGTGCCATTGCGGGAACCGGAGAGGTCGTTTCGACGGTTTGGACATGATGAGTGCAATGTCATTCGATCGGTTGTCAAACCATGGTCACGGTTGGACTTCATTTGAGCTATGATATTGCTGGATTCTATTGGTTGGTTCGTTAATATCCAGCAATTTGCACGCAAGGAAAAATCTAATTTACTGTATATAAGTGCTTAAAAATTGCTGTTATCTAGCACCAAATAAAATATACCAAATACATAGCAGGATTTAAATGGATCAAAGGTACGTACCCTATGTACTTTTGCGTAAATTCCGTCAAAGGGATCTTTTTGACTCCGTTGAGTTTAAGGAAGGGGTCCTTCTTCTTCTTCTTTTTCTTGCGCTTGGCCGGGACGAGTTTGGCTTCGCTGGAGGATTCTAAAATTTGCGATACTTGGGATACCTGGGATAATTGGGACAATTGGGACAAGGCAGATGTGCTTTTGTAATCGGTCGCTTTCAATTCGCTCGTGGACTTTGTTGCCACTTCCAAAACCGATCTGCTCGTCATTTTCGATAATGACGTTTTGCATTACAGTCAATAAATGTTTAGATAATATAGAGGTTATGGATGATGGTGCGTGGCCTAAAGGAGATTTTAAGCTTTGTAGACTGTGCCTGGATAAGCATAATTGATGATCTTGAGATAGCACAGAAAGTACGGGGGAATATTTTGATAGTATGGACGAAGAACCTGAGATTCTTGGTATAACATGGAAAGCTTGGGATAGCGTGGAAAATATGGAAATCTTGGAACAGAGTTTTGAGGCATGGGTATCTTTAGATAGTATGGAAATCTTGGGATCTTCTGATAGCATGGAATACACGAAATTCTTGGAATAACATGGAAGCATGGGAGCTTGAGATAGCGTGGAAATCTTAGGGATCTTGTGATGGTATCGAATGTATGGAGCTCTACGAGAGTACGGAAAGTATTGTGATTTAAGGATAGCATGGAATTAATGGATACTTGTGATAGTATGGAAATCATGGGATCTTGTGATCGTATGGAAAATATAAAAATCTTGGTATAACATGAAAAGTTTGACGATATTTGATTAGCGTATATGGGGGCCTTGAGATAGCATGGAGAGCATGAAAATCATGGGATAGGATATGGAAAGTATGGAAATATTGGGATAGAGTGAAAAGTATGAGAATTTTGACATAGCATGGAAAGTGTGGAAACCTTCGATTAGCGTGCGATTGCATGGAAAGCATGAACATCAAAGTGAGAGGATTTTGTGATAGTATGAAAAATATGAAAATTTGGTATAACATGGAGGTATGGGAATCATAGGAAATCGTGGAAAGTATGGGAATTTTGGTATAACATGGACCGTGGAGATCTTCGAATATCGTGGAAAGCATGGGGATCTTAAGGTTGCATGGAAGCTTGAATCATGGGATAGTAAGGAAAGTATGGGGATCTTGTGATAGTATAGAATATATGAGAATTTTGGTAGAACATGGAAAGTTGGAAATCATAGGAAAGCGTAGAAAGTTTGGGAATTTTGGTATAACATGGAAAGCATGAAAATGTTGAGATAGTGTAGAAGCTATGGGGATCTTGTGATAGTATAAAAATATAAGAATCTTGGTATAACATGGAAAGTATGGGGATTTTCGAATAGAGTGGAAAGCATAGGAATCTTGAGCATGGAATACATGGAATTCTTTGTATGCCATATTGTATGGTTAAATGTGGGGAGTAAGTTGAGCATTTGAGTTGAAGAAGAACATTAAATTGGTCCAAACAAATTTTTAAACTTTGATTCGACTTTGAAAAACCATCACCAACCTAATTTTTTGCTGCATCTCATGATTCTCATGCAAGTCATTCGAGATTTTCAATAGATTTTCATAAAAAATAAATGTCATAAAATTTCCAATAATTTGTAAATTCAATAAAAAAACTATTCAGTTCATCGTTGTGAACAAACAAAATCAATCGAAAACAACAAACACGTTGATATTTTGGAAAAAGCGAAAGGCGTCCGGGCGATTCGGAAAATTTCATAATATTATCAACAGACATTCTGCGAAAATGAATAACGGATCGTTTCGAAAAACCGCCTGAAAAAATATTCAACGAAAATGGATAAATTTTTAGCGGCATTTCACACGCCGATCAGATATTTGAATCCGGAGTAACTACTGTTTGGTTTTATCTGCTACAGTGATGATACCTGGCGTTTGGTAGTAATCTTGGAAATATGTAAGTATAAAATTTATTAATTTTAACAATACTAAATAATAGTGTACACCGGAGTGGTCTGTACATATGTGGACATTAGGTACCGTTATATTACAAGTACGTTTGATGATTTTTCAGATGATTTTACAAATAAAATTGACTATTTTTTAGAATATTTTAGTTAGTCGAATAACTAGATAGTTTTAATGATCGTTTTTTTAGATTATTTTACTAAATTAATTGATTTATATATGATTTTTCTTCGAGTAAATTTAACAATTGTTTGGAATACTTTACTAATTTAGTCGATTTTATAAAATACTTTGAACTAGTTGATTTTTCAATAGTATTTACCAGAGTGCTCCGGTAAAACAAAAATTCTTAATGATTTTCTAAAGGTTCTGAATAATCGTGCAAGCGTTCAAAATCGTTCTGGACTTTTCTAATTTATCTTAGACCGTTCCAAATAACTCTGAATACGATCTAAATAATTTTGGACAGTTCTAAATGGTTTTAAGTTCGTCTAGAACTCTTAGAGTGATCCTGGTCAATTCTAAAATTGTTCTAATTGTTTCAAATGGTTCTAAGTGATACTGGACAGTCCGAAATGGTTTTAATACATTCGCAAGCGCACTTTTTCGATTGCATCTCTTCGAGACTTAATCCTTGAAAACGCTGGAAGTTTCAAATCTATATTTTTTGAAAATATTCATTTATGTTAACAATTTTTTTATTTATCTAGAGATGATATTGTATATTTGATATAAATTCCCAGACTTGGACAATAAACTACATAAGTTATATGTACATAAGTATAAACTTACCATCACTATTGCTTCCTTCTTGCTTCATTCCTTCAACTTTTTATGAATAAAATTCGATATAACCTCTTATTAAATTACTAAATGAATAAAGTGTATCGGTTTTGCCTACTTACAAGCCGGGGAAAAACGAATAAAAACGCGATTATCGATCAAACTACGATTGATTGTGGCAATTGTGAATATTGTTTGAATAATTTAGGCATGTAGAAAGGTCGGAAGCGTAACTAATTGTAATATAGTTTGATCGATAACTATGAGGAAACTTACGAGTATAGGATAGGGATTAATTTATACGAAAACTTGTTAAGAACTCTTCAGGACGAATTAGAAATATTCATTAGAATTGTTCAAAACGTTTAAGAATGCTTCAGGACTAATCAAAACAGTTCAGCACAGTTAATAACGCGTCAGGACTAATCAGAACTGTTCAGAACGCTTTAAGATGAATCATAACTGTCCAAACATTTAAGAGCCCTTCGGGATTAATCAGAATTGTTCAGAATATTTAAGAATGCTTCAGAACTAATCAAAACTGTTCAGCACAGTTAAGAACGCGTCAGGACTAATCAGAACTGTACAGAACATTTTAGAAAGCTTCAGAACTAATCAAAACTGTTCAGCATAGTTAAGAACGCGTCAGGACTAATCAGAACTGTACAGAACATTTAAGAAACGCTTCAAGACTAATCAAAACTGTTCAAAACATTTAAGAAACGCTTCGGGACTAATCAGAACTGTTCCGAACATTAAAGAACCCTTCTGGATTAACCAGAATTGTTCAGAACATTTAAGAATGCTTCAGGACTAATCAAAACTGTTCAGAACATTTAAAAACGCTACAAGATGAATCATAACTGTTCAGAACATTTAAAAACGCTACAAGATGAATCATAACTGTTCAGAACATTTAAGAATGCTTCAGGACTAATCAACACTGTTCAGCACAGTTAAGAACGCTTCAAGACTAATCAGAACTATTCAGAACATTTTAGAATGCTTCCAGGACTAATCAAAACAGTTTAAAACATTTAAGAATGCTTCAGGGCTAACGATAGTGAAGCATTCAAAATTGTTTTAGACCAGTTCTAAATGATTCTGGATCGTTCTAAATGATTCTGAAGCGTTCTAAATGATTTTGGATCGTTCTAAATCATTCTAGACAATCCTAAATGGTTCTATCCCATGTCTCATTTTATTCTTTTAACAAAAATTTCAGAACTAATTTCTGGTTGTTTTTGATTTTTCCATCGAGCATAAACGCATATCATGTATTGGTTATGAATGAGTGCTTAATTAGAAGTTTTTTACTGCATATTTTGCCATTTTTTTGTACACATTTTCCAAGCTCTACTAATAATCTTACGAATACAGTAAATAGGAACATTCTCAAACACTGGTTGAATGTTTTCCCATCAGCATCCCATACATATATGTATTTTTTCACGGTTGTGAAGAAACGTGTCCGAACGGGCGATACAGATAGCCGGTTAAATACCGGAACGTGATCGAAGAACGGCCGGTTTATTGGTTTGCGAAGGTAATTTCTGGTCGAAAACCAAAACAAACCGTTCTGTTATCGCCTATATGTATGATATACGGCTCAATTAAAGGTGCATGAACTTTGGAATTGATGAAAAATATAAATATTATCATCGTTCGTTCGATATTTAGGTAGTACTATAACGCGGAAGCGAGTTTCTGAAATTAATTGGCATGTGGATATTAGAATCAGGACTAATTAGAATTGTCTAGAACAATTTAGAGTTCTTTAAAACTAGTTAGAACTGTTTAAGGATATTATAAGAATGCTTCACTGTTCAAAACTATTAAGCAAGCTTCACGACTAATTGTAACTGTTCAGAAGAGTTAGCACTACTTTAGAAGAAGTTAGAACTATTCAGAACTATTTAGAACGCTTCAGAACTGTTAAGGATACTTTGGGCCCATTTAGAGCTATTTAGAACAATTTGAAGCGCTACTTTGAAATGCATTTCTAAAATTATTGTAATAATAATATTCTAATATTTCAGTACTAATTAGAACGGTTTGGAATAATTTGAACTACTTCAGGACAGACTAGAACAATTCAGAAGTATTAAAAATACTTTAGAACTATTCGAAAAAAAAAATAGGAAGCTTTAGAACTAATTGGAACTGTTCAGAGCAATTTAGAATGCTTTAGGAAAAATTAGAACTGTTCAGAACTGTTCAGGATAATTTAGGACGAATTCAAAAGTGTTTAAGACTTCTTAATAATCTAGTACGCTTCAGGACTATGTAGAGATGTGTGTAACAATATGGAATGCTTCAAAACTATTTAAAAGTATTAAAGGCTATGAATGTAGCAGGACGAATTAGAACTTTTCTGATACTTTAGGACGAATTAGAACTGTTCAGGATTTTTAGGTAGCTTTCGGAAGATAACTACGGAAGATATGAATAGTTCTGAATGGTTTTAAGTAGTTATAAATGGTTTAGAATAAGAAGAAGAATAAGAAGAATATTCTAAATGATTTAGAATAGTTCTGAGTTTTGACTGATTAAAAATGGTTCTAAAAAGGTTTGCATAGTTGTACTTGTACATATTGTCCCGAACCGTTATAAATGGCTTTGCTTAGTTCTAAATCATTCCGAATTGGTATAATGTTTTCATAATAGTTCTAAATGACTCTAAAAGTGTTCGAAACGACTTTGAATAATTACTGAACCGTTCTGAACGCTTTTGAATCGTTCTAAATCGTCCTAACCCAATCTAAGTGGTTTTGAATAGTTCTAAATCGGTTTTAATAGTTTCAAATATTGTTCTGAACCATTTTGATAGATTCTACATCACCCTGAATCGTTCTGAATGTTTTGAATAGTTCTAAATCATCCCGAGCCGTGCTGAATTGTTATGCTTAGTTCTAAACCGTTCTAAATGGTTACAATTTTTTATAATAGTTCTAAATGACTTAAAAGTGTTCGAAATAGCTTTGAATATTTCCAAATATTGTCCCGAACTGTTCTAAACGGTTTTGAATCGTTCTAAATCGTCCTAAACCAATCTAAATGGATTTGAATAGTTCTAAATATTGTCCTGAACTGTTCTAAACGGTTTTGAATCGTTCTAAATCGTCCTAAACCAATCTAAATGGCTTTGTTTAGTTCTAAATCGTTCTGAATTGTAAATTTTTTTATAATACCCAGTTTTGCGAATGGCGAAATGACTTTGATTAGTTCCAAATATTGTCCTGAACTGTTCCAGACGGTTTTAAATCGTTTTAAATCGTCCTGAACTAACTAAAATGGTTTTGATTTGTTGGAAATCGTCCTGAACTATCTGAATGGTTTTGAATAGTTCTTAATCGTCCCAAACCGTTCTGAACGGTTTTTATTAGTCCTGAACATTTTTTATTAGTCCTGAACGGTTTTTATTAGTCCTGAACGGTTTTTATTAGTCCTGAACGGTTTTTATTAGTCCTGAACATTTTTTATTAGTCCTGAACATTTTTTATTAGTCCTGAACTGTTTTTATTAGTCCTGAACATTTTTTATTAGTCCTGAACGGTTTTTATTAGTCCTTAACGGTTTTTATTAGTCCTGAACGGTTTTTATTAGTCCTTAACGGTTTTTATTAGTCCTGAACATTTTTTATTAGTCCTGAACATTTTTTATTAGTCCTGAACATTTTTTATTAGTCCTGAACATTTTTTATTAGTCCTGAACTGTTTTTATTAGTCCTGAACATTTTTTATTAGTCCTTAACGGTTTTTATTAGTCCTTAACGGTTTTTATTAGTCCTTAACGGTTTTTATTAGTCCTGAACATTTTTTATTAGTCCTGAACATTTTTTATTAGTCCTGAACATTTTTTATTAGTCCTGAACAGTTTTTATTAGTCCTGAACTGTTTTTATTAGTCCGGAACATTTTTTATTAGTCCTTAACGGTTTTTATTAGTCCTTAACGGTTTTTATTAGTCCTTAACGGTTTTTATTAGTCCTTAACGGTTTTTATTAGTCCTTAACGGTTTTTATTAGTCCTGAACATTTTTTATTAGTCCTGAACATTTTTTATTAGTCCTGAACATTTTTTATTAGTCCTGAACTGTTTTTATTAGTCCTGAACATTTTTTATTAGTCCTGAACGGTTTTTATTAGTCCTGAACGGTTTTTATTAGTCCTGAACGGTTTTTATTAGTCCTGAACGGTTTTTATTAGTCCTGAACGGTTTTTATTAGTCCTGAACATTTTTTATTAGTCCTGAACATTTTTTATTAGTCCTGAACTGTTTTTATTAGTCCTGAACATTTTTTATTAGTCCTGAACTGTTTTTATTAGTCCTGAACATTTTTTATTAGTCCTGAACGGTTTTTATTAGTCCTTAACGGTTTTTATTAGTCCTTAACGGTTTTTATTAGTCCTGAACATTTTTTATTAGTCCTGAACATTTTTTATTAGTCCTGAACATTTTTTACTAGTCCTGAACATTTTTTATTAGTCCTGAACTGTTTTTATTAGTCCTGAACATTTTTTATTAGTCCTGAACGATTTTTATTAGTCCTGAACATTTTTTATTAGTCCTGAACATTTTTTATTAGTCCTGAACGGTTTGTATTAGTCCTGAATGGGTTTTATTAATACTGAACATGTTTTATTAGTCCTGAACGGTTTTTATCAGTCCTGAACATTTTTTATTAGTCCTGAACGGTTTTTATTAGTCCCAAACGATTCCAAAGGCTTTCGAAAGGTCCGAAAATTTAATCTCTGGAATCTTTCGCGGAACGCCCTGTATAAAAGGTATTTTTCGTATCGTTTGGAGCGCGCTGCATCGACGCGATACGCGTACAAAAACGAAGCCGTGCCGTAACCTACATTTCGCCGACATCAAAGAGCGCTCGGAGATGGAAACAATCGCCATCGAGCTCGTGCATTGCTCGAATCGCGGCTGGCCGGGCCGCAGCGGTACTTCGGGGACGGTACTGGTTTAACGGAGAAGAGCGAATATTTTTTTTTTCTTCGAGAAAAATGCGATTTTTCCGGACGATTTTCACGCTCGCTTCGTCGAATTGATTTCGGATTTTCGCGCGATATTTTCCGGGTACTGTTCGGGGTATCGGCGGTACCGCTAAGGGAAGTCCGCCGATGGCGATTTTTGGTTTTGTCAGTGCGAATTGGTCGGGTGGTTTTGTTTTCTTCTTGACTGGATTATTTGAATTGTGGTACGTACAGTTGATTTTTTTTTTAATTCGGAAGTACCTACCTGCGCAATTCCGATTGCTTCAGGTTGTGTGTTTTTTATTTATTTATTTGTTATATTGTATTATGCAGTTGTGACATATGAAATTCTCTCTTCCCGGATGTGGAAGAGCCGAAGGATTTATGGAGAATGAATCTATTGACGTTCAACGGAACGTGTAATTAAAAATTTATTTTCGTGGTACTTGCAGTGGTACTACACAAAAAAAATATAACTAATGATAAATAATATAATTGGAGTTAATAGTAATAATTACCTAATTAATAATTGTTTAACGATTATGTATAATAAGAAAGACGGGTTTGTACAAGTTTGAACTCGCAAAATTCCTGAGTATAAATAATATATTACAATAACAACTTACTAAAAATTCAAGATTTTCGATTAGGTATTCGTAAACATATAATTCGAATTTAATCGCCTTCAGTCATCACAAATCGTTAATTTTTACGTTTTAAGGGCAAATTAAAACTACCTATTCAGAGAAAAAAGCGCTTCTAGGACTAATTGAAACTGTTTAATTTAGGATTTGGAATATTTTTTTTTTCATTTAGATTGATTAAGACTTCTCGAGGACTAACTAGAACTGTTCAGACCAACTTTAGAATCCTTCAAGATACATTAGAACTAATAAGAGCAATAATATAAAACGCTTCAAGACTGTTCAGGAACTGTTCGGATTATTAGGGATTTTTCAGGTCTAATTAGAACTGTTTAAAATATTTTTGAATTCTCCAGGATAAATTAGAAATGTTCACAACAGACAATTCACGCTTTCAGACTGTTCAGGAACTGGTCAGATTTATTAGAGATCCTTAGGGACTAATTAAAACTGTTCAAAATAATTTAGAATCCTTCAGAAGAAATCAGAATATATTGGAATGCTTCAAAGCAAATTTGTACTGTTCAGACAATTTAGTATATCTCAGGATAGACTAGAACTACTAAAAGAGCATTTTAATACGCTTCAAGACTATTCAGGAACTGTTCAGGAACTGCTCAGATTTATTAAGGATTCGTCAGGACTAATTAGAACTGTTCATTTGAATAATTTCGAACTCTTTAGGACAAATTAGAAATGTTCAAAACAGTTTAGAATGCTCCAGGATAATTTAGACAAAGTAATTTAAAACGCTTTAGCACTGTTCAGGAACTGTTCAAATTTATTAGAGATTCTTCTGGACTAGTCAGAACTGTTCCGAACTAGTCCGAACAATCTACAATGCCTCAGAACTAATTAGAACGGTTTTGATTTATAAAAAAATAATAATATGCTTAAACATACAAACAACAATTAAAATACTTAAACCAGTTAACTTTTTTAAAGATTTTCATCAATTTTATCTAATTGTCTTTCTGTTTTATTTGTAGGTATATCCTGTAAACACATTTAACTCATACTAACTATTTTCAAATGAAAACTTTTAATAATTCATAATGCACCAGCTGTTAGACGTATTTTTTTCTATTCTATGTACCAATCAATTCGAATTTCGACGCATCTGGGCATATATTAATATTAATTTAACATTTCTTCCATAAAAAAGTTCGAATTAGATACGCAAAATAATTCTAAACTTACCGTTTTCGTAACAATATTTAACCTGGAGGGATATTTACGAAACCGTTCGAATGTTCGAATGTATTATTAGTTCATTGGCATTTTTTTTGATATTAAGTATTAATTTTCACTATTATCGACCCAAGCGTATATTAGTCAGAAATATCAATAATGGATGACAAACACGTGTGATAGAGTGATATATTTCTAAGGATATTATAGATTTTCCTTTGTTACAATAATCTGCTTAGTAGGGTATTGCAATTTTCTTATCAATCGTAATACATTACTCATTCTCTTTTAAATTGCAATACTTTACCGATTGTGTTTTACAACAATTTATCGACGATCGTGCTTTTTTGATAAATAAACTGTTCCTAATTACTGTAATTGTGTAGAAATATAAAGAAATTCTCGCACTTCCCTCGTAAAATAGAATCCTGCAATTTTATCCGTTTAATCTAATGCAGAGTAATCTAATCATCTTCGATATTATGCAGGCGTTTTGTGCAAGGTTATGCGATCTTGTTAGAGCCTTAATAGCTTTGGTAATTTGAATAAATATCATCTCGGAATTAATCTACCATTGCATATGTCTCTATTACTAATAGAACAGTTATAAAACTTAATAAAGGACGCTTGTGGATAAATTGGAACTGATGCATTTGAAAATGCATCAGAATTAATCAGAACATTTAAGAACGCGCCTCATTACTAATTAGAATATTTAAGAATGCTTCAGGACTAATTGGAACTGTTTAGAATATTTAGGAACGCTTCAAAAGTAATTAGAATATTTAAGAACGCTCAGGACTAATCAGAACTGTTCAGAACATTTAAGAATGATTCTGAATTAATCAGAACATTTTAGAATATCTCATAACTAACTGGAATATTTAAAAATGCATTAGGACTAATCAGAACTGTTTAGAACATTTAAGAACGCTTCGGGACTAATTAGAACTGTACAGAACATTTTTTAAGAACACTTCAAAACTTTGAGAATTAGTTATAACTGTTAAGAACAATTAAGAAAGCTTCAGAACTAATTAGAATTATTTTGAATAAATAACAATACTTTAAAACCAATGTTTACAAGAATCACGAACTCTTCAGAATTAATTACAATTGTTAAAAACAATTAAGAATGTTTCATAACAAACAGGAATACTTCAGTATAATTTAGAACTGTTTTTATAGAACAATGGAAAGAGTTTCAGAACTAATTAGGACTTTTAGAACAATCAGTGAAGCTTAAGAATTAATAAGAATTGTTCAAAATAAATTAGAACTGTTTTGAAGAGTCAGGAATCATTTAGAATTAATTAGAACTGCTCAGAACAATTAAGAACGCTTCAAAAGTAATTAGAATATTTAAGAACGCTTCAGGACTAATCAGAACAATTTAGAACATTTAAGAATGATTCAGAATTAATCAGAACATTTTAGAACGCCTCATAACCAATTAGAATATTTAAAAATGCATCAGGACTAATCAGAACTGTTTAAAACATTTAAGAACGCTTCAAAACGAATCAGAACTGTACTGAGAACTGAAATTGTACTGAGAACAATAAAATCGCGTCAAGACGAATTTCAAAATGAACTAAAACAGGATCTATTCGAATTCGAAATCACATTTAATATTGCGTTAGGACTTATCAGAATCATTCAGAACATTAAGAAAAGCTTCAGAACTAATCAGAACAATTCAGAACATTTAAGAACGATTCAGGACGAATCAGATCTGCTCAGAACATTTAAAAACGCATCACGACAAATTGGAACTATTAAATTTACTCAATTACAAAATATACTGCTACACAAAAATTAAGGAACTTTACAAATATTGAGATTAATTTAAAAGTTGCAGGTTTTTTGAACGCCAAATTTAGTATGAATTGTAGAGGTAGGGACAAAAAATCCACTCAGATATGAGAGAAAACATTTAATTTCACATATTGAAAATTTGATGATCAGAAAGTCTGTAACTTTTAAAATAATCGCAAAATTTGCAAACTTCCTTAACTTTTGTGGAGCAGTTTAATTTCTCAAGTTAGCCACTAAGTTAGTAATACTTAATTATATTAAGTAGATTATTTGAGAAATTTGAATATTTTCTATAGCTATTTTTTTTTAAATCGACCTTGAATTTTTCAATCAATTTCGCAAAGCTATAGTTTTAGATCCTCTTACTGCATACCAAAGAAACTTAATAACAACAAACACAATTTAATATTTAATAAATTTTATTATCAGCAATTTATTTAATACGAATTTCACGTATTAGAAACTCAATCTTCGCGCCCTGCCAGAGGCTTTAATAGCCTTGAAACGCTTATAGGATTACCGTCGCATTGAATATTAAATAAGGAATCTATACCTATACGGTATAGGATATACAGTGTGTCCACGGATGGGGTTGCCTATAGGAGAAAAATTTTTATTATTCATTTTACGACAAAAAGTTATTCTTTATAAAAATTTTTGCTTCTTTTAAAAATGAGAATAACACTGAAAAATCTTAGATGGGATCTTCAGGGTGTTGCCAAATTAAGAAAACATGAAAATACCTCAAGGGAGGAATACCATTATTTTTTATTTTACACAATTTTTTATAAAATAAAGTTGTTTATAATCTAAAATAAAGCCTGAATACAAATTTGTAAACTTAAATTCAAATTTTTTGTGTCCACAGATAAAGTTGACCAGATAAGAAAAATGGTTATTATTAATTTTACGACGAAAAGCCATTCTTTATAAAAAAATTAACTTGTCGAGAAAATGAGATTCACATATCAAAACATTAGATAAGATGTATAGGGTGTTAGTAAATGAAGAAGCAGGAAAAAATTTCAAGAAAGAACGAAATAATTTTTATTATCTTGCACATTTGAAAATTTGAAGTCAGGCTTTATTTTAGATTATAAACAACTTTCTTTTATAAAAATTTTGTGTAAAATAAAAAATAATGGCATTCTTCCCTTGAGATATTTTCATGTTTTCTTAATTTGGCAACACCCTGTAGATCCAATCTAAGATTTTTCAGTGTTATTTTAATTTTTAAAAGAAGCAAAAATTTTTATAAAGAATGACTTTTTGTCGTAAAATGAATAATAACAATTTTTCTCCTATAGGCAACCCCATCCGTGGACACACTGTATTATACGCGCAAAAAAAAACTCGAATGATATGCATTTATTAAAATCCAGTCGAGGCGCGAGCGTTTTCATAAATAATGCATTCGCATTCGCGAACTTGACGGGAGAAAAATCGTTTCGTTAAACGACAATCGATCATCGCCTATTGACAAGACATGGCGAAGAAAGTGACACGACGAACCCGAGAAAATAACTCTTTTTTTATACTTTCCTTTCGTTAAGGTATATAGGTCAATATAA